CATTTCGCGTGACCTGGAGCCTGTTGCTCGATCTTCGCGCGATCGATCGCATAGCGAAGTTCTGTGCGGCCAATGTAACCGATTAGGGTCTTCGTTTTCATGTCTTCCACGATGGGGTAGCCCTGGTATGCGTTTTCGTTCATTAGACGTTCCATTTGTCGTAATTCCATGCCTGACGCTGGCAGACAGACGACACGGCTTGCCATGACTTGACTGACTGGAACACCGAACGTATGTTCTTCTTTGCTGTCGAGGAACGGGTAGCCGTTTAAGTAAATCATGCGGTCTGCGATTCCGCCATGGCCGAAACGTTCGCTGACTGCTTTCGTGACGCCAACGACTATCATCGTGGGAAGGATGTATGTTAATGCGCCGGTGATCTCGAACATGATGACTACGACGCTGACGGTGATGTGCATAATGCCACTAAGTGCCGCCGCGGCACCAAGAAAAGCGTAGGTGCCCGGCGTGATACATGGACCATCTGGGTCGCAGGCCGAGAAAAAGGCTGAGCCTGGGAAAGACTCGTGCAAAGCCTGGACGCAAATGCCGACCATACGACCGAACGCTGCACCAATAGCCATACTAGGCACGAAGATACCAGCCGGTACCTTGCACCCGAACGAGATGACTACCAGCAGCGTACGCAGCACTGTGGCAATAGCAAGTGTCCAGACATTGTGCCAGCGATGATTCGCGTCACAAAGCTGATCGTAGTCCTTATCGCCCTCACACTCTTGAAACAGTATTTCCATGCTTTCAGTCATATCAATCCTCAAGAACATGTTCGGGTAGCAGATCACACCGGTGATGACAGCGAGAGTGACAGCTTCGGTGATGGGGTATGCAGAAAGGTACTTCTTGCGAAAGACCTGCATCTTGAGGTTCCACTTGATGACGAAAGCACCGTAGAGACCGCCAAATACACCAATGATGATATAGAATAGGGTTTCGAAAAAGTGCCAAGAGCGGTCGTAGGAGACATTGAACATGACGAGTTGACCGGTCCGGAAGGGGTTCATAGCCTGGTGCGCATTAGCATGGACAAGTAACTAAGACTTGCGAAAATGAGACTTACAGCGAGGACAGCTGTGGCGACCAACGCACAGAAGTAACTCCTCCAGAGCGTTTTGAGCGGGAATTGATTGCTCATCTCCTCCAGCGAGAAAAGCACGCCTCCAATTGGACTTCCAAAAGCCACGCCTACACCGGCCGCTGCGCTCGCACATAGTATCTCCCTCGTCTTGGCCGCATTCCTCCTGTACTTGTCGAAGAACCTACTGATCACATTGCCCGTACAGACAGCGTAATGCACGCTAGGCCCTTCTTTCCCGACCGACAGTCCCGACGCAATAGCAAGCGGCAAGCCAATTGACTTGATGAAAAGCGTGGTGAAGCCCAGGAAGCCCTTCATGACGAACCCTGCAATGATGCACTTCATCTCCGATATGCCCGATCCAGCTGCATATGGCGCAAAGCTCTTGACCAGTCTAGCGGCCGTGAAGGAGAACAGCGCTGCGAAGAGTATGTAAAGGACATAATTCACAGGCCAAAATCCACTCCAGCGCTTCCACTCCGGACAACCTCCTTCAGCACCCCAACAGCAGAAACTCTCATTGAGGTAGAAAGCCGTGGTGCAATGTCCCAGTTTGATATCACTCAGCCACTCCGTGACAATATTCAAGAACGCAGCGTTGAGTCCTATCGCTGCGCCTACGAGCGTAACAACGATCCAGGCTTGGCCCGCATCGTATGCCTCTGCAATCTTTCTCCTCCACTTCCCTCGTCCCCTGCCTAGGAACACTTTGCCCGTCCGCCCATCTTTTCGCACACCGATGTTGTCTCTTTCGCGCCGGCGCGCTTTGCGGCGGAGTTGTTCGCGGGCGGCATCTTGTACCCAGTCTATTGTTGTAAAGTCTTCGTACCGCTTTATCTCTGCAATCTCTTCGACGATGGCCGCGTCGGCGTGTGTTGTTTCCGCGGCTTCGGGGTCGTCATTATCGATGTCAAGTGACAGTATCGATTGGCCTGTTGTGCGCCGTCGGAGAGAAGGTGCGAAAGATGCGGAGCGTGAGGTTTGGCTGGGGCGTGACGACGGGCGGCGCGTGGATTGGGGACGGAGGGGTGTGGGTTGTTGGGAGGATTGGCGAGCGCGTGAGCCCGAGGACGAGGATCGGTTCATCGCATCGTTATTGTCGTTGGTAACTTCGCGTGGCAGAGCGTGAAGTATTCTGGTGTCGAGATTTGGCTTGCGTAACTGAGCTGGGGAGCTGTCTCATGCAAGGGTCCCTTCCGTCCCAGCTCCAGATCGACGTCTCGCCCGCGGGAGTCCGCTCGTTGCACCGCCACACTTACGAGCAAGCTCACTTGCATTGCGGTGTGTAGCTATGCAGCACCGTGAATGTATACGCCAGTTTTTACTGTATCAATCCGACGTATCAAACGTACTGGGTATCTTTAGAGTATAGTTTACCTAGGTAGATCGGGATACATGCGTGCGGTTGTGCCATGAATCTTCTCGTTTTTTTCAGAAATGACACACATTACATATCATACAAAGAAAACTATAACCCAAAACCACAACATGCGGAGAAGCTCAAATCCTCTGAGTCGTGTATACATGATAGCCCGGAGGCATTCAATGCTTTCAAAACTTACAATTGTCACCGTAGTGTGCATTGTATACCTCCAGGGTACTTGTCGATGTGAGACATTTCAACAAAATGAGATTCTTCATCACAACACTTCCCACACTGCAATCTGGCAGCACTTCGGTATCGAATTGAAATGTTGTATTGTACTTCATCATACTTTATACGGGGGTATCGAATGTCTAAAAACCTTTTTGCTAAAACCTGTTTGCCGACTACATCTACTTTGTGCGCCCACACCTGCGCCCGTCACAGGACATATCTACTCCATCTCGATAGTACCCGGAGGCTTGCTGGTGACTATGATATGTTAGTAGTTGTCTGGCTCGGATAAAATTATCGACTTACTGTCATATACCACGCGGCAAACTCCGTTCACCTCATTCACGATCCTCCGGCTAACCCGCTTTAGGAACTCTCCATCGAAGGGGAACCAATCAGCCGTCATGAAGTCACTCGTCTCAACTGCCCTCAGAGCAATAACCTGCTCGTGAACGCGCTTATCACCCATGACACCGACGGCTCTAACGGGCATAAGCGCTGCAAACGCCTGGCTGATCTTGTTGTATAGGCCCGCAGCCCTGATTTCTTCGATAAAGATGTAGTCCGCTTCACGCGCAATGCGAACTTGCTCACGTGTGACTTCACCCAGAATGCGGATGGCGATTCCTGGGCCGGGGAAGGGGTGGCGCCAAACAAGATCCTCTGGAATACCAAGCTCTTTGCCCAGCGCGCGGACTTCGTCCTTGAACAACTCGCGGAGAGGCTCAATCACCTTGAGCTTCATGTCTTTTGGCAGACCACCGACGTTGTGGTGGGTCTTGATGGTTTGGGAAGGACCCTTGAAGGATAGCGATTCGATGACATCGGGGTATAGGGTACCTTGGAGAAGCCACTCGATATCACCGGCGTTGGAAGATTCATGTGCTTCGGCCTTGATCTTCTCGGCTTGCTTTTGGAAGACCTCGATGAAGGTGTTTCCAATGATCTTGCGCTTCTTCTCGGGGTCGTCGGTCACACCCTTCAGGCGGTCGAGGAAGAGGTCGGATGCGTCGACGACGGTGAGGTTGATACCCAGGCCCTCATCGAGTGTCTTCTTGACCTGAACGGCCTCGTTGAGTCGGAGGACGCCGTTGTCGACCATGACGGCATGGAAGCGGTCGCCAATAGCCTCCTTCATCAGCTTTGCAGCGACAGTCGAATCGACTCCACCGCTAACGGCACCGATGACCTGTCCCTTGTCGCCAACCAACTTCCTGATACGCGTAATCTCCTGGTCGACGAACTTGCTCATAGTCCAATTGGTGTTGGCCTCGCAGATGTCGACAGCGAAGTTCTTGAGCACAACCTTGCCCTGCTTTGTGTGTGTGACCTCAGGGTGAAACTGAATCCCGTAGTACTTGTTGGTCTTGTGCGCAATACCCGCGAACGGCGCGTTGGTGGTTGTCGCGACAGTCATGAAGTCCTGCGGCATGTTGCTCAGCTTGTCGCCGTGGCTCATCCAGACCTCCAGGTCGTTGCCCAAGTCCTTGAACAGCTGATCCATGTGTCCGCCGTGGCTCTCAACCTTCAAGTTGGCGTGTCCGTATTCCCTCTTCTCGCCAGCTACTACGCCGGCGTTCTTTCCGAAGTGCCATGCCATCTCTTGCAGTCCGTAGCATATTCCGAGGATCGGTACGCCGAGATCGAAGACGGCGTGGTCGACGTGTGGAGCGCCTTCCTCGTAGACGGAGTACGGGCCACCAGAGAGAATGACTCCCTTAGGGGTGAAGGGCAGATCGGCGATCTTAGTAGTGCATGGCAACATCTCACAGTAGACATTGAATTCGCGGAGACGGCGGGTGATCAGATGCGTGTACTGCGAACCGAAGTCGAGGACCAGGATGGTGTCGAACGTCTTGTGAGGAGGGATGGGGTCGGAGTTGTCGGTCGCCATCTTGAAGTAGTAAGGGGTATGGTATAATTGAAAGAGAAGAGATAGAACGAAAGAAAGAAGAGGAAAGGAAAGGGACGGGTATATGAAAGCAGAAGTACGAGGGGCTCGGTCACTGACTCTCAAAGTTTTGGCGGGGTTTTCCAGAAAAATTCTTATCGATAACAGAAAAATGCCATCTCGTGCTTCATCATCCGTGGTAGCCCGCAGACAGCGCAGACTGTTGCCTGGGCTCATACATCACTCTGGTGTATACATCATCGATAGATCATGAGAATGTTGATACGAAATGCAATGTATACGTCCAGGGTAAGTTTTCCCCGCATGAGGTACAACTCAGGTGACGCGCGTACCCCGAGTTCTTTGCATAAACACTCTGCGCATGTTGAAGAAATATCCAATCGGTCGTTCATCGCCTAGGATTCCTAGTACGAACGCACAACAGCCTTGGAACTGGAATGGCTCTGTGGCTGACCGTGCTTGTCCTGAGCCCCACCCAAAAATTCACTCCATTATCGATAACGACGTAGTTGGATCGCGCAAAGTCGCGTCTATCCACTGACCTCATCCTCCTACCCATCACGTACCCACACAATGGCGAAACGAAAGTCAGAGAGAGACCCTGAAGATCTTCCCGATGCGTCGGACAAGCGCAAGCAGAACGATGACGACGAGTCCGGCAGCGACGAGGTATGGGCCTTCCTCACAACCTCTCATAATGCGCCGTCTCACAAAATTGCTAGGACATGGATATGGTGAACGTCGACTTTGAATGGTTCGATCCGCAACCCGCAGTCGATTTCCACGGGCTCAAAAACCTCTTGCGCCAACTTCTCGACGTGGATTCACAATTGTTCAATCTCTCTGAACTCGCCGACATTATACTGTCGCAACCGCTACTTGGCAGTACTGTCAAAGTCGACGGCAATGAGACGGACCCATATGCTTTCCTTACTGTGCTAAACTTGGAGACGCACAAGGTACGATCTAGGCATGCACAGCTTTGCGGTACATATACTGACAGCGGCTAGGACAAGAAAGTAATCCAAGACCTAACAACCTACCTCTCCAAAAAGTCCGCGCCGATCCCCACTCTCCCGCCCCTCTTGACAGCCTCGTCGCCCGCGCAAATCGGCCTCATCCTAACCGAGCGCTTCATAAACATGCCGCACGAAATCGTCCCACCAATGTACACGATGCTTCTGGAAGAGATACAATGGGCAGTTGAGGAGAAGGAGCCTTACACATTCACCCACTACCTCGTCCTGTCGAAATGCTACTCGGAGATACAGAGTCAATTGCCGAGCGACGATGCGCCACCGAGCAAGAAGAAGAACAAGAAGGCCGATGTAGGTGAGGAGACGTTTTATTTCCATCCTGAGGACGAGGTGCTGCACAAGCATGCAGTGGGATACACGAGCTTTGAGTATGACACACCCGTAGATGAGGGTGCGAGTGATAGCAAGAGGGCGTTCCAGGAGTTGGGTGTCAAGCCCAAGGGACATATGGTGCTGATTGAGGCGGACAAGTTCAAGGGTGCTGTAGAGGCTGTAAAAACGTTCCTGAATGGGCAGTAGATACGCAATGCAAAATAAATTCACCAAATAACGCAAACGAAGAGACGGCGAAGGTTGACTCTAACTGGTGTTACATTGCAAGGGACACAAGCCGAATCTATGTGAATCAAACCGTAGGAAATTGATGCTCGCTCCTATACACACAAGTCGACATCACCGTCGTCCATCTCTACCCAAAAATTGCTCTGCTTAACCAATGACAACCTTGCCATCCTCGGGGAAGTCGTATGCGGGAATCTCCAGGTTGAGCGGGGCAGGTCCCTTTCTTATGCGGCCAGAGATATCGTAGTGGGATCCGTGGCAGGGGCAGAACCAACCTCCAAAGTCACCGGCCTCGCCAATGGGCACACATCCCAGATGGGTGCAGACACCTAGTGCTGTTAGTCTGGGTTCTTTATAAGGATGTATGCGGTGACGTACCCAACATGATCAACCACTCAGGCTTCTGGACACGGTCGGAGTCGGGCTGAGGGTCACGGAGGGACTGCCACTTGGTGTCGTCGGCCTCCTTGATCTCGGATTCGGTGCGGTGTCGGATAAAGACGGGCTTGCCTCGCCACTTGATAATGACCTGCGCTTATTAGCTCCACTGTCCGGATATGCCATGTCGAATTGCGAAACGTACGTTCTTGCCCTCGGGAATGGCAGCGAGGTCGATTTCTACCTTGGCCTGGGCCAAAACATCGGCAGAGGCGGACATGTTGACGAGGAAGTCTGTTGGGCGGAGTCGTTAGCCGTCCGGTCTTCATCAATTCGCGATCCAAATCATCCCCAAAATAGCCAATTGCTCTTTTCCAGCTCCGTATATGCCACGCCCCTTGATCCCAACGTTGTCCACCTCTCTGTCGAGCTATCGCAATGTTGGAGACCTACCCTGTACAGTCGCCTTCGCGCCAAGCGCACTCAGCGCACCCATGGTTCCGACCATGAAGTACTGGAAGACCTTGGGGCCGGTCTCGCCTCCCTTATTCCTGTATGCGGCGAACGAAGGAATCTTGGTCGAGTCCTGGGTGCCCTTGAAGGGGCTGTCGAACGACGAAGCCGAGGCGTTGCGGGTCTGCAGAGCGGTGCAGCCGGCCGCCCGAGCGACGGGCATCTGGTGAGCGGTCCATGAGCGTGCAATGGCACGGGTTGTGTTGGCGAGGGCGGGCATCGTGGACGCGGGTGGGCGGGGGTCGTTGTCGTTGATGGGGAGGAGCTTAGGTTGGGAATGTTGAAGTTTTGGCGGTTTGGCAAGGAGCGTTATGTCAGGTGTCGTGTGATTGGCCCATCGCCCTTCCGCGCGACCTTCGCCAGATTTGAGCGTCATCGGCGGGCTTTACCACAGCACCGCACAGTGGTAGAGTCGATCTCGGATTCATCTCATTAATCAGAACCCTCACAGATTGAGCTTTAATATGTGCGTTCCTGTTGCTGCAAAGGTGAACAAAAGCGACATTCCAACGTCCATCTCGTAAGCCCGCGTTATTTATACTGAGTTGTCGACCCATATAGACTTCCTTCCTCGTTCAGCTAAACAATGCACGATAATAGTCAAGTCGGCAAGCGCTCTGGGTAAGCAACCTTGTTTTCCTGTCTTGGCGACTGCCTGATTCCATGCATGTCGCAAGCAGCATGTCCCTCTTCGGACACGTGAAAGTCATCTGCAATCAGTTGCTCCTCTCTCACTTCATGTTTTGGGACCATATTTTATCATAGCACATGTGACATTTCACGACCAACAAATTACACATCATGCCTCCCAAAGACTCTACCATCACGTCCTACTTTGGGCCCAAGCCGGAATTTCGCCCCCAACAAAAACCAATGAAGCCACCGAAAGGACGACTAAAAAAGCGACCATGACACCATCGTCTGAGCCAGAAGATAAAGGCAAACGCAAGAGGGCGCTATCAGGATCCCCAGCACCAATTCCTGAGAAGCGACAACAAACCAAACCCTCAGCCAAACCCACAACACCGCGCCACCTCTCGCACAAAGATCTCCCCTCGAACAAGCTTTCCCAATCCCCAAGCTCATCTGATCTACCTACTCTATCCCTAACTTACCATATCGGCGACATATTCGACGCACCTCCACAAACTCTTCTAGTCCATGCCTGCAACACCCAAGGCGTATGGGGATCAGGCATAGCCAAAGCCTTCAAAGACGACTATCCCAAAGCTCATACCATTTACAGAGATTTCTGCACCAAGGAGCACCTCCTCAAGTCCAGACCCGTACCCACCGGTACCGCGCTTCTCATCCCACCTGTGGACGGCGAGAAGCAGCATTGGATCGGTTGTTTATTTACGAGTTCCAAGTATGGCAAGGTTAAGGACAAGTCCGATGTCATTGTCGAGAACACGAAGCCCGCTATGGAGATGCTGTTTGAGCTGGTGAAGATAGTGGATGGGATTGAAGTGATTAGGATGTGTAAGATCAATAGTGGGAAGTTTGGAGTGAAGTGGGAGAGGACGGAAGACGTGCTGGAAGGCATTGTGTTGAGAGAGGGGTGGATGGAGAGTGTCGAGGTTTGCGAACCGGAGATGGGTTAAGAGACTGAGGGAGCACGAGATATGTGCATGTGACGCAAGTTAAGCCATATCGAATGTCAGCTCGAAGAAGGTTCAATGTGGACACTCACTTGTACATTTGACACTTCTCTTGTTCAAATTGCATACTACAGTTGTAAGCAATGAAGCCCTAATGCGGCCCACCTTCCAACAGCTCAGCGCCATTCCCATGATATATACGCAACAAACGCCGATATGCAATGCAAAATAAATCCACTCTCAGACTGTCCCCCACTTCTGTCCGCCATGTCGCAAGCGAATTTACTTTTGACCATTAATCGCAGTAAATCCACCTGTTGACCGCCTAGCCTCTGGGCTCTTGCTTGCACTCGCAGTGGGTTGACGAGGCGGACCGCGCATCTCCATCTCGATCTGCATGGCCGCTGCGTCCTCTTCTGGTTCGCTGTCTTCCACGCGCTCGACTTCTTGGTCGACGTCCATGGCATCCGGCGTCTCGTCTGGCTTCGCTGGTGTAGGCGAGGTTGTTGAAGCGCCGTTGGTGGGCGTCTCTGTGTCTTTGTCTACACCCTCTGCCGTCTTGGAGGCATTGTCCAGCGTCTTCTGTCCGTTCACCACGCCATCCTTCTTCCCGTCCTTCTCCTTCTTCTTCTCGTCCTCCTTCTCCTTCTCATCCAACTTCTTCTTCACATTGCTCCATGTGCTTGTCTTGGGCGCAACATCGACCAGGAACTCGAGGTTGTCCGTCTTCGATATCGCGCTGCTCACGTCGCGGTATTGGATGTTGCGGCGCGGCTTACGCTCCGCTTTGACGACATTGTGTGTGGTGGTTGCGAGGTGCTGGATGAACATTTCTGTGGCCAGTGCTATGGCGAAGGCGGCATTTTTGGAGGTTGTGATGCGTTCGGGGTCCGCTTGGATTATCTTTTGCACGCGTGCGACTGTGGAGTGAGTTAGATTGATGGTCTGCTACGAGGAAAGGCAAAGGTACTGGAGACGTGGGGAATGAAAGACATTGCGCTCAATGCAGGCGGAAGCGAGCCAGTAAGTCGTCGTTCAATGTCATGGGGCCACCACAGGCGTAAATCGCAGCAGTACTACGCGGTGGTAGGGTGGTCTCGAAGAGGCACGCAAACGGTCGGAGCAATGGGGAAGGCGGCGGAGAGAAGTGAAGATATGTAAACTGTTACTTACGGGGAAGCGACACATGGCCGGTGATTTCCTTATTTGGCGCAATCGGAGTGTTGTTGTAGGGCATGGTGAAGGAAGAAGTTGTTCCTCTGGTAAAATGGGCGCTGGATCAATAAGTCCTCCCAGAGTGTTATTTGAACCTAGGTGCGTGTCCAAAATATGAATAGCGAAGTATACGTGTGGGTAGTGCGAGTTGACACGTTCTGGTCGCAAGAATTGGCCAAGAGAGATGTCTAGTCGCGTGCGGTAGTCGTGTTGAAGATGTTCGTGTACCCTGGTCGATATAGGGCGATCGCCGCGGGCTCCCCCAGCCGAGGAGGGCGTCATTAGGCCACTGCCCTTCGTCAGCAACCAGCCATCTTATCTTCCTGCTGCCTGCGTGATCCCCAGACAATAGATACGTGTTTGTGACATCTTCATCCTGTGTTGACTTCATTAATTGTATTCCGGTGTTTTCACCTCGTGTCGAGCTCCAGCTATCAGCCCATCAGGGTACACCTACCGATCATGAAGCTCTTTGTTACTAGTCTGCTCGCCGCGACTGCAACAGCGTCCTTGTTCTCCCAAGTCCCATTCCAGGAGAAGCCAGAAGTAGAAGGCTTCCAGGTCTACCAAAGTCCATTCTCCGAACACCATTCGATTCGCATAAAGCATCAACAGAGCGACACTATCTGCGACGCGCGCTCCAAGCAATACACAGGCTGGTTGGATATCGGCTCAAAGCACATCTTCTTTTGGTACTTCGAATCACGAGACAAGCCCTCTGAAGACCCGCTTCTGCTATGGCTAACAGGAGGACCGGGTGGCTCAGGCATGCTTGGGCTGATGGGCGAGCTGGGACCTTGCACGATCAATGAGTTTGGAAACGGTACTGTGCACAACGAATACGGATGGAGCAAGAATGCCAACATCATCTTTGTTGATCAGCCGGCTGGCGTAGGTTTCAGCTACGTCGATGAGGGTATCCCGCTCCCCGCGACAAGCTTCACGGCTGCTGAGGATATGCATCACTTCTTGCAGCTGTTTACCAGCGAGGTCTTCCCGGATCTTTTGAATCGCGACTTCCACATCACAGGAGAGAGTTATGCCGTAAGCCTATGTTGCTGACTCTCGCAAGACATCCACTAATCGAAGATAGGGCCACTACGTCCCAACACTCGGTACAGAAATCGTCACGAAGAACCTAGAATACCCTAAGCGTCCGCAAGTAAATCTCAAGTCGACCTTTACGGGGAACGCGTATGTCTCGCCTCGGGATACCAACTTCGGTTTCTGGGAAACGCTATGCACTACAAACCCCGGTGTAGAGACTCCCGTATTCAACCAGACCCGTTGCGACATCATAGCTACCAATCTGCCTCGTTGTATGGCGCTTATCGACGTGTGCTACAAGAATCCCGATCCAGCCATCTGTATCGCAGCCGACCAAGTATGCATGGATGGTGTGGTTCTACTTTATGATGGAGAGTCGGGGGCAGGAGGCCGCAATCGATTTGACATCACGGATGGTTGCGAGACGAAAGACGAGTTCTGCTACCCTGAGATCCAAAGGATACAAGATTACATGAATGTGCCGAAAGTTTGGGAAGCGCTTGGCGTACCCAAGGCTATAGCCAACTACACAGGGTTCTCCTTTGATATTGCATTGGCTTTTGCGCTTACTGGCGATCTAGTATTCAGCATGCAGCCTCAGGTTCTGTATCTTCTTGAGCATGGCATCGACGTGCTCTTCTATCAGGGTAACTTGGACCTTGCTTGCAACACCGCAGGCAACCTGCAATGGGCCAGTACAATGCAATGGAAAGGCCAACCTGCATTTGTCGCACAGCCAAAGAGGCCCTGGGAACATGAGGGCAAAGAGGTGGGGTGGTTCAAAGAAGTCAAGACCGTGACTACAAGCGGGAGGGAGACCACGTTTGCATTTGCTACGGTGAATGGAGCAGGCCATCTGGTACCGATGGACAAGCCAAAAGAAGCGCTGGCACTTGTTGACAGATGGATCACGAAAAGGAGCTACGCGTAATTGTCGCGTGATGGGTGCATATTGTGTTCTGCGCAAGGCTGCATTTAGCTTAGCAAATGGTTCCGTGATCGCGATATCTAGGTATGCAATTTTCATCAGCCCCATTACCACATCGGCTTCATGCATGTCATCAGGCTTCTTGCTTTTGGCGCCCGAAATATCCATGGGTTGGTGTTTGTTTTCCCCACCATGATGTAATTGCTACCAGCTACGTCATCATGGGTCCTAGCCTCTGCGCAAACTTCAGACCCTTAATAAAGAGGGGAGAAGACACACTCACCCAACAACAAACACAATCAATTGCCACTTCTCACTTCAAACTACATTTGACAAACCTTCTACTTCTTCCCATTTCCACCAACACACATACAACATGTCTGGAACTTCCAACGTCGGTAACAGTGCGGTCTACGAGTCCCAGGACCAGGTCACCAGGTCCAACGCCGAGATCGAGCAGGAGAAGAAGGAGAACCGCTTCCACGAGGGCAAGGACAACTCTCACAAGGCTCAGGACTCCAGTATGTTTCTCTCAGCCTCACATGTATTTTCCTTTCTCGATATGCCGCGTCATAAGCCATCTCTTCACAAGACCGTTTACTAACAACTGCTCGCAGAGGATGAGCGATCCATCGCCAACAAGCTTGAGCGCGAGGAGAAGCGTGAGAAGGAGGGTGAGGAGAAGTCTCTCGAGGACCGTCAGCGCGAGCAAGATGCTACCCTTCCCGCACGCGCACACGGCAACGAGCCCTCCAAGGGAGCCAAGATCGACCAGGAGCTGAGGGAAGAAGACGAGGCTATGCTTAAGAAGAAGGGCGCCAACTAAAGTCGTTGTGATGAATGACGATTTCGATACCCCGCACACATACTCAGCGTGTTAGGAGATGGAGGAGGAATATAATGACTTGGATTGACGATAAAACGTCTCCATGAAGCCCGCCTGAGACATGGCAAAGGCATGAATGAAATAATTTCAACTCAACATGTGTTCCCAACAGTGTGTGATTGTGCGATGGTTGGAACCAGGTCACCGATGCTTGACGCGAGAGCTCTCCACATTGTCGTGCTTACCCCTCGGTGCTTGACTCGTGCGGCCTCGGAGATAGGCCGATGGCGACTTCATAACCGCCGCCTTCTGTCACCAAATCCCCAATCGCCTTCCCCCACGTCCCGTTAACATCAGTTGCTGTATTACAAAGCATTGCGGCGTACATGCCTAATCTCTCGTCATCTCGCCAACTCCTCCGCACTGCTACTGCCTTCGCCAAAGCTCCCCTCCGGCCCCGCATCGCATCTACAAGTACCCAGCTCTCGAGCATACTACACCAACACACTGCAACCATGTCGACCAAGATGGCAGAGCGCCTAAAGGGCAAGACTATCGTCATCACCGGTGCTTCTTCTGGCATTGGCAAATCCATAGCAATCGAATTCGCGCGGACACAGCCCGACGACCTCAAGCTTATCCTCACTGCGCGGCGAGAAGACACGTTGAAAGAGATCGCACAGGAAATTCAAGGCTTCGCAAAAGGCGTAAAGGTCTTGCCAGTCAAACTTGACGTCAGCAAGCCGGAGGAAGTCCAGAACTTTGTCGGAAACCTGCCACAAGAGTACAAGGACATCGATGTGCTCGTCAACAACGCGTATGTTACCATACTCTTGGATATTTCTTACCGTCTGCTAACATCGAGCCCAGCGGTCTTGTGAAGGGCGTTGCGCAGGCGCCCGACATCTCACCCGCCGACATCGACACCATGTTCAGCACAAACGTAACCGGCCTAATCAACATGACGCAAGCCATCCTGCCCATCTTCAAAGCGCGATCCACACCTTCTGGCGATATCATAAACATTGGCAGTATCGCAGGTCGCGAGCCCTACCAAGGTGGATCCATCTACTGCGCTACAAAGGCTGCTGTGCGCTCCTTCACAGACGCCATGCGCAAGGAGCTCATTGCTACACGGATACGCGTCATCGAGATTGATCCTGGGCAGGTCGAGACAGAATTCAGTGTGGTCAGATTTGGAGGCGACAAAGAGAAGGCGAAGAAGGTCTACGAGGGCGTTGAACCGCTGACACCCGAGGATATCGCGGAGGTTGTGGTATTTGCTGCAGGACGGAGGGAGAATGTCGTGTTGGCTGATAGTCTGATCTTCCCGAACCACCAGGTATGTATGAGCAGAGGAACGAGAAATAGTACACTAACGTTGCATAGGCGGCAGCCACAGTCATGCACCGGAAACCTACCGGTCAGTAGATGCGGTGATCGACGTGTATATAGCGACTACTTATTCGCAGTTCAGAGACGAAGCAAGTATCCAGAATTCGACCTTCGTTATAAACGACCTGTTTGCTGGTCACAGCTTACCATATGTCTCATGCTTGCGACCCCATCTCGTCCCGTCTCGTCACAATGTTTCTCTCTTCTTGAGTCTTGTCTCCAAATTCACGCGGAATGTCATGGAGACAAGTGAAAGACGAAAATATAGCCTAGGCCGCGCCCCGCCGTTGCCGTGGTGAGCGCTGGCGAAATACAGATCTGCTTCTGGATAACTAAATCGCTCACATAGGTTTCGTATACATTGACTCCAATTGTACTCCACTTTGGTGGTGAACGACTACGCCTTTCGTCCCACATTATCTCGACACTCGACTCAAGTAGCTAGCCATGATGCAAGCCGCGCGCTTTTGAGCGCCAGGCTATCTACCACCACGGAAGGAAGCACAGAGGTCAACTCACAGACAAAATGGCCCGACTGCGAGTTCCCGCGTCGCCAGTTGAGACTCGTCGCGCGAATTATGCCCTTGCAGGAGCCCGGAACAAAATTTCTCACCAACCCAGCTGTTCAAGCCCACAGCCCGAGATCAAGGCATCCTTCGATTCGTCTGCCAATCATCACCCCAAAAGCTTCACCACCCATCCACACGTTGTGAAAACTTCGCATTAATGGACGTGGAAACAAAGCGAGATGTACAAGGTTACATTATCGGACAGTACAAGGCCTTTGAGAAGATGGGCCACGAGCACATCACCCCGACTGGCACCAGAACTATCTTCGTTCTTGGCCAAGCACGGCAAGACAAAGAGTTTGATATACTAGACAAAGACATGAAGGCCGACCTGAGGGTGTACGTCAACGAGGATGAGGATGCGGATCGCCCATGGCGTGGGGTGCGCGACTTTACGAGGAAGATTGCGACGTGCGAGACTTGGGCGTTAATAGTGCTTAAGAATAGCAAGAAGGGATTGGATACCGAGACGCCTCATCAGACCCGCTTGATGCGCGCTCATAGTGCGCCCTCCCTAGCTCAGTGCATTGCGAACGCCAGCTTCGATAGCGCCGGGTCAGGGGCTGACTCTGATGCAGAAGAAGACGACATAGGTCTTGAACTGAACATCGAGAATGCACTCTCATCGTTTGCTAAAAAGGTCGAAGGGTTAGAGGATGAGGCGGGAGCGCTGTCAATCACGCCGTCAGGCCGTGCATACTCTGATGCCAGCTCATCTACACCGTCGCCTCCCAAGGACATCGATATATCGTACCCCTATGGACCAAAGCAAAACTCTAGACTTCGTCGTCCTAGCGGTAACCGTTCACTCGCATCCTTGATCGCTCACGCTGAAGACAGCCGTACGCCTTCGCGCTCGTCACTTTCTGCTTCGCTCTCTTCGTGTCCACTACCTACCGGTGCCACCTACAGTGTCGTTCACAAGCCCTATTACGACCCAGACTTTGAGGGTCACAGCCCTTGCGCCACGCATGATGAGGTTAGCTGGGGGCTTCCAGCGGATAACGCTCTGCACATGCTACAAGAGCGCTTCAGAACAACACATTGCGCTGGGGATGGCACAGGCTTTGATTGTCGCGAATGGCTAGAATACAAGCTTGAGACCGGATGAAGCATTGTACATGGCCCGTCGCTGCTACGATTTGGGAGGAACTGCTATGAAGCTGAAAAGCGCGGGCACATCAAGGACGCGGATGAGATCCCGTACGCTAATCAATCCGAAGCCACGGCTCGGATCTGCCCTTCGTCTTCTAAGGGCACCCTGAATAGCACGTCATCCGTCTGGAGTTCAGTGTTCTCAAAATGCAGTTCCATGACATCTATTTCATCTTACCGGACCAGCCGTCCACAGTCTGCACGAACTGAACATCCTCGGCTCATGAGCGCACGCGGCGTCGACAACCATACTGAAAAGTGCGGACGTGGCTATGAAGAATCCGCGACGAAAGTATGCAGTCCTTCTGTTGCAGGTATTGTTCCAAAAAGCGAACACTTCCAAGGTTGTGCTTGTGGCACTGTGCGGGGTGAGAAGGATGCATTCAGTCTACCTGTTACTACTACCAAAGAATGGTCTAGTGGGCTGCAGATTCGGGAGGATGATAGCTGGCCCAACGCGCCCGAGCGCATTGGAAGTGACCTTGAAGACGCCCATAACTCTATCAAGAGGAATGAATCTAAGGATCGCGACGTGGAAGAGCTTTCACAGCTACGTGCGTCTCTAACGATAGCTACGGAAAATCATGAACACATGCGGCCTGAAGTCTCCGCCAACCGCCCGCATAACGCTCCGTTGATGTACGAGGAAGCCGACGATTTCGTTGAAAACATCGCCACTAACTCGGATGTCGATTCCGAATGTTGGTCAGAATCCTTGGATGGTTGCACGGAGCCGCGTCGCAAGTGGACTAGCAAGATAAAGCATTGTCCCCAGAAAATCCCCCAAAAGACAAAGCAGGCTACCCAAGACTATGTCAAAGCGACGAAACGATTCTCACGGACTGCTTGTCACTTGTTGCCAGCTGCGCTGTCGAGCCGACATCCGTTCCAGAAGATCGACAGCATCATTTAGATGGTCGGCTGGGGAACTGGATCTACGTCGGAACTCTCTACAGGTGACCCGACTGGTCTCACGGACCGTTCACGCTGCCCCCGCAATCCACCCAGAACGATGGTTCGGCGAGTGTTTGGGCCCACTTCAGACCGAACGTATGTTGGGGACGTGGTAAATGCGTTGGAGTTAATTGGAAAATGTCCGCGGAACGCTTTTCATTGGACGACACAGACGTATTTTGTAGAGCATCTTTGTTTTTACTGTACTTCTTTTTTTGCGCACTATGAAACTTCGAACACAGATACCCACCTACACGCAGTAGTAGCAGTTCCCATATGAATATAAGCCCTTCCCTGTACCCTCATCGCTCTTCAAGTATTTTTTGTGAATCTCAAAGTGCGGTCGTGAATGACTAAGCCCATGAGGAGTGAACCCTGGTTTGATCAAGGGTCATCCACTGTCGCGACGTCACCACACAACGCGTTCACTTGCCAAAATGTCTTCGGTTTCTCATTCTTTACACATTTCACTACTTAGCCCGTTCGTCGTTTCCCTCTTTACGAACGACTGCGCACCTACCACCACCGCGAATATCTCGGACGCCACGAGTGTGTAAAATAGTGGACTCTCACTTTTGGACACCCGTAAACGAGTTCACAACTGTCTGGTTTACGTCACTCTTTCCATCACAATATCGCGTAGTTTCGATCCCACTGCGATCTCACCAGCCATCACCGAACTTGATACGACCACGATTTCCAACCCTTTGGTTACCCTTTACCATCACCAAGCCAAAGCGTTCGTAAAGTAAACATGGCTTCCGACACAGTCGCTAGTAACAGTCGGAAATTCAACTGGGCCGACGATGACGACGACGAATTTGACTTGAATAGCTGGAATGCTACCGCCGACACCTCCGCGCCCACCGCCGACGAGCTAGGCCCTCTCCAGGTCCCTCCCACTGGAGATGACACGAAGGAAGACGAAGTCTACACGTTATCCCGCATCTTCAATGAGCGCGCCTATTGGGATCCTCCTGCCCTCCAGAAGTTGTCAGACGCGGAGCCTACCCAGGAGCCAGAGCGAGTTGCTGAGCCGCCAGCTGAGCATTGGCGTGTCGACGTCGTTGGCTGCAGTCCAGAACATCAAGTCATGTCTGCGCGGTACATCCTTATCACGCACGCTATTGGCCCTGCTTATGACGGCAAAGAGGAGTCCGACGTCCCAGCCTATCCAGAATTGAGCCAAGACCCGAGTCACCGGTCTTACTATGCGAGGGGATTCCGAGACTGGAAGACGGAACATAGAGGTTTTCCGTCTAGGAAGGTCTATCGCAATTCGCCCTTGAACATTGTCACTTCCATTGACAATGCGCATGAGATCGACGACATTGCCGACCCCGAAGAAGGAGCGGTAGAAGACGCCGATCGCGAGATGAACGATGAAATTGATCGCATGATTGATGATCAAATCACCAACCACATTGATCAGTTCCAGTGGTTCTCCAGGACAGAACTTGAGAGCTTTTACCACCAGTTCAAGGCTCAGGAGCAGAAGGCTGAGACTGGAGACGACGTCTCAGATGATGATGACAGCGATTCCGACGACGGGTGGGATGAACAGGCTTACGAGCCATACCATGGTTCTGTTCAAAACGAAGAGATTTCGCCTACGACCACTACGTCAAGGGAGGACGGCGAAACGTTGTTCTCGATTCCCCGCCCCTTCGCCGCCGCGTATAACGAAGACGAGCTGGACTTCAACGATGTCGTATTTGGGGACGATGACAAAGGCGATGAACCGGAGAGTCAGGGTGAAACCGACTCTGAACCCAGCGATGAGGGTTATGTTTCCTCTTCACCGCCAGACACTCCCTTTTTTGAAACCTTCAACAGGGCGGGTAGTAAAGAAGCGCAAAGCGCCTCTATCTCTACCAATAATTGGCTGAGTGTGTCATCCAGGCGCCGCAAGACAATGTTTCGAACGGACTCCATGGATGCACTCAAGACGTTTAGACAACTTGCCAAGTTTGAACAACGTGTCGACGACGCTTTCGAAGACGATGAGAACTTTGGAGATCTAAAAGAAAACATCGGCATCGACGACGAGCTAAAGGCGTCATCAGATGCTGTGGAGGACACAGATTTTGTCCTCGTCGTTACACCACCCGAGGATGAGCAAAGCACGCAAGACTATCTTTTCAGCCATGCGACACCTTTATTTTCAACGAAAACCACTATATCTGATTCAATTAAAGAGGACGATCAAGTCGATTCTATCAAAGATGGATCGCGCGGCACCCTCAATTCAGCCTTCATTTTCCCCAGTTTGTCTGTTGATAGAGCCTCAATCGCAACGGACGAGATGGGTAACGCAGGCACAAAAATCGCCACTTCCAAAACCTCCTCTCGACGTTGGACTGATCCTCCAAAGTACGATCCCACCCTTCCATCAATTTCGCCATCGCCCAGTCATTGGCACACAAGGCATACGAAGCATAACTCTGTTTCATTGGATTATCTCGTCGGCGCCGTCTCGAAGAGCTGGCTCTACGTGGGCCAAGTGCCCTGGACGCAGATTGGTATAATGGGCGCTGGAGTGGTCGCTGGTGGATTATTGAGCATGGCGGGGCTTACATGAGCGAGATCGTTTTCCCTTTCTATTCATTTGTTCCTTTTCTCAAAATTCGGCTGCAAAGTCAGCGGAGGCGAAGTTATGTTGGCATTTCCTGTGGCGTTCGTTATATACCCGGTGCGCTTTTCACCTCTATAAAAGCAGTGTTTCGGAAAATTACAATAACTAAACATTAGTCAAGAAAAGTTATCCTCGTGCTGCAAGTCCAGACATTCACGCGACCGCTCCGACTACATCCTCGTACCCAGATGCGTGTAGAAATGCATTGGCTTCGCTCTCAGCTTGTACACATTGTCCTTGTCATAACGAATGTCATTTGAGAGCTGCTGTATCTACATCTGACTCACCGCCTCCAGAGCGACCATCCAGGCATCTCAAGCATTATGAGCAAGCTTCCTTCTCACCTAAACAGGATGAGCGACCTTCGCGGTCAACAAATTCCTAATGTTTCCAACGAAGAAGCTTAAGATGAAGCAAGCACCACCAAAAGCAATCGAGATCCAGTATGGCCACCTATACGCCAACGCGAAAGCTTCTTGGGAAGCACGCAGGACAATGGGAAATGCGTCTCTCTGTAGCACTTCCTGGTTGGTAGCAAAGATCTCCTTGACTTCGTCGAACCTAGCATTACCCATGAGATTGGTAACGAGGGTGATGACAGCGATTCCGTCGGCCGAGAGAGGGTTGATGATGGCGCCATACGCTAGCGTCTTTTCGGCGACTATCTCAGTGAGGTGGATGGTGACCTTGCGGAAGAAAAGGTTGGAGTAGACTGCGAAACCGATAGCACCACCGAGGTAGCGGATACTGAGTGTGATGGCCGTGATAGTTGCGATTTGTTCGTCTGGACAGGCGATCTGCGCAATGATGGAGGAGGGGATAATGACTCCACCAACTCCGACAGATGCTAGTGTGATGACAGCGTACACTACGTTCAAGTTGTCGGGTGTCGCAATGCACATGGCGCCTGTACCGGCTGTCATCATGGCCGTGAAGAAGATCATCAATTCGCGAATGCGACCCTTGGTGGCGGGGATGAGGACGAGGCAGATGCATGCGCCGCCGATGATGCCGAAGCCGATGGGAAGAGAGCGGATTCCGATGCCAACCGGGTCGTCACCTAGACTCATGTCAGTATGGAAGTAGTGGGAGATATGGTCGTAGGTCATGCTTACCATAGACGTTGTAGATTTGAGTGGGCCAGAAGAGCAGCAAGACGAAGTAGTTACCACCACTGAGGAATGTGATAAGAAGGATAACTATCATGGTCTGCTTCGCCTTGTGGAAGATTGCCCTGGGAACCATGGGGTGTGGTGCATACACCTCCCATACGAAAAAGGCAATGATGAGTATGATACCGAGAATAAGAGGCACGATGTTGTGCGGGCTGCCCCATTCATACTGCAGAGTGTCAGCACTGCGATGTAGTTTGCTTTTGATGATATACTGACCTGCGATGCACCCCATTGTAGACCCATCATAAAGAGAGTGATACCAAATGTGCTCAAGATGCCACCAATGTAGTCGACCTGGCGGAGGACATGGCGGGCGGTATACTCTTCCGTCAAGCGCGACGGGTCCTTGTAGCAGAAGACACAGAGTACCAACCCAATGAAGTTCCATACACAAACCAAAATACCATTGTAGCGCCAGTTGCTGGCTTGAGCGATCAATTGAGCCCACAACACTGATGGGCAGAAGGGAAGGATGGTGATCACGACAAGACCGACGTACTTGCCGCGATCCTTGATGGGCACGATCTCTGCTGTACCAGCGAGTGCGATGAGCTCGTTAAGACCGGCGCCAATTCCCGAGAAGACCTGACCGGCTACGAGTCATTAGGTTTGTGGTGTTGCAAATAAGGTTGCGGCACTTACCGATGGCGATGTTCATGGTATGCGCAGTCACTGTGATAATCGGCCCGACTATGAGGCACAATTGACCCACAATAGCCACCTTCTGTCGCCCGAACAGATCGGACAATGCGCCCACAAAAGGACAGAGAGCCGCATTGGGGATGAGGTATGCGATGATGAACCATATGTATCGATCAACTCCACCAACATCCTGATAGATGAGCGGAAGGACAGACCCGAAGAGGAAGAGCGGGATCTGAGACCCGATCCAGAGGAATGACATGCACAGAAGCGTCATGGCCAGCCTTGCGTTCATCTAGGGATGAATTAATATATGATCAAACATTCAGGGTCTTACACTCACCTTCTCATGGACTTCTGGAGCTCTGCTGGCAACGGGCGCCAACTGCTGCTTTTCTGGCTCGCTAGGCGGGGTGCGGGTAGCCACCATCTCGAGATGGCTCTGGCCATTCTTGTCGACTTCGTAAGAGTGGTCTCCGGATCTCATCGTCTCATGCATCTTGACGGTGCAAAGCTGAGTGGAGGTGCAGTCGTGGAGAAAGAAAGTTCGGGACGTTCAAGTAGGTTTATGATTGTCCTGCCCTAGCAAGGCGGACTATCGATACGTAGTCCTAGTCCCCAAACCATTCCCTCGTCTCTCACCTGTCACTGAGATGAATTGACTGAATCGACACTAAGTTCACTCGAGCCGCGGTAACATACTGGTCTGCGCGGGGCTGGGTGGTCGAATGACTAGTGTCAAGACACCCCTCATCCAACAAGGCTGCGCCAACCATGCCGTCTCGCCCGTTTGTAGAGCTGTAGATCATAGTGAAGTGTGTGGCGTGCCATTCGGCGGGGCCCCCGCACCTGGGCACGCTTATTTGCTAGTCGCGCTAGTGTCCGGAGCATAAAGCTTGCATCATTGGTGCGGCCGGCACTCTTTCTCTCCTTTAGATGAGGCTTGCCTCTTGGCTATTTATTTCTCGATGTCTTTGGAATAGCATTGGCCTGTTCGGCTTCTTGAAGACCTTGACGAAGCCCTCCGTTCGAATGCTCTTTGTTGGTCCTGATACCCAATCATGGAAGTCTAGTAGTCGTGGTGAATTCTGGTGCGACTAAAGGACCTGAGCCGCGGAATGTGAGTATTATGAGTGCTAGAAAGAACGTCGCGGGAATGTTGGCACAGACTCATTAAGGGCGGCCCTTGAGCGCTTGCAGAATCCTTAGGTAGCGCCCAGTGCGATGGGTGGTGTCGATCGCTTCTTGCACCAAGCCACAGAACGGTATCTGGAAAGTTACCGAGGAACTTTGAGGTACTACTGTATGTGGATGTGTCTTCGATGACATACGTATTGGCATGAGCCACTGCCACGGGTGCATGTGGGAACTACGCCTCGGCAAGGCCTCCAATGTTTGAGTTCGGGCTGACGTTTGTCGCGCATTTTACTGCCGTAGTTCTGTTTAAAGTGGTCTCGCGTCTGTGATAGAAATCCGATCGGCTTCTAGTCGTTGCACACCATAAAAGTAAATCGCGGAAGCGCTGTTCTAGGTGAAGTCGCGAAACGCAAGATCGGCTGGAGCCTCTACAGAGTAGGCGCATCGTCGATATGGATTCTTCTCGTCAGTGTTGAAGTGTGTGGCCAGGCGTTTAACTAGCGATTTACTGTCCACTTAGTCCAGTGGTCACACGTGGACGCGATTAACCTTCCGCGCGAAAGGCGGCGAGACGCTCGCAAGAACCTTGGTAACTGCGCAAAGTCGAGGTGGAATTACCTTCAATGATAGCATCAGCTAGAATTATAAAATCTTATGTTGCGTTGGCAGTGTTACTCTGCTGTGCACATTGTGACCTTCAAGCTTTAGTCCGCTCTCTGAGCCAAACATGCTGCGACGAAAGAGACGAAAGCTGGCTAATGAATTGACTGCAAAACCTGCACATGCTGACCTTTTTTCGTGCCATCAGGCTGGACTTTTGCCGAGGCATAAATTGTGCTTGGTGCTCCGGTTCTGCCTTGCCCAGAGGTCTGATTATTGGGTCTTTTGGGACGGAAGCCTACCAGCAACTCCGGACCTCTATCCGTAGTGCTGGCATTGATGCTGTATGTAAGCCACGACCCGATACGTGGGGACCTGGGGTAGCCTACCCACATCACGGTTCACGGATCACTTAAGTAGTGAAAGCGAGCGATGGTCGCATGGTCGAAAAAGGCATCCGCACAATACTCAGAGATCTCCAGATAAGAGGATGGAAGGCCAGCATCATTTGTGAGCACGCTCGTAGTGTTGAAGCTTGACGTTCGACCGGATGAGAATAGAAAAACTGAGACTAGGAAGGAGCCGCACTGGGCTCCGCTGCAGCGCAAGAGGATTGCGTTGTAGATTCGTCTAGGTACTTCCTAAGGATTGAATGATAGGTATCAGCTGGTTCCAAGCTAAGGAAGGGTGTTTGCCCATAATAGTAAATGCACTTGATGAATTGAGTGTGTGACTGACCTGGTTCTTTCTCCTCGGCTTCTCTGCGTCTCTGCGTCTTGAAGTAACCCCAGTCGTGGAATCTCCCCCCATTGACTCCAGATATACCAACCAACTATATAGGTCGTAGGCAGCTTGATGGACATTGGAGGTTAACATTCAAATTGCTGTCCGTCCAGCTTCTTCACTGGCAAGGTCACTAATCACATGTCGACCACCTTCTTATTGTTTGTAGCTGCACCAGAGAAGGGATCATTCTTGGATGAGCTTGATCTGTACATTGTCCGTTGATGATTGAGACGGAAGGTCACTTACGAGGTGGTAAGAATGCGAAGAGAAGGAAGCCATAATTAGCGTCTTGGCGCTGCCCCTCTTGCGCTGACGCAGGCACCGCTCCCCCAGCGAACATCATGACCGACCCCGTACCCCCGTACTCCGGTAATGTTTTTCGCATGTTATATCCGCGAACGGACTGGCTGCATCGCTTCCTTGCAAAGCCCAACATTCCGATTTCAAAGTTCCGTTGCGTGGTGTATTTGCATCACTTCTATCTCGGATTCGGGCACTCGCAAGCTTAGAAACAGTGTAAGGGCTGTAACATGATCTGAACAATACGCATCACTGCTCATTTCGCCCTTGACAACAGGATTCATTCGCCTCGAGGAGAGGGCCATAGTGACTCAAGGCTCAACACAGCCATTGGACACGACTTCCTCCTGGCGGAAATGGCATTGAACTCTAGTAGGGTAAAGTTTTGCGTTTTCGGCCCTGTGTTAGATGAAGAACTCGAACTGTTCAATCACCCTGCGAGATGATAACGATACGACCTCGATCGGTGTATCATTGCGGGACGGCCAATTGATCGGTGGAATTCCAGCCATTCCCGTGATTCAGGCGTCGAGCAAACTGGACTAATAGCTGTTCGCACGGCCTCTGCTGCACTAGCTGCAAACAGCTGAAGGTCTGAATTCCGAAGTAAGAGTGCCATTTGATGTGTGTCCAAACTCGGTACATGGTTTTGATGTTTGGCGTGCTAAGCAGATTAGACCCTGGAATTGTGCGTTCGCGGCATCTTCTCCGCCCAAGCTTCAAGCTGATGACGACAATCGCGTCAGCTATCCCCCGTCATCACCCCGAACGCTAGACACGCGACAACAAACCACCTCGAGCATGAAGGTCGCATCGTTCGGAATTCGGAATGATTGCCAGTGCATCGCGCGCGCGAATGGCTGACTCGTGCTCACCGCAAATAGCGCACCTGTGACCATGAGCGGCTAGCCGTGACTGCGGGGTGCACGCCCTTCACGGACGCAGCATGGGAGCAGGCATGGGACTTTGTGACTGTTCCTGCTCTTCTTTCTTACTTTGCAGCTTTTGATAGCATGCATCCTTTTCAACCACCGCCGCCATGACAGAACACCGCCTACCAGTCAAGCAACTGGCGATTCTCTGTACGTCCGCTCGACGCGTCTTCAACTGTAAGCTTGCTAACCTCGCGACAGCAATATGCCGTTTTGCCGAACCCATCGCCCTCACGTCTGTCTTCCCCTACGTTCCCGAGCTCATGGAATCCTTTGGCATTCCTAAGAATGACATCGCGCGCTGGGCTGGTATCTCGTCCTCGGCCTTCTCGCTATGTCAGGGCTTCACTGGCCTTCTCTGGGGCGCTGCATCCGATCGCTACGGAAGGAAGCCGATTATACTTTTTGGTCTTGCCAATACTATGTGGTCAATGTTGCTATGGGGTTTCTCGCTCAATCTGCCCATGGCTTTGGCCGCACGCGCTATTGGAGGACTATCGAACGGTTACGTGGGCATCCTACGCACTACTGTGGCGGAACTATGCCCATGGAAAGAACTGCAACCGAGAGCATTCAGCGTCATGTAAGTTTTAGTTGTACGAAGTGCATGTGAGACACATACTGACTTCGTACCCCTACCTCTGCAGGCCCTTAGTCTGGACAGTAGGTGCCACATTTGGACCTACACTCGGTGGAGCGTTGGCCAATCCTCTTGGCGTGGATCCTCGCAAGCCTAAAGGTACGGCTTTTCTGGAGAGATTCCCGTACTGCTTGCCTAATATCGTGGCTGCGGCATTGTTCACTTTTGGCATTTCAGTAGGCTGGCTTTTCCTCCAGGAGACCCTAGAAAGCAAGAAGCACGCCCCAGATCTAGGCCTGAGAACTGGGGCTCGTTTGACAGCATTTGTTCGCAAAGTACTACACCTTCCAACCAAGAAGCAAAACAGCAGTCCAGAGCACGAGCCTCTACTTGGTCAGCTTAAAGCAATCGACAGCGAAACGATGTCGCAACATGATGCTGCTCATGAAATCATCCCAGAAAAGGCACCGAGGTATCGAGATGTATTGACATATCAAACATCGCTTAATCTGATTGTGTACACGCTACTCGCTATGTACCTTCAGGCATATGATCAGGTGCGTGATATTGCGCACTTACCAAGTATTGATATTGATCCGGTGCAGCTTCTCCCAGTTTTCATGCATCACCCTGTACAACTCGCAGACGACCCTACAGTATCCCTTCCTCTGAAATTCGCAGGAGGTTTCGGCATTGAATCCCGTCGCATCGGCATCATCTTTACCGTATTCGCCATCTCATGCACTGTGTGTCAATTCCTGCTGTTCCCACCCATTGCGCGCTACCTTGGTGTTGTTCGCTGCCTTCGGATCGCCTTTCTCATCTTCCCGTTTGTCTTCTTCGTCACACCATTCCTGTCGCTTATCTCAGATCCAGTCATGAGGGAAATCGCCATGGTTATGCTCTTGATGGTCAGAGGCCTGGCTGGCACATTCTCATTCACCACTAGTACAATTATGCTCACGAACAGTGCGCTTAGTCTACGTGTCCTAGGCACCGTCAACGGTCTGGCTACTAGTTTCAGCTCTTTCGGTAGGGCATTAGGTCCAACTTTGGGGGGTGGCTTGTTTACTTGGGGTGTCAAGCGTGGCTACGTCATTGTACCTTTCTGGACAATGTCCGCCATTGCGCTTGCTGCCTCCATACCAACTTTCTGGCTAGTCGAGGGTAAAGGGTTTGGAGGTGACGAAGATATCAACGACCTGGAAAATACCATTGAGACGGAAGAAGAAGTGGTTGAGAATGACGCGAGGGTACCTCCAACAGCCTGGCAACAAGATGATGCAGCGTTCTCCGAGTCAGAGTTTGGCGACTTCGGAGACCCACCAAATATCTTGAGTCTAACAACTACGCGATCGAGCGTAGCCATGGCCTCTGATGATGAAGATAATGCTTCAGTGTCTGTGGGTCAAGGACAGTCGATGAATCCCTTGGAGGCGGCAAGAAGTCATTCGCAGACCAGACGACGAAAGATTGTGAGGAGGACGTCATCGATACCGATTGGTATGGGTAAGGGATTCAGGCGATACAGCTCTAACCTAGGCAGCACGGGTATCGGCGGAGGCGGTGCTAGCTGGGGAGGCGCATAAATCTGGACTTGGGTGGGAAGCTGTGCATTACTGAGCATCTTTGGAAAAAGCATCAAAACATGAGTTCATTACGCGCATTGATTTTAAGCCAACTCAAGCCTCTTGTATGTCAATGGCAATATTGCAAGTGATGTGCTAAACCTCGATACACTTTCTTCGATATCCCTCCCACGACTGTATTATCCACGGTCGTACGTGAGAGCGTCATAAAGGTTACCTTAGAATCATCCAAAGTAGAACAAAAAGTATGTCTTCTCATCCCGACACGAACATGAGGTAACGGATGTGTAAGATTCAACATTGCGCAAGCGCAAATCCTAGGTGGTGATGATGGTGGTAGAGAAAAGTTCAATTACAATGTACAGACTACTGATACTGTGTCATCCAACCTGCCTACGATGCGTCGTAATCCATAATCTGAGCGCCTGATCCATTAAGGACTATATATCAACGCCCTGTATCACCGCATACCTCAACCATACCAGGGTATCTGATACTCCACGATGAACTCCATCCGATAATCATGCAATGTCCCCCCGCGATAACCCCCTAGCCCAGCCCCTATTGAACAATAACATAGTCAGTATCCTCATCCCAATTCCTTCCTATGCTGACAACATCAAAGTCCTCGCTAACGTAGGAGTCGTCGGGGAAAAGACTAGATAGAACGATACGATGCAACGTTTCTCTTCGAAGCTTCCACGCAGCCATGCGGGGCAGAAGCTGGTGCTCAGACTATGAGCCTTGGCCAACATTGTCCATACCGCCTCTGTTGGGCATACCAAAGGGATTCCTGTTATCGCTGACGGGTGTGCTGTCGTGTTTATTAATGGCCGCATTGATAGGGCCATTGATGCTCGCGTTGCGCACGGGGCCGCTCATGCTGTTTCGGCCGTTTACGGGGTTGCCGTGGATATTTGTGGGTACGCCGTTGTTATTCATGCTAGGGCCTGGCATGCTGTTGTTTCGATTGTGGTTGTGTACCCCGCTACCGTTCATTGCAACGGGCAGGCCGTTGGGCATGTTGTTATGCATGTTGTTCTCCATGCCTGCGCTCATGGGGCCGCCCATTGGTGGACCCATTCTCGCGCTCTCGTTGTTATCGCCCATGTTGTCGACGTCGGGCCAGAAGCGCTCTTCCAGCCAACACATTTGTCGGAAGATCTCTTCGCAGCGTGACATTTCCTCTTTGCCATCGCGTGTGGTTGTGATGTTTGCTAGCTCATCGACGAGTGCGCGTGTTGCCTCGACGAATTTGCTGAAGGCGGGGGAGGTCCAGTTCGGTATTAGGGCTTGATGGAGGGCGACGATGTGCGAGTCAGTGGAGGTGTTGGAGAGGGTATTGGAGAAGGAGGCGGCATATTGCCAGGCGGAGCGATAGCACTATCAGACATTAGCTTCGTGCGCCCGTTACTGAGTTGGGTAGGACCTACATGTTCGCTTGCCCATAGCACGACCATGCCCTCTAGAAGTGATGCGCTTGCACTACTTGCGCTCACGAGAAGATCGAGCATGGCGCGCGTGATAGGCGTAGGCGGGTCCATACTCAGCGCCAGCCCATACTTGGTCGCGGTAATCTCGAAGAACTGCATCTCTCTTCGCATATTATTCAAGGCGGAGATGAGCAGGTCCATGGTACGATACATGGGATGGAACTGCGAGTTCTGCGTCTGCGGCAGCCTTATCTTGGCCAGCAGCTGCCCTATGAAGCGTATGTAGCCTCGCGCATAGTGTCCGTCTTGTACTAGCCATTGCGACAGCGGTCCTGCTCCTAGTGATCCACAGCCGGCATGCGATAGGAACGGTCGCTGTGTTGCCTGCGCAAATGGACCTGAGCAGATGCTCAAGAGATGAGACGTCAGGGAAGGCGCAACATTGGGTGTCATAGCAATGTTCGGCGCAATAGGCTGTCCATCGCGTGTGCGCTTACTGTTGGGACCGCGCCGATTTACTTGGAGGTTTGGATTGGGCTGCTGTCCACTCAGTATTTGACTGGGGCCTGGTGCCATATTCGAATCTATAGCCAATCCATTCTGCTGAGGCGGCTGCTGTTGTTGTTGCTGCTCCTGCGCAAGAAGGTGGGCCTGCGCCTCAGGCGAAGTCAGATATCGCTGGCAGTCTTGGAGATGCTCGATCTGTCGCGTTGTATTCTTCGCGCGTACGAAGCCGCAATGCAAACAGCGTACTTTGTTACATTTCGAGGGTGTGTCTTGGTCCTGAAACTCTTCGAATGCGCGCCTTATGTCAGGGTTGGCATGTCTGCCCATGGCGGCCTGCTGCCATGATGGACGTTAGCCTCATGGCAGCACATGTCGTCGGAAAAGATACGGAACAAGTGGAGCTCACCTCGAATCGGGCTGTCTCGATGATGTGATGTGTATTGTGTATTGTAACAATCCGGGCGGGTAAGGTATCGCCCTTCACCGAGGCATGTTAGGCGACTGCGGCGCCCTTACCGAAGCCGACATTGCCCAGATGGACCTGCCCTTCTCCAAACATATCTCCGGCTGCACCTGCCCTGGAGGCGTTTGTAATTTTCTACACTGGTAGAGACTAAGTTGGGATACAGTATGGCTAGGCGTTAGACGTTGATGTGGTTTCACGTGGTCGACATGTGCGTATCGTGGGCATCATTAGTAACCCAGTTCTGTTCGTTAGATTGCCGCCAGCGCCTGTGCACGCGAAATCTTTCCGTAATTTCAATCGGCGGCCATGCAGTGCATCGAGAACGCCCCCGCGTGACTTGCACCATGCGTCTGGAACTAAGCAGGCGCAACATTGTACGCCAAACCTCCAACTACTCGAGTAAGTACCATCGTCATCAAGTCGCCATACTGTGTCGACTGTCTTGTCTTGGGTCACATGGCCTGAAAGCCCCCGAGGCCGTCATTACCCGGGCGGCGACTCTGTCTACCTTCATCACGCCGACATCTTGACCCAAACTTCACTCTCACGATGCTTCACACTACCCCACAAACCTCTGCCGTCAGCTAAACTCGTTCCAGCAGTCCAACCCGCCCGCGCATCTCCGGACCGAGTTGCACGATGCATCGTGACTGATGACGCTGCGCAGCTAACTGCCACCTTGGTAGACTAGCAGGCCGGCAGACGAATCCTCGTCGGGTACATGAACCTCAGGGAGCTTTGGGCAGCCACGATGGTTACTAGAAAACTTCTCGCAGTCACAAGCCCTTCCATGGCTCCGACGATCACGCTCGTAGATCTACTGCCGACAATCAGCGCCGGGAAAGGCATCGTGCCACCTTCCCCGCATCAGCCAAGCTTTTTGCGATCGCGCGCCGTTGCACGTTTATACCCGACAATCGTGTCTTGTCAGTAACCTGGTAACGACATCACTTAGGCAAGGTGCATATGTGTCCGGTGAGTCGGGGGCGAATCTCGTGATGCGCAGAAGAGGAAGTTGGCAATGTGCGGTGAAGAAGACATTTGCGATTGATGACGTCGATACATCTAGGAGGCGGCTCATTCTGCTGTTGCCCTATTGGCAAGCCACACGGTTCGCCTCGCACGTTGGACAACACGGCAGGAAACAAGTTGCTTTTACAAATGAATGTCGCCTTTAGCCAGTCGGCAAGGCAGAGGTACCTGCTTCAGCGTTCAGGTACCACAGTCCTCTACATGTGGTAAAGATCACTGCGCACGAAAAGGCATGAGTCAGATAATGGCATCATACCTCCACCATGTTGGAAGAACTTCGGCCTCGTGGGCCTTTTGCCCGGGGACAGCGTGTTTTGCATGTGGACATGTTGCCGATCACAGAACCACAAAGAAGGTCTGGCTTTGACCTTCCCCGCAACGGTGCCGCTTGCAGCTCAGTCCTACATTCCTGAGCCGCCCTGTGTGGAAGAATGCACGACATCAGATGCTCAGTACATACCAAGCGTACTCCGTAAGAATATCGGGGAACGCCCGAAGCAACGTTACACGAACTTGGCCGCGACCGGATTCCCATGTTGTCGACCATGCTTTTGACAAGTCCGAGGTGTTGGCAAACGCCAACTCACTCCCAAGAACCCAATGTCCACTTTCCGGTGTATCACCGCGCTCCTCGGGCGCGGTTCCAAGCTTCTCGAAGATCGTCTCCAACGCGTGAGCACCGCCTCGGAAGCTAAGTGGCTGAGACACGCCGATCCCCACATCATAGCCATCAAACAGTCCTCCAATCACCACACTGTACCTGAATATCCCTTACAATTTTCGCCAAGCACCAACCCTGCATCTGACCTCTTTGATCCGCCTGACCCCAGATCTTTTGCTTTATGCTATGGCCTGCCGAGGCCCTCAGGGTCCATTTTACCGTAGCTTGCTAGTGGAACCGGTCTTCGTGGCGGTTGTCAAGCGGCTTGGGGTAGCTTCGACTTGCTCCCCCTATTGGAGCTGTTGCGTCACCGCGTCATTTGCCAGCGATGCCTCCGTGTCCGGAGTAAGTAACGATGTACACATCGTTCCGACGCTGCTCGATCGTGACATGTCGGCGGTACCGCGGTTGGTTGCCTTGGAGGCCTTCCCCGACACCACCCTGCTGGTGGCCAGAATAGCTCTCGCGGCTAGCTGGGATGGAGCTCCGGGAAAAGGAGATCATCGCTACGTCGTGAAGCAGCGAACACATGCTTGTATGGTAGGCATGACTGGGAAGAAAATTGGGGCGAATTTGTTGCTGTGTTGGCGGCTTGTGAGTCTTCGCTTTGTTCTGGTTAAAGGGAGATCCTTCCCCCGATGCCATGGGTCTGCACAAGTTCAACTTTGGATCCATCAGCTACACAACCTTTCCTGTACTCCTCTAAAGTACAATTGCATGTTATACAGCATTCAGTTAGTTGAGTAACAACACCTCGTCTCAATATGATCGGATCCTGGACGTCGGCTGCGGCCATTGGCCTGCTCGCTCTGAGCACAAACGCATCTCCGCTTCAACCCATCAAGCGTGCACCCATGTTCGATTACAACAACCAGAAGGTCCGCGGTGTCAACACAGGCGGTTGGTTCGTTCTCGAGCCCTGGATCACACCCAGCATGTTCGAGGGCAACAGCGCAAAAGACGAGTACACACTCGTTGCAGCTATCGGCAAGGAAGAAGCACAGTCGAGGCTGAGGAACCACTGGAACTCGTGGATCACCAAAGACGACTTCAACCAGATGGCCGCTGCTGGTCTGAACCACGTTCGAATCCCAATCGGCTACTGGAGCGTGCTTCCGCGCGACGGCGACCCATACCTGCCAGGCGCGTACGACAAGCTCGGAGAAGCGCTCGACTGGGCGTCCGAAGCTGGTCTCCATGTCATGATCGATCTTCATGGCGCACCCGAATCCCAGAACGGGTTCGACAACTCCGGCAAGTACGGCAACGTTGGCTGGACTCAGGGCGATTCCGTGGCCTACACCATCAAAGTCCTCAACAAGATCCGCGATGACCACGCGTCGCATCCCGCCGTCTCAGCCATCGAGCTTCTCAACGAGCCTCTGGGTCCCAGTCTCGACATGAACACGGTTCGTCAATTCTACATGGACGGTTGGGGCAACCTGAGGGACTCGAATGTCGCAGTCACCTTCCACGATGCTTTCCAGGGTGTAACTTCGTGGGGTAACTGGGGCGCGGGAATGTGGAACCTTCTCCTCGACACTCACCACTACGAGATCTTTGACAACTCGGCTGTTGCCATGAGCATTGACGACCACGTCAAGACTGCTTGCGACTTTGGTAACCAGATGGCATCCACTGGCAAGTGGACTATCGCCGGTGAATGGACTGGTGGCATCACCGACTGCGCGAAGTGGCTGAACGGAAAGGATAAGGGTGCCCGTTACGATGGTACCTTTGGCGGCTCCAAGGTCGGTGACTGCACCGGCAAGTCGACTGGCACGGTTGCTGGCCTGTCAAACGACGACAAGTACAACGTCGGACGCTTCATTGAGGCGCAGCTTGATGCCTACGAGAAGGCCACCGGTTGGATTTTCTGGACCTGGAAGACCGAGGGCGCGCCCGAATGGGACATGCAGGACCTCTTGGCCAACGGTCTCTTCCCTCAGCCGCTAACGGCACGAAAGTGTAAGTACTCCTTCTGGTGTCGCATGCGCATGAAACTGACAGCCTCCAGACCCCGGCCAGTGTGGCTAAGTGCCTCGTTGTTCATGCAACGTCTACTTGGCGCGATCCTACTCTTTTTCCCGTCTGTCATGCACCACACACTCGCTCCGCCGCACAACACCTCCTACTCGACACACCGACCAGTAATGATGTAACGAATTTCATACCGCTTCGAAGATACCCCGACGACGCGTTCACTCGCTAAATGGGACACCCACATACAGTAGGGCTGTCCATGCTTGTATCGGCTGACACATCTGTCACCGTCGCACCGCCCCATTGAGCTGTAAAGCAACCAAGCTGTTGGCAGGGCAGGGGCGCACCTGGCGCAATGTAAATATGAGACGATAAACAAACAGTAAAGTCAACAATGCATTGGAGAAATTGAAACAAACGCAAATCATCGTGACACGTCGAAGCCGTGAGTTGGATTACTTTGTCAAGGTTTAATGGGGTGCAGCGGTGATTTTGCGGGCTGACGGGCTTGTTCGCGGCTGCCGCGCCCGGCCCAAGCCCATTTCACTTGCATCTGCCCTACTGTGAGATGAATGTCTGTGATGTGCAGCCTCGCTTAGGCGGCGTTGCGTCGAGCCAGAGCGCAGAGGTGCGACAATGGGCCAACCTAACTCTCCCTTTTCGGGGCCTGTTCATGAACCAGTGGCGTCTCGACGGCCGCCAGTGCAGCGGTACCTGAGCTAGACCGCACGACTCGGGCGCAAGCAAGCAGATCGCGTTCCACGGCTTACGAGAATCTGGAGAAACCTCGCCCGCGCATCGTGACACCGCCTCACCGCAAAGTCTAACACATCGATAAAATGCGACTTTCATCTCTTCGGCGTTGAGCTGTCGGCCCTTCAGCTGTTAGGGCTGTGTAAGCGCCGATATTGCTGACAGTCTGCCGGCTGACAGGAACAACGCTCCTAACTTTCAGGCACCCGCAGACAAAAGCAATCTCCAAGAAGCCAGGAATAGCCCGCGCCAGCGTCCAACAAGCTGACCGGTAAAGCCACCAAGCACTCCTGAAGACGCCGCAATCCACTGCAATACGAGCTGCCTAAATCCCTCGTCGCCGTGTCATTCGTCACGCCCGCCCAAGCGCGGTGTAATGCGGCCTAGCGTTGGCTCCGAAGGATATTGCACGGGACTGAAGCACCAATCTTAAGTTGCGCCGGCAACAGGGGTACCTGCATTGACCGTTTGTGGATGGGAAAATCGATATAGTTCGAGTGACTCCCTCTTGTCTTGTTTCTTCCTACTGCTCACCTTCGCCTAGATATCTTGCAGCCCTCAGAAGACTTTTGTTTTCAGCCCTTCTTTAAGAAACCAGTCACTCATTACAGCCCATCTCCCACTACTTAATACTCGATCTACTCCGGTTAATCACCTAATACCCACACAACAACCATCAACATGTACTCCAAGGTTTCCATCATCACCTTCTTCGCCGGCCTCGCCGCTGCCCAGATCCACGCTCCCGTTGGCGAGCCCAGTGGTAACCCCATCACCCGTCCTTTGAACGAGGTATGTTTGCACCCATGAGCTTTGCGCGCGCGCATCGCGAAACCAAACAGGACCCTTGAAGCTAATGCGCCCCACTAGGTTGTCCCCACCTGCGAGCAGTTCACCATCACCTGGCAGCCAACTACCCCCAACACCGTCTCCGTCCTCCTCCTCAAGGGCCCCTCCACCAACGTCGTCAAGTTCGGTCCTTCCATCGCCGAGGGTATCTCCAACAGCGGTTCCCTCAGCTGGACCCCTGCCTCCACCCTCGAGGCTACCAACGGCCCCAACGGATACGGTATCCAGATCATTGACGATGTCACTGGCCAGTACCAGTACTCCACCCAGTTCGGTATCTCCGCTGGAAAGTGCGAGGAGGCCGTCTCTTCCTCCATGATCGAGCCCAGCAGCGTCGCCGCTGCTGCCAGCTCTACCCCCGCTGCCAGCTACGGAAACGGATACGGTGCTTCAACTCCCGCTGCTAGCCACACCCCCATCCCTCTGCCTTCCTCCGTCCACTCCAGCGAGGCTCCTTACCCCACCACTGTCATGACCTCTGCCATGGTCCCTGCCTACAGCACTGGTGTCCACGCCAACGGCACCGTCCCCATGCCCACTGCTGGTGGCAACGCCACCACCTCCAGGCTCCCTGAGGCTACCACCAACGCTGCTTCCGGTGTCCAGGCTGCGCTCAGCTTCGCTGGTGCCGCAGCTGCTTTCGCTTTCATGCTATAAGTGCATTTCCGTACCCCGGATCTGTTATTATGTCATGACTAGCATTGGTTTCCTTTCTCTTCGATGATACTCCTGGTGTTTACTCATAGGGTATACCGCCTTTGTTTGGTTCCGAACTTGTGTGTTGCTTGTGTGGTGGGCGGTTGTAACTAGAGTGGAATGCGAGTGTTTTGCATAGTCGTTGGCGCGATTGCTTACCCAAAAGGACCTTTTGTGATGCGTAATGGAATCGATTATACCCTTTACTCGCTCTTCATCTACGTGATGTTCAATACAGAGTCAATGGGTGCCTTACTGATATTACTCTCAAGCCAACAGTGCCCCGCGCATCAAACTTCGAAGTTATTATGTCAGGCAGAAAAGGTTTACCCATGTTCTCTTCGTATAGTATTACTCGCTCAACGAGAAGCAGAGAAGGCTGCGCTTTGAGCTTAGTTGACATTGGATGTATAGTCTTAAATTTATCATGCATCACCAGTAAATCGGTATATCTAAGATTACTAATCTAGTATATCGAGCCAATAGACACAATCATTCAACACACGTTCGAAGCTCGAAAAACTCTCTCAATCAAGCGGCGATGCCGCTAGAATCCACAAGCCAAAATACACTTCTTGATCTTGTTCGTCTGTATGGTGAAGAGCAAGTATTCTGACTTGTCCTGCTGCCTAACGCCCCAACTCGTAGCACCATCTTTATGAACTCGTAGATCGCACATAGCAGACTCATACTCGCCTACACTCGCGAACGACTCTTGGCAATACGAATACATCACTATCATCCGCCCTGCCAAGCCATAATTCGCGGGCATACCTAGTGAGCGGACCACACCCGCTGTACTAAAGCAGCAGCGCGATTGGATCGCTGTGTGAACGAAATGCTTTTTCCACCGAAACGCAAGACCATGTGTCTGCATCGAGCAAGGTAGTGCATCGTTTGTGGTATAGTATTTAGCTAATCTGGTAAGCTTGTGTAGCAGGGCGTAGTGTGAACTACATTGTGTGTCCGTTTGTGGGTTGGTGTGCGGTACTTGGCATGCTGACTTTGGACGTTGATGGAGCTTGGCGAAGTATCTTACAGGCGTGGTGGAACTGGTGTTGAGCCGGTGAGGATGTCTGTTTGGATTGGATGGATTATGTGGTAAGGCGCGGAATCCGTGCCTTGGATATGGCAGGCAAAGATTTTGAAAAAGTGGTTGATTGGTCGTCGGCAGAGTGTCTCTCAAGATGTACGTGTGGAACAGAAAATCGCCTTTCCGGTGGCTTTCAAGAGCATGAACTCATAGCAAGCTTGTCATTATTTCCTTCGATATAACACGTAAGCTCTCATATAGCCAAGCTTGCCGAGGTCAATCCCATATGATGATATCTGCTCACTTCACCTGGGCATGTCTCACGACTCCACTTCTTCAACAGTGCATTCAACCGGACCTTGCAGAAGCCAATGGTCCTAAGAGAGACATCCAATTGTCTGCTTAAGACGCCCGAGACAGTAGACATCATGATGACCAAAAGCAACACCGGCGTGGTCGATCGTTGTCTTGCTGGGTGGACTTGAGAGTCTTCTGGTGGACATGCTAGCATATAAAAGGCAACGAGTATCCGCGTCTACTTCCAACAATCACTCAACTCTTTCATCTCCAGACTCCCATCTCTTCATCTAGCTTTCCCAATCCACCGTCCATCAGCCACCATGAAGTACCTCATCACCACCCTCGCGGCAACGGCAGCTCTCCTGAGCGCCGTCACCGCCGACTTCGAGATCTACCGCGTAGGCATCGGCGGTAACGGAATCACTGCAAACGTTGAAGGCTGGCAAGTCTATCAAGACGAAGCCAACTGCGACACTGTGTTAGATTGGATATGGCCCGACACTGACGACGCGAGTGGCCGTGGCGTCCGCTGCGAAGGCGACGGCTGCGGCCGTGCTGACGACGATGATCCTGCTAACATTGAGGTTTTGGAGATGAATTTCGAGGGGTATCACTGGAGTGAGTATGATCTTACACTTGGTGTTGTGAGTAGTAGGAGATTATGTGACTGACGTCGGTTTGCGCAATCTAGCTTACTACCGCGACCGCAACGGAGGCGACCTGGTCGACACGAATGACGTCCCCGTTGGAAAGTGCTATCCATTCCCTGCGGCGTTCCTGGAATGCGGCTTGACCGTTTCCAGATTGGAGGGTTACCGAAAGCTACGCTGTGACGGGATTGATGTCAGCGCTGAGCAGATCAACTCCAATCGCTTCAGCTTCAGGGGCCGCAGCTTGCCCGGGCGCAAATAAGTGGGCTTCGTACCTATTGAGACCATGGTTCAACACCTTGGTTTCTCAGCGGCTTAGTGATCCTCCGCAATTCACGGTGTGAGATATTTGCGGGAGTATTACACATTCATTTCTTTCTCATATAGTTCGTACACTCGCTTGGAATAAACAAACAGACGTCTGCTATCTTTCCCTTGAGTCATCAGCGAAACCACCGTTAATATTCTCCCCATTAACGACTTAAGTGCCTGCTCGCCATGCCCAAGTCAAACTCCAACGGTTCACCCTTCCAAGGCGCATCCACGCCTTCATGAACGTGTTCAAGCGATGGCCTTCCGCTAATAGAGGTTCGCTGAACCACGACCTCATGCGTACACCAGATCTCGCCATTACCTGCACTCGTCTCATTGGCACTAGCGCGCCAATGCATCTCGTCCGACGACCCCGACGACCCCTCCGTACGCAGCTCCTTCAATTTGAAGCCGGACTCTTCGTCTCCTTCGACAATAGCAAGGCGACTCTGGCTTTGACTTCGGAAGTTGTCCCTATTGACTTCAGACTCTTGCGTACGTCCGTAGCCGCGGGAGAAGGTGTGATTTTTGAGCCGAACACTGGCAACGCCGAGGTAACGCAGTACGTGTTGGAACGGCGAGCGTAGAGTTGGTACGCAGATGACGATGAAGCCCACAAGCTCTTCGATAGCAGACCACATGCCGACAACGATGCTTTCGTTCATCGGGTCGCCCGTCTTGCCAAAGTTCATAGCAGCAATAATTTTCAAGATCGATGCCACACCCGCGAAGAATCCGAGTCCCATAAGTGCGCCGACGATGACGCGTTCGCGAACAGGACGCTGGATCCCACGAAGGAAGGATATGGGAAGAAGGGCGAGTATGAAGTCGGTGAGGATATGGACGACGGAGACGGTTATAGAACTTATTCTAACTCCTGTCCTGCTCCAGCAATGGCCTTTTACTGTACCGAGTAAATCCCATGCTTTCTCGACCGGTATGCATTGCAGTAGTGTTGCTAGTGTGTTGTAGACCGCAAGTATGACCTGCAGACCGATCATGGCCCAGAGGAAGTGCTTCATGAAATTCGAGGGAGAGATTCGAAGAAGCATCAGGGAGAAGGATATCTTGACCAAGGCCATAGACCACCCCCAAATTGGTTGTGAGATAGACGCTTTTCTGTATGCAGCTTGCGCGTCTGACAGGAAGAACTCGTTTGGTGGGAGCCCGAAAGCATACGGCGTGGCGGCAAGGAGAAGACTTGTGTTAACTACTACCAAGACCTGGTCCTGTCAGTCGACCTAATATCATGAGTATATTAGAGAACATGGGCTGCTACTTACCCATGCCAAAGCGCAGGTGTAATCGTCCCACTGCATTCTGTATACAGGCCTCCATCGCGACCACATGCGCGCTCCAAAGACGATCAGAGCGATGCCTTGAAGGGCCAGTGTCGCACCGGCAATGGATTTCCCACTCCTCAGCGCTGCCGCGGAAGGAGGCGCAGGAATCAAGTGAGGATCTGGTGGTGGTGTTGCCATGACACTCCTGTCAACATGTCGTTTGCGAGTGACGGGGCACTGATGCTCATTCCAGGTAAACAGTGTATCAAGCGGAACCGCGGAGCATATTAGGAGTATATCAAGCTTCAACAAGCATGGCCCATGGTGGCGTGGGGCACACTCTAGCGATAAACTTCGAGCGCCGACCCAAATGACACCGATCGTAGCTTGCGATATACTTTAAGGCCATGTCGTGGCACGTTGGGTTCAAAGCCAATTGTCGAAGATGCGCATTTGTACCAATAAGGACGCGGTGTTCATGTCGCTGTAAATTTCCCAGGCACGTCAGGCACACTGCCTGACGATGTAGGCTGAAGGTGATCGTTCATCCGCTGCAGGGGGCTCGCTATTGGGTATGTCGATCACACCACAATGTTGGTCGAGATAGTGGTGCTAGCCATCGTAGTGAAACTTAGCATCTTCTTTCAGGTCTTGATTGGCCGAACTTCTCATGAAGGTGTGCGGAAGAACATTCGATCCAACTTCTCAAAATGTAGCCTCTGAATATCCTTTTGTTAGAGTTTGAATGTTCCGACGCAACGTCGCATTCTCCCGACCGTCAGTTGCTCTTCGGGTAGATCATCTGCACTGAATCAGGCTAAAGGCGTGATGTTGGGCGCCGTATATAAGTCTGGAAGGGTTGCATGTACGCAGATTGGTTCCGTTTTAGGTTTCTCCGCGCAGAAGTTCGGCGAATATTTGGCGAAATCTGGCGAAATTGGGAAGATGGTGAAGACGATGTACTTAGTGACGGGAAGCGAGTGCGGGCGCGATCGCGGGTGGCGGGCGATATCGTGGTAGCCTTGGACCCCGATCACTAATCACCAATTCGACAGAGGTGATAGTGGGTGCCGAGGCGCTTTCCGGCGATGCCGCCAACCAGCTGCTTGAATGCCACATGAAGGCGCTGAGCCATCATGAACCTTTCATGCGAATGTAAGACGTTGCCAAACCAAGTCACAGAAAATTCTTAGTCACGCTCGCCTCCCATTGCCGCATCGAGGAGCTGCATGCGTTCTCCTGGCCAGCACTCAGACGCTTAATTGATCGATCTTGGTCTCACGAACATCGCACAAGCGTTAGCACGCGCGATGTCGCCTCAAGGAAAACGAGGCATTCATCGGCCACAGACAGCTGCGGAGGCTCATACCAAATTTGCTGGCCAAAGTTGAACGATCGTGTTATCTTATACTAGCGACCATTTGCGCAACAAGTCCCTCACAGTAGGTGCATACTGTGTATACAGAGGAAGAGTTAGAACAACGAATCTAGAATATCCGCGACTCACACTCGACACCCGTAGAATGAAACAGGCTGTCATAGCAAACTCATTGTACTTCCTTTACGCCCACCAAAAAATATTGAGCATGTGTCATATCTTGCCAGGTTTCGATACCCGGAAAGTGTTAAGAACCTAGTCAGGTGATGATCCCACAACTATTGGGGCGTTGCTTCACAGTGAATGTTTGTATACTCGGTTCCGGTTATCTTATCGTGCACATACATCCGATTGTACTCTCAATATCCTTTGACCCGGCAGAACCAAAGCTGACAAGGCGAGATCTGCTATTTCAGTCGTAGTAGCGTCCGGCCACAATGATGTGCCGCTGATGGTGAATAGGTCACGAGGGAGATTTACTAAGCCACCTAGGCATGTACACGGCGTATATGGCATACAATCTTATATCATCATCAGCTCCCACTTGCAGTATCGCATGCGACAATCTGACAGCCAGCGGAAGGAAGTATACACGGCAAGACTGTTCTCCGCTTCCTGAGTGCGCAAGTAGTGGAGATTGGAGGACCCAACATGACGCCCGTGATTGTAACCTCGAAAGGCACACTGCTGCAGGCTGAACACGCTGTACTACTACCACACCCAAATGGCGACATACTGCCCTATAGCGAGAGGTGAGGGATGGTATCCTTGCAGGGGGTGTAGCGACAGTTGTCTGCCCCACCAGCATTCCGCGTTTCGTCGCTGCAAGCGTCAGGGTGCGACTAGGGCAACCAGCTCTCCACGATTCGCCAGCGTGTTAGCCTCAGTTAGCCAGGCCCCAAAGGCGGTCCGCCAGAACAGCTCAGCCTCCACCATGTCGCATGGCGCTATCCAGGGTGAACAATGTGACAGCGTGTCGCGAAACAAGTGACGGTCGCACCGAGGCCTACGGCGTGTTGCATCTTGCAGGTCCGACATGGCGGTCAGTAGATAGAGATTTTGCAGGATTCTTCGGATACGAAAGGGCGAGGCGACGAGGTGCGCCGTGTGTTTCTGTTAATAGCACCGGGGCATGGCAGCGGGCTAGGACTTAGCGGCAGATCGGGTATAGGCCAAGCTGGAACGAGGAACGTGACCCTGGCCGGCCATGTCTGGCTGCAGCAATAGCGCCTGCTAGACACCTTTACATTCCAAGCTGCTTTACTAGTAATCGCAATGCTCCCATCTTGCTTTGGTCCCAGCTGAAGACGATCCAAGCGACCATAGGCATCCTCATGGAGCCGCATCCGACGCCCACTTGACGCTCTTTGCACCCGCTATCACCACATCTACCCACGCAAGGAAGGCGCGATCAGGCTTACCATGGTGGGGAGGCCTTCACACCATCGCAACTCGGGAGCGCAACTCGACAGCACGACGCCCACGACGGAGACCAGGGGGAAGGGCGTCGCTTTCGCCAGCGATGAGGGCAGCGCTCAAAGAAAACGGGTGGCCTACGACGAGCGTGCGCGCACCACCTCGGTGAGTTCTGAAGACTCAGAGGGCTACGAGCACGTGAACACGCTGCTCTCTGCGTCTTCTATTGCAAATACCGACACCATCTCCTCGTCAGGCCACTCGACGGCTATGACGTCCACCACTACCTACGACGATCGGCCGAATGACGATACGCCCATTGCCACTCCGTCGTATGCGGCCCCCAGCCTTACCCTCCTCGAACTCGTCTCCAATACCGCTTCCTCGTCCGCGCTGCCTGACAGCTTTGATGTCAATGTGTCGAGAAAAGGTGGCTATGTGGCGGTATACTCGGCGTCGAATCTGTTCCTGGTAAAGACCGTGCAGCTGCCGCGACTATGGGCAAGGACTCTGCAGGTCAAGCGCAAGCCGGTCGCCATCGATATCACCGAAGACGGCTTTCTACTGGCCGTGCTTTCGAGACCTTCGCAGGTCGATTTATACGAGATACATGGCGAGGGCGATAATCAGATCAAGAAGAGGCGGACTATCATGCTGGTGCACGAGGCTAGCTCTATCGTCATATCACCGGATGCGCGTATCTTAATTACGGGCAACAAGTTTGGCATCGAAGTTATTGCTATTGGGCCAGAAGTACCCGAGACGACACGACGTACGCTTTCGGGACCTGCCGGTGATGCATTGGAGTTCTCAGACGATGGTCGTACACTACTCATAACGGGATATGCGAGGAAGTCAGATGGCTCGGCATTGTTCGTTCTACCGGGTCTCTACGATGGTCCGCTAACAGAAGAGGGTGAGCCAATTCCACAACCGCCAGAAGCTGCATGGACTGGCTCGGTGCTGTTTCCTGAGACGGCAAGAATTGCACGCCAAGCTACGCTGCTCCCAGATGCGGACACTGGGACGTTCAACGAACTCTTCGCCTTCAATGCCGAGGAGGACTCATGGGGCATCTATGACATTGCATGCCAACGCTTCACACAGAGGAAGATGTTTCTGCCGGATCACGCAAGGTGGACGCGCTCGGAGTTCGTAGACGATGCTATGCCTGCTGTCTCTCCAAATGCTGACCTTGCCGCTGTTGCCCTGCGGATGCGCGGTACCACCAACATCTGGATTTACGAAGTACCAGGTTGGGAGTACAAACCGAGCGAGAAGATCAAGGGGGATGCCCCGATTCAGCCTTGCTTTTGCATCCCCATCCCGAACGACAACGCAGGTACTTTGCAAGAAATATGCGTGCTCAGATGGGTTAGGCTCAACGCCAACGTGCAGCGACTTGTGGCGGTCGGCAACTCGAGCATACTACCTGATGAGAACGATGTGCCTGGGGCGCCACTGGGGTCCAAAGGCGTTCTGATAGTCCTGGATTTCGACAAGACAAGGCCCCTGGGAAGCACTCCACCGACGCCGCTCAAGACTGAATACGACTTAGACCCCCTTTGTCCAGGCGAGATGCTACCGGAAGGCTCGATTGACTTTGATCGTGAGGTGGAATTGGTACGAACCAGGACCATGGCACAGCGCAGAGCCCAGGATCGGAACGACATTGTTGCACGAAGACCATCGAGAATTGGAACTACGCCTGTTCAGCGGGCGCGTACTACTGCAAACCGGAATGCGCCAAGGCCACCGCTGCCTTCGGATGAGTCGGAGGAGTTGACACCGGAAGAGGCACAGGCAATGTTTGAAGCTCCGTATGATAATCAACAACCTCGATCTCAGATGTCTCTAGCTAGGGCTGCCACCGTCGCCGCGGTATCACCTGCGAACCGTCGGCATCTGCGCGCTCTGCCTTTCAGACCCCTGGAGTACCGTCGTGCTGACGGTCATCGAGAGCTACCACACGAAAGTGACGCCGACAACTGGGTGCCACCTCCGCCAGCATATACGACCACCGCAGCAGCAGCAGAGAGTGTCAGCCTGAGCCATCCGGATGCGCCCCCTGTACCCCGATTACCTCATACTCATTCGTCATCTTCGATACCGCCCGTCCCTCCATTACCGAACATGTCTGCAACCATCAATCCCTCTCAAATCTCTCCGTCGCACCCTTACCATCAGCGCCAACAATCGATATCTTCTGTCGACGTATCATCACCTCCAGCTCCAGACCCAGGGCGTCGGCCATCTCTGCTGCATCCATCCACATACCCTAGTCCCCAATCTTCAGGCTCGATACGACGGAGGCGATCAAGTACCCGATCACCATCGGAACAAATGTCGTATGTACCCTTGCCGCAACCCCAATCCGCATACCCGAACACCGCTTCCCACATGCCTACCCGCCGTCCCACAAATGGTCGCACTCAACGTGTTCCTCACGACAACCTCGACCTCTACGCTCCACCCGTCCCTAGTACGCCAGTCTCCCGCCGTGGCTCGGCTCCAAACATAGCTGTCCAGCGCCGTCCCCTACCTATGAGCAGCCCACGCATGAGTATGCCCTATCCTGCGCCGCCAGTCAACAACTCAAGTCAATCAAGGAACGCTCTGCCACCACTGGCTGCTCCAGGTCAGCAGTTTTCAGCCGGTCAAAGGTTCCCCATCAGTGCGCCGCCGAGGACAGATCAAAGTGCGCAGTTCAACCATCCTTATGGGAGTTACTACGGGCCAGAGCAAGGCGGCGTGCACAGGGCGTCGCAGAGTGTGGGTGATCTACTCGGTGGGAGTGGAGTTACTGGACGCAGCTCCAGGATGAATGGCGTGTTGATTGGAGAGAAGAAGGCTAAAGGGAAGAAGAAGATTGGCTGTGCTGTTATGTGATGAGCATCAAGCAACCACGGATGACCGACTTATGTTTCTCATGACTATATTATACCCATGACTTTGTTTCTTTAGTATCGGCGTTTTGGTCTTTGGGGGGGAGTGGATATGCGAGCGCTCCTGCAATTGATTAAGCGGTTGAGCGATGTTGTATTTTGAGGATGAACGAGGTCGCTCATGGTAGTTACCTATATACAAGGCTCTTAGATCGAAGTAGGGGAGCAATCCAGGGATTATGGGAATGTCATCTCTTTCTACAACCTGACTCGTTGACCTCGCATCTTGGTCAGTGAAGAGAACATTCCAAGTCTGACGTGACTATAATCTAACTCAAGTCTTGCCATGGTACTACGCTGACCAATCTAACACCCGCGACTTGATGACTTCCAATATTTAAACTCTACTCATACGATTAGATCCTCCCCAAGAATGAGAGGCAAGATCGTGATGGATCCATGTACTTTCATCATCCCAACTTCGCAGAACCGGTGACGTATAACGAGATCACCTGCTATGACATCAAGGCCTGCAACCGCAACAGACACTTGTACAAATTACCGCATCATCACCACTGGCATCACGCGTCTGCATCCGTTCGAACGACGGATTTCCGTTGCATATTATGAAAACGATGTGTCCTCATCATCAAATGAATACTCATCTGTAGGTAGGCGCTACCTCCACATAACAGGTAGAAAGGGCAAGTAACCTCGCGCCACACATTGTACCTGCTACTCCTGTAGATGACAGCCACAACATCGTAGAAACGATCTCGAAACTATGCCGCCAAAACCCTACACCGATCTCGTCCCCTATAACCTTGCTCGAAACTTTACTACCTAAACATTGTCATTATCTCTACCTTTCCTGTCCATACAACTTAGCGGAGTACAATGCCGGGATCGTCTGGCGACGGATACTTTGTATGTTACCCGGAGAGGATCGGGTAGCATATGCACGGCCGTCTCGCTAAGAAGGGTAGATGGGGCCGCGCGATCTCAGTCATCACTCGAAGTTCCCAATGATGCTGCGTCTTCACGGCAGCATCACTCCCAAACTCGTCATACCCGTTCTGCTGGTAGGCGGATGGGTCACCGCTGTCACTTGCATCTCGAAGCTTGTGTATGACCGTTAGCCATGTCTTTCTTCTTCCAATACTCCAAGACTACTACTAACAAGGCGCAGTCGGTACCGATCAAGTCTTCATCACCGTGCTGGGCTTTGTCGTCAGTCTGGCACTCAGCGTCCGCAGTTCTACCTCGATGGACCGTTACTTCCAAGGCCGACAACTATGGGGACGCCTCCGGCTCGCATCGCACATCTTGGCTCGTCTGATATGGATACACGCTGAAGAGAGGCATGACGCCGATGCAGGGTTGGGGAAGCAAGACCTGCTCGGCAAGGTCAGCTGCTTGAACCTGATTGTGGCTTTCGCTGTCGCAGTGAAACACAAATTACGGTTTGAGCCAGGAACACACTATGAAGATTTGAAGCACTTGGTCGGTCATCTGGATACTTTCGCGCAAGCGGCTGATATGCCCGCGCCCGACCCTCCGAGGGCTTTCAGGCGAACCTGTCAGCTTCTCGGTATGCCCATGGCGACGCCCAACCCACGCAAACACATCAAGCAATCACGCGTACCTCTCGGTGACCTGCCTCTCGAGATTTTGTCTCACCTCTCCGCGTACATCAAAGCCCTGTATGACAACGGCACGTTGAGAGACTACAGTACCTATCAAACCCAGACTTTGGATACCCTGTCAATCATGGACGACGTATCGTGTGGTACGGAGAGAATCCTAAATACACCACTTCCACTTGCATACTCCATCGTCATATCACAGGTCACCTGGCTTTACATTCTGTTGTTGCCATTCCAGTGCTACAACAGTTTAGGCTGGATCACAATCCCCGCGTGTGTCGTCGCGGCGTACATTATTCTAGGTATCGCCTTCATCGGCCGTGAGATCGAAGACCCTTTTGGCCACGACGTAAACGACCTACCACTCGATACCTTCTGCCAGCAGATTCGCCAAGATCTTGACATCATCATGTCACGAGGCGCACCTCTTGTCAACAACTTCATGGGTCGTGAAGAGAACATGCCATTGTATCCTCTTTCGTCTTTGAGCACACGAGCATGGGCAGACAAATCGCCAGATGAGATACATGTCGCTTTATCGCAGAAGGTAGGTCTCCACCATCCAATGGTTGAACGCGGTAAGAACCCAGTGCCACCTACGCGAAGAAGACTGGGCGGCGTGGACAGCTGGGTCGAAAAGGGCGGCGGATCAGGACCAAATGGCACGACGAGTCACCATAGAAGGAGGTACGGAAGTGTCTAGTTGTCCGCGTCTAGACATCGAGAAAACTTATTCTTGTTACCCTACCTAACACCTAGACTCCAAACAACTATTCAGTTCCATTCCCCGTCTGAATCAACCTCTCAAAGGGCCCTTCTTCCAAACCTGACCCATCCCTCCCAAACCCCCGATGTTCTTCAAGAGCGTTTCCAACTTCCACGCTTCCCTATCTTCTCCAATACCCAAAAACCCCAGATCGGACAAAAGCCTATGCGTCTTCTCGCCATACGCTTCCGCCTTTTCCCTATCTCCCTTCTCCAACCACAGCATAGCCAGCATGGCATACTCATCCGTCAACATCGACCAGACCCCTTCTTCTTTGATCAGTTCGACAGACTCCTCTGCGAGAACTATCGCTTCATCTAGTTTGTAGGCCTTCGCTAGCTCCATGATCTTTTCCTCGGCCTGCGCGATCATTGTGCGGCGGAGATCTGAGGCTTGGCGCTCGTCGGCCGGTAGGCTGCAGAGGCTGCATGTGCATTTGAAACCCCAGCGCCTGATTAGAGATTGGCGTTTCTGAAATGGGATGCCTAGGAGGAGGTCTGGATGGTGTTAGTGGTAGAACGAGAAGGAAGAGGGTGGAAATACACGAGACGGTGATCTCTTCGCCGGCCTCAATGTCGCGGTAGGCTTTTATGGCCATTGAGACGCCGGCGCGAGAGAATAGAACGAAGGAGTTCGGGTTGCATGCATGATTAATTCGCTGGTACGGTCAGTGATACTCATGTTACTGTTCAGACTGCGTTGCGACCTACCGAGATTAGCGGATACAACGCCCTTGAGCCAACCTCCGCAACTGTGCTGCCATACGCATTCGTCTTCATGATAGCCTCCTCCAAAGTTCCTTCGTCTTCATCATCTCCATCATTCTCAGCATCATAGTTCTTCCCCGCATGCGCAGAACTCATATCCCTAATCATCGCAGGAACAAGCAGTTGATCCACAGCCCTCTTCATCAGCTTCTTGTTCTCAGCCTCACTTAAAGCTTTCTCAGCGCCCATATCCACAACAACAGCGGCTTGATCCACCATGAACGTTTCGTACATCTTGATCTTACGAGTCGCTACAACGCCTTTCGCTTTTCCGGGTACATCGACGATTTTCCATGGTTGACCGCCGAAGTAGAGGCGTTCAGCATCCTTTTTTGTAAGGAAATTATCGAGCGGGTTGTCGTCGAGGTGTTTCGTCGCTAAGTGGGCAGATTGTGGAGGGAAAATAAGGGAGAGGCCGTGTGGGCCTGTCGTGTTGGATGTGTAGACGCAGTACTTCTGGCCAAGGGTGGGGAGGTAGCTGCTCGTTGTGCAAACCGGCTTGTGAGACCATGGAGCATACGGATGATCTTCGCCTGGAGTGGAAATATGCTGTTGGAGATCTGGTTGCAGTAGGTCGTCGATGTCGAGGACGCCTACTGTCGCAGATGCATGCTGGAGCGTGAATTGCAAAACAACGACCGCTGTTAGGAAGAGCATGTCTGTAAACATGCGTTGATGGATGGAAGTATGAAAGCTTTCTACACGCTCTCAGGGTACAGCTGCAACTTATGAGCGTTCTGTGATATTCCATAGTGCTTGCTGTATCACAATCCCCAAAGCGGTAATGCACGTCACGTAGCTTTACCCGGAAATTTACCCCAAACATCCTCTTCGGTCCCAAGAAACTTGGACAATTTGTACAACCCGTCCGCTCATAGTAACGACCAATTGTAACAGGTCTAGAGTTGATCTCAAGTAAACAGTGGATAACGCGGGGCTTGTCGCCCAGAAGTGTTGATGGGCGACGAATTGATCGCCTCGGCGGCAGGAATGTAGTCGCTCCCAAAATTTCGATCATGATACGCACAATTTTTGCAAAGACCTTGAATCGACTACCAGAACTTGTAATTCATGGGCTTCCGTATGTGAGCGAACTTTTACATGCTGCGGACTTGTTGACGCTCGTGAGCTTCATTCATTTCGACCACAACGAGCAAAGCGCAACTTGCAGCGGTCTACGTTGCTTCTTTCTGTATGTGCCGTATAATCTCTCGCGTGTGCATCGTTTGCTGATCTATACCTTGCATCATTGCGTTATCGAATACGATGTCGTTCAGTCTCTGCAACTCTCTCTGTAGACAGATAAGCTTTCCAAACACGTAGCAGATGACTGCTACTAAAGAGAAAACGAGTATCCCTTCTGCCCTGTTCCATCGGGTGCAACAATAGAGATAGAATGGTGTCGCAGCCACAGCCCATCCCAGAAACCATATCGTCGATGGAAGGTCGTAAACGATCGTGAAGACATGGATGGCGATTGTGCAGAGAAGGATCATAATCTTCACAGTTCCGGCAACGCCATGGCCTATATAAGCCCAGGGAATCTGGGAGTAAGGTTAGTTCTCAAGCTGGATGATGGTCTTTGATACATATGCTTACCTGTAACGATGGGAGCCCGTATCGATGTAGGAAGTTATCGATCCAGTCACGCGTGCCGTATACATCTTCGATCTCTTTACGAAGGCGACCGAAAGCTTTTGCTCTACCTTCGCCATATATGAGCGGCATTTGTACTTGGAATATGCCAAGAAGGCAGTACGCGGCATCTTCCTCCCGTTTTGTGCCACGATGTTTAGCCCAATTCATGCGCTCCTCGACAGGGTACTTGAGCATGAGGCGTGATCCATTCTCCAATGCAGCTACAGGGATATTCGTCTCATTTGAAATTTCTTTTGCGAGGGAAACCTTATCCCCGATTCTAGTGCCGTCCACCGAGAAGAAGACAACAGTCTCTGGGGCCAGAAGCTCCTGAAGCGTCCATCCACGTGTAAACCATCGATTGCCCTTGAAAGACGGCTGCTTGTTGCTCTGTAAATATGGCGTGCCAGTGCTGGGTACATCGGAGAGGTATACGTAGCATGCTGTCGAATCGCGATACCACTTAAACATCGAATTGATGGCTTCAGCTAATTCCGCGCTACTGCTCTTATCGATGCAACATGTATCAACCCAGAAGAATTCGAGCTTGTCTTTAGCCGCCTGCGCAGCGCAAAATTGGAGTTTGGCGTAGCCGGGCTTCTTTCTGCCTTTGCCTTTGCCCTTGTATATGTCCTTGAAAGTGACTTCATCCTCGTCGGCGCCCCAGGTGTGCGATAATATTGCGTATGTTGGTATGTAGCGAACAAATTCGACGAGTATGAAGTCGTCGCCAGAGGCTCGCAGGAGGCGCATGTTACCGTTAGTATACAATCTGGAGGCATCAGCTGAACGAATTGAGATCAAACATATAATTAATGTTGTCTTTGGCCGAGGAAAGGACATTTCTTGTGGTGACAACGGCGCCAAAGCGGGGCAGTGCAGTGAGGCTGAGCGCAGTACATTAGCATGGTGTCTTGTGGCGACGCTAAGGTTCAGCCTTCCCAAGCCATCCCCATTTGTGTTGGCTCAATACCGGTTTCTAAATCACTTAGGAATTGGAGATTAGCCGCGATCAGGATAAGGACATGTAGCGTGTGAGTTCGAGCATGACGAAGGGTCGATGTTTCGGGGATCAAGATAAGTTTAGCAATCATGTGCGTCGTATTGAACATGTGTCTTATAGTCTTCCTAACTTGTCCACAGTATTCCAAAGCAGCCTTGCTTCACCGAATGGTCGTTCAACCTATGCATCATCAACATCAGCTCCACGCCTCAAAGCTTCGAGCTCATACCAGTATACGCAATGCACTCAATCTCCACCGGCACACCCTTGGGCAGCTGCTTAACCGCAACACAGCTGCGCGCAGGCTTGTGGGAGAAGTACTGCTCGTACATGCCGTTCATCTCGGCAAAGTTGGCCATGTCGTCGAGGAAGACGTTGACCTGGAGTCGTTGTCAGCATCTCATCGGCTGTTTGTCCGTGTAAACGCTTGAACGCACCTTGATAACCCTGTCCATAGCAACACCCGCCTCAGTGAGGATGCCCTTGATGTTCTCGCAGCACATCTTGGTCTTGTCTGCGATGCTGCCCTCGATCAGGTTGCCCTTGGTATCAGCGGGGATCTGGCCCGAGACAAAGACATTGGGGCCTGCGACGATGGCTTGTGTCTAAACGTGTGATGTTAACGCGGTTGTTCGGATGCGATGGGAACGACGGAGATGATACGTACGTAGGGTCCAGCAGCTGTATCTCTGTTAGCAATCTCTCCTTCTTCATCTCCGCTATCAATTGGAACGTACGAGGACACGCGTTAGCGGTGTGAATCTTCTTGATGTCCGACATCTTTCTTGCTCCTTTAATGTCAATTGTTCTGTAGCTTAAAGTTGTGATAGCAGGTCGCGTAAGATTCGTGGTTGTAGTAGTAGTAGGTCGTGAAGCACGTAGAGCTCTTGGTACAGCGGTCCGTATCAGCAGCATGGGACAGTTTATCTACGTCAGGTAAATCGAGGCTATCATCGGGCTAGGTGGACACCTAATTGAGCGCGTCCGCCCTATGCCCGTGGCATAAGATGGGGCTTGGGAGCGGCATCGGAAGCTACCCCACTTTCCCTCTTTGGCGGGCGCCGTTTGTCAGCAGCTTGCAGGGATGTTTTTGTTGATGGAGGGGTAATGAGGGCGGAAATTTTGGGGACGGCGACTTTTGCGACGGGAAGGAGGAGATCGCGGCGCTATGATGCTGCGCAGGGCATAGGGCTTAGTTCAGTATCAATGATATAGTGTGAAATACACCTTGGACAATGTGTAATTAAATGAAAAGACTTTTAACGTGTTTATCGTGACGTCCTCGCGCGCTTCTCTCGTCGCGCCTGTCGTGACTATACAAACCGCCAACGCCGCCCATATGCAATCCTATGCTCCCATCTATATTGTGTATTGTTTACGGTATCGAGTCAAGATTCGAATCTTGAAAATTACCAGCCGTCTCAGGATTACACATCTACTGTTCCATCTTCTCCTCCTGGCCGGAAAGCAATGTGTGTACAGGCGCGTCGAGCTGGTCGCGGCCCTTCAAGAAATCGAGTTCGAGAATGAACAGGTATCCCATAATAGTTCCGCCTAGCTTCTTCACCAGAGAACCAGCTGCGGCTGCGGAGCCACCTGTGCACCGTGTTAGCATCTCATGTCGTCTCTGACGCGAAGCTATTCAACATACCAGTCGCAATAATATCATCCACAATAAGCACGTTCTGCCCGCTCTTGACAGCACCTTCCTGCATCTGGAAGAAATCACTGCCATACTCCTTCTTGTATTCCGCCGTCTCACATGGACCTGGCAGCTTGCCCCTCTTCCTGACCGGCACAAAACTCGCACCCAGCCTCAGCGCAAGGCTGGGACCGAACAGGAATCCGCGCGCATCGAGTCCGACAACGACATCTGGCTTGGCACCCGTCGCACCGAATTGCTTCTCAATGGACAGCTCGAGGCCGCGCAGCAGTCCCTCGTGGAGCGCGGGGTCGGCGAAGATGGGCAGGATGTCTTCGAAGAGGATGCCGGGTTCGGGGAAGTCTTTGAACTGGCGGAGCGAGGCCTTCAGCGTGCTTTTAAGACGGGCGAGTTCGGCGGCGGCGGAGGGACGGGGGGTGGACTGTCCGCCTTGGGAGGGGCCATGGCTGTTGGACTCGAGGGTTGGGTCGGGCTTCTGCGGGGGAGGGTGCGCGGCGGTTGCGTCGCCCTTGAGTGGGGGGTCGGCGGGCGTGGTGGTGTTGATGGGGTGGGTGCTGTGGGCGGGCGTGTCGTGGGGAGCGGACATGATGGGACGAGGGGAGGGGGCGGCGTCGAGATATAAGACGGACGGGTCAGGTCTGTATGGGATGGGTGACGCGATAGATAGGGCTAGGGCAGGAGCCGGGTTGGGGTAAGGTGGTCAGGGCTGGCTGGCTGGCTGCACTGCAATGCTGTCAGACTCGGGCGTCGTCGTGGTCGCTGAGAGTACCCAGCGCGTGCTTGACCTGCCCGCCAGACGCAGAAAAAAAATCGAGTTAGCCCCTCTGGAAAACGGTCCGCAGGGCCACACAGTCCCTAGGCCCACCACCGAAACCACCCGTATGGCGAATTGAAAGACGGCCTGGCACCATCATGGCGCCCGCTCCTTGTTCAGCCGCTCAGCGCAGCACCTTCGCACTCGGTTGCCTATACACCACCACGCTGCTCGATGCGGCAGCTCCCTACGCCCGCACCGCACACGCCCATCCTATCGCACGCGCTCCACGGGCAAGTGTGTCGCCTTGATCCCTGACCCACAACTATCTGCGGCGCCAAACATGTGCCAGACTTGACATTTACCCTTATCGGAACCAAGGCATGCCGAACGAAGACGTGCATTCACATGTCGACGTCACGCCAGGCCAGAAAACGAGCACGTAGGCTGTAGGGTAAGAGTCATACTGCCGCTTCCCAACAAATTCTCCTGCCCTCCCATGGATCCCATGCGTTTGGGCGACTATAGTAGCTGCGTTACTGTTGAAAGCCCTTCTCTAGCTTTGGATTCGCGATTCGCGCAATCTATTACTCAAACACGACATGTCAACAACATGATCTGCGTGCTCTGTCTCGCAACAAATGCCAGTGCCGTCCAAGGCGTAGCGGGGATCCTATGTGCAGTACCCCACGGGTGTGGTAACCGAAAGGCAACTAAGGCGTTGTCGCAGCGGTGAGACGTTCTAGAAGGTCGAGCGGGATCCTGGGCTTGTTTGTACCACGCTGGTATACGACCACACAATCTTTGTTCAAGATTAGTGTAGACGGTGAAGAGGATTGTGTATCGCGTTCCGCCGCTGCCTGAGCAGGAGCCAACGAAACACATACACAGAGAACATGCTAGACTTATCAAGCGCCTGCGACGGCTCCGACCATCCAAGGCAAGCAAGTACTTTACGCGTCCTCGCAGCGAGCAAGCCCTTTGTCTCCACAATAACCCGCGGCATGCATGCATACACACTAGAAGACCCCAATAGGGCAATGCCTAGCGCGCCTTGTCGCCTGTCGACTTGTTGACACCCGTCAACCGAATGCATGACGCGACCGTCAAGTTCTTCTCTGGAACCGCGGATGACCAGCGTTTCGTCACACGATATCTTAGTCACGACAAAGGGACTCTGAGGCAGCAGACGCGTGTCTGTCGGAAGAACCATGATAGTAGCATCTCAGGTGGATTGGACATGCTCTAGAAGCTCGATAAAAGGTGGGTATATATTGTTTGATATGCCGCTGCAACCGCGGAGGCTCCCGATGGCCCAGACTAAACTGTCCTCTATACATGCTGCCTACATGTCGCAACCCTCTCCACTACATGTGTGCATGAACTACTAGAATAAGACTAACTAACCCCAAACGTCCATGTTGTTCACAATGCACTCCTCGTCTGTCCTCTTCTTCAGACTACCAACAACATAGACCTTCTCGCCATACTCTTGTAGTCGGTCCATGGTTGTCCTCACGTTGTCTTGGCTAACAACGAGCACCATACCGAGACCTGTGTTGAATGTCCTTGCTAGTTCCGTGTTGTCCAAGCGACCTGCCTTCTTGAGCCATTTGAACACGTCCAGGAGCGGCCAGCTCTTCGCATCAAGCTCCGCGGTCAGGGTCTTGGGCAACATGCGAGGAATGTTCTCTAGCAGGCCGCCGCCCGTTATGTGGGCCATACCCTTGATCAGACCCCGCCGGGTTGCAGCTAGTAGCGGTTTGACGTAGATCTTAGTTGGTGTCAAGAGTGCCGTTCCGAGGTTCTCGCCTGAGCTCCATGGGCATGCGTCTGAGTAAGAGATGCCTTGTGTCTCGACGATTCTTCGGACGAGAGAGAAACCGTTGGAGTGGACTCCACTTGAGGCCAGACCGATGAGTACGTCACCCTCGGCCATGGACGCTGTGTCTGGTAAGATCGTTGCGCCCTGCTTGATCGCACCGATTGCTGCACCACCGGCGTCGTATTCGCCTGCCTGGTAGATACCGGGCATCTCTGCCGTCTCTCCACCAACAAGGGCACATGCAGACTGCCGGCAGCCGTTCGCGACACCCTCGACAAACTTGGCAGCGCCTTCTACATCAAGCTTGCTGCAAGCGTAGTAGTCAAGGAACATCAGAGGCTCGGCGCCTTGTACTACCAGATCGTTGACGTTCATGGCGACGAGATCGATACCGACAGTGTCGTGCTTGCCCATCTCGAAGGCAATCTTGACCTTTGTGCCGATGCCGTCGATAGCGCCCACGAGTATGGGTGCCTCAGTGTAGCCAGCTGCTTGCAGGTCGAGCAGCCCACCAAACCCACCGATCTTGCCATCGGCTCCAGGGCGTTTTGTGCTAGCAGTCAGCGCCTTGATCTGCTTAACGAGCTGATTGCCCGCGTCGATGCTCACACCCGATGATGCGTATGTCAGCGCCTCGCCAGCTGGCTGTGAGGTGCTTGAAGGGCGTGTCACAGTGGTGCCTTCCTCAGCCGGCTCAAGGAGCTTCCAGTCGCATGTTATGCCTTCCTTCTTGAACTCTTGTAGCAGATGTTCTGCGATCTTGTCAAAGTTCTCGGTCGCGAGTGCGAGGATGGTCGGGCCGGCGCCTGAGAGACAGATGCCCAGCAGGCCGGGATGTGATTGTGGGGTAACGGATTGGAGGATTTCGGTAAGACCGGGGATGAGGCCGCGACGGTAGGGTTGGTGGAGCTTGTCTTGCATGGCTGTGTAGATCATGTCGGGGTCTGGTGTGGCTTGGCCGAGTGCTGTGGTCAGGACAGCCAGTCGTTGCATGTTGAAGATGGCATCTTTGCGTGAATACGACTCGGGCAGTACCGCACGCGCCTTCGCCGTCGATACCTCGAATTGTGGAATGACGCATATGCACTTGATAGCGGGCGACCAAGCAAACTTGGTGTAGTGTCCGATGTTGAGGGGTGGCTCGGGTGGCCGCAGCCCTGTGTCTACACCACCTGCAGGCTGTGGCAGGACTTCGCTGAGGGGAATTTCGAGGCGCTCGGTGTCTTCGGGTGACAATTCGTTGAGGTATGTGCCGACAAAGCCTCCGTATAAGGCTGCTGCGACATTGTCTGGGTGACGCTCTTCCATCAGGCAATAGTCGAGCATGCGCGCTCTCGATAGCCCAAGGTTTCCGACCTCATTCGCCAGGAATACACCTCCTACGATGGCCGCAGCCGAAGAGCCCAGTCCTCGTCCCAGTGGTATCGGGTTCTTGACGTGAACGTGTGTTTCCGAAGGGAAGTCGCGAACGCCATGGCAGCGAAGCACGTATACGGCTGTTCGTGTGATGAGATTGTCTTGCGCAATGAGCGGGACATCTTCGGCGCCTACGCCTTCATACGTGATCTTGCAGTTGAGTGAGTGTTCTGATTTCTCCTTCTTGGTGACTGTGACCTCGAGTTCGAGATAGAGGTTGAGCGCAAGGCCAATGACGTCAAAGCCGGGGCCGATGTTGGCGGACGAGCAGGGGATCTTAATGTGAGTAGTCATATTGGACTACAGAGCGCCTGGGGCTTGACGTGATGTCTTGTTATGTCGTCGCGCAAAAAATATTGGACCAGCGCATGGGAGGAATGAAAAAGATCGCGTGGGGCTCAAACGCCGACGCCGGTCGCGGGGTAGTGCACCGCCACACTTCATCTCTTGCCAGCCTCGCGACGCGTCCAGTTACGCGCAGACTATAAAGTACTCCCATTCCATCTCATCTCATCTCATCTCAGCGTTCGGCTCCCCATCTCTGTCACGACAGTGCGATCGCATGAACCAGAATGTCGGTCGACGCTGCGGTCTCTCCCACGACCATGCAGACATCCAGAGACCCGGAGGCGGAGTCGCGTTGTTGCATTCGCCATCAGCAGTAGTGTACATGATGCAAGCGTATCTTAAACTTGGTGAAGGCAGCGAGGAGCTCAGGTGAGGCTGTGCAACACGTTTCCTCGCTTTTGTGGCATTCAACAGCTGCCGTGACGCCACCGCTGACGCCTTGTGTGACCCGACAGCATTGCCAACGCATAGCCCTTTCAATGCTCAGGTAAGTAAAGATCTATATGGAGGCCGCTCGCAATAGTCGAAATCATCAACTTTGCAGCCCTTCTGCAAGGCTTCCGCTACCAGATCTGTAGCAGGCAGACGTTCCACGATATCGCCGCACGACCAGGCAACAGGAAAGGCTGACCGGTTTTCTTGGCTGTCTACATATAGCCTTACGAGGTACTTTTTGCTTGAATTTCAGTCCACTCACCTTCTTCCTTTACGGTCATCTCTTAATTGAATGATCGGAGTGAACCGGGACTTCCTTTATCGTTCAACTGTTTCGATAATACGGTGAAACGAAGCCTCAGCTCACGCTCGACTAGCACGGCTCCCAGCTTCTCTTACTGCACTACGCTCTCACTTCTTCCTCAACCCACTCAAAGCCTTTGATCCTTCCATCCACTCAGCATACCATTACAGGACTTCAAACAAGCCAATATCGACGGAAATACGTCGCCTCAATCCAGTCCGTCCCAACAGCACTCGTCAAGAACAGAATTCGTCATGTGCGACTCGCCCACTGAAGAAGACGCGCGCGCTGAGCAGTTGGCCTACTTGCGCCAGCTCATGGCTCTGGAGCAACGCAATAGAGCTAAGCGCGAGGCTCGCTCTCCATCGGTCTCCTCTTCATCATCTGAAGAGGAAAAGTCAACCTCAAAGATCAAGTCAAAGACCAAAACCAATGGCGTCAAGCACGTTCTTGTCAACGGTAAAGGTCGAAAGCAGGCTGAAAATGGCGCCACCGATAATGACATTCCGGAAGACAAGGCCGAGGACGTGGAGCTCTACAAACCAGGAATGAAGAACGGTCTAAAGCACTTGTACTCCGGGAAGGAAGATAAAAAAGGCCGCTTTCAGTGGCAAGAGGAGATCCCCGAAGATCTTGGAGAAGCCGTCGAGAACGACGAGACCGCAAAGTGGGCGTTGCTCGTACGAAACGTCAAGGTTTACAACGATCCCCGACGAGTACTGTCTATTCACTCGATTGTAGTTCAGAGCCCGCTGCTGAAGAAGCTGCTCGCTGGTGTACTGAAGAACTACCCGGGTGTCACTGTCGGCCTGAATCGTCTCGAGTTCCAGGGCAAGTTTGAGCCACTTATTCATCGATGGACTGAGTTGCAGGCCGCCATTGCCAAGCTTGGCGATGAGACAGAGGATAAGCGCACAACCAAAGCTCACGCTGAGTTGCTCCAAGAGATTCTCACCAAGGAATTCAAGAGCATGATTGATACCTCCCAAGACATGAAGAACAAGAAGGTTATGACATACGAACACCTTTGGACGCTGTATCAACCTGGGGCGACTGTTTTCGCTCGACAAGACGGTCAAGAGACGGCCATGATTTTGGTCGAGACGCGTTATGGACAGGATTGTAAGGGTGCACCCTGCTTTTGGCTCACGTGCAAGTACGTTGATTGGGACGGCGCCAAATTCGGTTCCAACAAGATTAACCTTTCCATCGCCGCCTATACCGGCACACGCGCTATTACCAATCTACGTGTGTATCCCATCGACTTCCATCCCGAGGGCGAAGCTATCCGCACTCGCCTCATCGAACGCGGTGCCAAAGCGGAAACTCTCGCTGGTCCAAACTATAGAGCATACCAGGGTGTTGCATGGAGGCAGGGTGGATTCGGGAACAAAGACAAGTACAACGTGAAGGGTCGGATAATCATCGATACCTACGGCTGGAACCGTTTCGACCCCACTCATTCGGTCTTTGTAACGCCACTGAACCAGAAAGATCCTGGCCCGCCACCAACCCCTCCTATTCCGGGGCAGTACGACGAGGAAGAAATTGACGAGTGTCAGGATGAGTTCGAAGACGAAGACGACAGTGGCATGCCATTAGATGGCGCATTTGCCGACGAGGACGATGCAGCCAAACACGTGCCCTTGACAACTGAACAAAAGCTCATCTGCACACCTCTACTTCGTGGTTACAGCCTGAAGAACAAGCTTTGGCTGAACTTCTTCGTAAACTGCGTTAAAGACATTGAATGGCAAGACGACGCTTTCGATAGGTTGGTGCTTCCAAAGAACCAGAAAGAGCTCATCTTAGGCTTCACGGAGTCTCAACGGAAGTTCCGCGACAGTTTCGACGACGTCATTGAAGGCAAAGGAAAAGGCATGATCATCCTACTCTGCGGCCCGCCCGGCGTGGGTAAGACTCTCACGAGTGAGTCAGTCGCCGAAGAAATGAAGGTGCCTCTCTACATGATGAGCGCCGGCGATCTCGGCTTCGATCCTAGGAAAGTAGAGACCAAGCTGCAAGACATTCTCGAAATGTGCAGCCGCTGGAATGCAGTCCTCCTCCTTGACGAAGCCGACGTCTTCCTAGAGCAACGATCCCTCCACGAGCTCGAGCGCAACAAACTTGTCTCTATCTTCCTCCGCGTCCTAGAGTACTACGAAGGCACCATGTTCCTAACCACCAACCGCGTCCAGACCTTCGACCCAGCCTTCCAATCGCGCATCCACATCTCGCTCGACTACCCCGGTCTCACCATCGATTCGCGCAAGACAGTCTGGAAGAACTTCCTCGATTCGTCGTCGCAGGAACATACTATTTCCAAGGCTGAACTTACGGAGCTGGCGCGTATGGATCTGAATGGACGGCAGATTAAGAACATCCTCAAGATTGCTAGGTTGCTGGCTAGTCGCAAGGAGGAGAAGCTTAGTCGGGAGCATATCACTACTACTATGGATGTTACCCAGCATCTCCATAACGAGACGCAGTTTAGTGAGCGTACCAAGGGAACCTTGTATGGTTAGTGCGGAAGAAGTAGATAGGTGACCGGGTTAGCTTTCATTCTTTCATGGGTCATTGGCGAGTCTCGACACCAAGGAAGTCAAGAGATCGGCCTACTCAGGCATGTTTCGGTACACGCAGGAGCTGTGGCGCCCTCTTAGTCAAGGTCTTCGGAGTGAACCATACGTAGATAATGCTACCAGATGATAAATTGAAAGATATGATCAATGCCAACAAGATGACTGTATTGGTGAGTGTCGCAATAGCAACACCTAGTAGTTATCTGCTCAACAATACCTCCTTCCGCCAAAATCTCACTCCTCAGCATCCCAACGACTCCCAGCCCAAGCATAGGCCTCTTTCAGCAACGGATCTTTGTCTTCATCGAGCCAGCAGTCGACACCATGACCCACCGTTTTGCTGTATTCACAATCTAACTTGCCCGTTTTGGAGTTCCATGTTGGTCTCGTCTGCAAGACATCCACGATTTCCAGGTAGAGCATCCTGTCACCCCCGAAACGATCGCCGTAGAGCTTCGGGTCTTTTCAGCATAGCGTAGAACTCTGTAGTATTTTTGAAATCGCAATCCGGGTTGTCCCATCCGTGGAAGATGCGAATTGGGGGAAGGAGGTCAGGCACAACATCTTTGTAGGTACGCTTTGCGCGCTCTATACCATCCATGTAATCGCTATCTGTTGAGTCGGCCACCGAACAATCGCCATGCTTATGTCGAAGAAGGTCTTTCCAAGTCTGAGCCATGGGTAGTATGAACGCGAAGGCCATGCCCTCTGAAGGCCAACGCATCGGACAAGTTGGCACGACGCCTCTCTTCTCGAGCTCTATGGTTACAGCGCCAACATCTTTTGCGCGTTCCCTGGCTTCGTTTTTAGTGAAATATTGTCCCATGTATTGATTCTTCTCCTTTTTGGCGGTCCTTTCCCAATCCCGTTTGTAATGCGCATTCATCGGGTAGCGGAGAAGCGCTACTCTGATGGACAGGTTAGGTCCACCCTTCGTCGCGTTGAGCCACATCGCAGTGACGGCAGCCTGACCACCAGCGCTCTCATCTTCCACGTAAACGCAATACTTGTCGATGGTAAAGCTTTTCCGCGGGTTTTTACGATACAGCCATTGTGTCCACCTTTTGTAACCGGGCTCGAAGCAGCCATCTTCTTTGTACTAGTAGAGGAAGTCGCTAATGCTTTCTACGATGTCCTTGTAGTTTCCTTCGCGACCGAGGGGATAGTCTGGCGCGATGATGATAGCTTTTTTCGTCTCTGGCTCTCTGAACAAAAGTCTGGGAGTACCAAGTGGGGAAGTCACCTGCATCCGTACACTATCATCCTGTCAGTATGCCGTCCAAAGGCATCATAGTCAAGAAGTAACTCACAAAGCCGCCACCATGAAAGAACTACATAACCGGGACTTTGTGTTTAGCAGGTAGTCCCTTCGGCACGAAGAAAGTCACTACCATCCGCCCCTTATCCTAATTATCAGAGAATGTGTAATCAGTCTGGAACTTGTGAAAGCCTTGGATTTCAAGCCAGTTTCTTCTGCGATTGAAGGTAACAGAATCACCCTTGCCTTCGATGAGGACACCATCCCACGCCAGTTCCTTACTCGACGAAGTATATAGCTTCGCCAGGTCTCTCGTAAGTAGCTCTTCAACAAGGGTCTTGTCATCCTGTGCTTCCTTCATGGTTTCCAAGGCCTCTGGATGCCAGTTCCACTTTCGGGTCTTGGCTTCTTTTTAAATTATCTTGTCGAGCACTGCGTTTCGTTCTTGATTGTGCTGTTGTAAACTTCCGAGCACGGCCGTCTCTTTAGGTGTCCACGTCGGCGTTCTTGACATGGTTGATTTGCAGGTGATCGTCGACTGGTATGGCTGTCATAGGTTTTTGGGTGAATGCAAAATCCCGGAACGTTGTCAAACTCTTCGTTGTGATATCGCTGCTTGATCGTTGGTGTAGCAAGTTTCTAGGCTAAGACCTAAGCGAGAGAAGCAAGCATATCATGTGATTATTCTCTTCACTCCGCCTTCGCCATCTCATGTTACAGGGTTTGTAAGACCTCGAACCTCCGGTATCGCTCGTGGGTATTTGTTCCTTTGTTGCCTGTCACAGAGAACAAGACTTTGTTCATCATCTTGATTACAACTGAGGTCTGAGCTTGGGCCAACTATTGTAGCTTGAATTGATCCAGATGATGGCTAACGAGAGAGAGAGAGAGAGAGAGAGAGAGAGAGTGTGTGTGTGTGTGTGTGTGGTTGCTCTTTTATATCACCCTATCTAGTTTTGAGGCTGGGCGACAAGGCTGACAGTGTGTTTGTGGAAGATCAATCACCATCTGGTCCTTCTATTCCGAGGTGTCATCCGATCGTCATGACCTTTCTTCCACGCAACCCTCCCTTGGTCTGCGTTGCCGTGTGAGCTCGAAGTTTTGCGAGAGACATGATGACGGCCGATTCTTCAGTTACTGAGTCCCGAATGAAGCATGGGTAGTATACGAGGAGTTGCAAAGGTGATAAGACGTGAGATCCGTCTCTCCGCACTAGCCAAGATCGGCAGGGGCGGCCAATGCTTAAGCTTCCCATGTGAGGCCCCACTTTCGGTAGACGCGTACGGGAAGAGCTATCTAGCGTACAGCGATGTTTGGGCGTAACAGGTGGACTACGTGGAGCGTACCGTTCTTCATTAGAGAGCAGATCAGGTTCCACAGAATAGTTAGTCCACGATTCACAATGCATTACTGTCAAGCACCTTCAGAAGCAACAACATGAACTTATTTCATGAGTTTGAGCGTATCAGTAGCTCAAACTGGGGTATTCATTATTAGCTCATAGAGGGCCGCGTGCTATTTACACTAACGAACGCATTACATGGTCTTGTGTTCTGTAGAACAAGGACTTTGAATCATCTGGCTGGTTTGGGTGTTAACCTATGCAGTTGGGACAGTGCCAGTACCGTAACCCTTCTCGATAATCGGAGGTGGCTTGGGCACGTTCCGGCGGAGGATCGTCTTGTTGATGAAGTAGGGCACCGACTGGGTGATCTCGTAGTGGAGATAGCTCTTGGTGGGCACACTAAAGACTTGGTCGAGTTCTTCAAGCGTGAGCTGCTTGGTCTCTCGGACGAAACAGAAGATCATAAACCAGGCGATCAAGTTGAGGCCAGCGTAGAATCCGAAGGCGCCGGTCTGCGTCATGACTGACACCATACGAGGGAAGGTGAGCGACAAGATTCCAGCGAAGGTGTTGTTGATGCAGACTGCCCATGCCATTCCCTGCTCACGCTGGATGGTAGGGAAAACCTCAGCAGAGTACTGGAATGCAACTGGCCCTTCTCCGAGCGAGTACATGATCGTGAAGAGGTAGATGAATAAGACGATCGGTCCGAGTTGAGCGGCTTGACTACCACTGTGGTTAAGGAGGGATAACCCGCCAGCCAATAGGAAGATGCACATGAAGGGGAAGGTCTAGCACAAAGTTAGCACAAGATCAGTCACGTAAAGATCGGAAAGTACTTGCCCACATGCAGAGGGTCCTTCGTCCCTTGGTGTCGATGAGGAACAGAGTAGGAATCGTGGAGACGACCTGGAGAGCTCCGTAACCCAGAGAGGCGTATAAAGCCTGGTCGTCGGTAAAGCCGACCTGGGTGAAAATGGTCGAGCTGTAGAAGGAGATAATGTTGATACCACACATCTGCTGGGCAATCATGACAGTCGAAGCACCGTAATTGGCACGCCTAATTCGAGGCACACGGAAGCAGTCCCACATGCGGTCGAAGTAGCCAGCTCCACGTGCAACGGCTAGCTCAGTCTCATAGATGACGTATGAGTAGTAGTAGTCGCGAGCAGCAATGATGGGGTGTGCGCGCAGTCTGGACATGGATCGGTAGCCTTTGGCAATGTGGCCATGCTTCATCAACCAACGAGGAGACCTGGAAACGTTGTCAGTGTATGTTTCACAGGATCAAGTCTATTGAATGTCACATACTCTGGGCAAAAGAAAATGCCGACCATGAGGATAAATGATGGGATGAAAGCAGAACCAAGCTGCAGACGCCACGAGATAGCTCCAGTGTCCTTGACGATGACATTGGCGCAGAAACCGAGGAAGATACCTGTAGACAGTGGTTAACAACATGTTGTCAACGACAGGGATGTTACAACTTACCAATGACAACCCACAACTGCCAAAACATGACCAGGGCACCGCGAATCCGGTGAGGCGCAATCTCAGCAGAGTAAATTGGGACAGTAGCGTTCTTTGCACCAATTCCAATTCCCATGATGAAGCGTGCAGCAAAGAGTCCTTGCCATGATTGCGCACACGCGGAACCGATGGGGGTGGCAGTAAGGCAGATGGCGGTGACGAAGATCTCTCCACGACGACCGAGGTACTTGTTGAGGGGGTCGACGATGAAAGCGCCGATGAGACCAGCAGTCAAAAAGATGATAGAATTGATAAGTCCGATAATCCATTCGCCCCTGTCGGATCCTAGCAGGCCGAACTCCTCAGGGAAGGACAAGTTGGCCCCGTTGGATCCAGTCTGGTCCCAGCCCTGAGTGGCGGCTCCAATGGCACACAGACCAATCGAGTACCACATCATGGTGGGACCGTTCCACTTGTGGTCGCGTTCGTAGATGAGAGCATCACGCTCCTCTTGGGTAAGGTCGGTGAGCATTTCGAAGCGTTCGGGGTCACGCGCGACAAGAGCGGCCTTGCCAAAGAGGGCGGCGTGCTCCTCCATCCCATGAGTGGCAGCCCATTGCTCAGCAGCGCCGACACACTCGGCCTTGGACTGGCGGGTTAGAGGATTCTCGATGATGTTGTGCGCGACAGATTCGCGGCGGGCGCCTGTATCAGCGATGTGCTCCGCGGCGGGCGTGTAGTGAGCCTCCTTCTCGTTGGCCGGGTCGTAGGCAGCTTCCTTCTCAGCAGAGTAGGCTACTTCCTTGTCAGGAATGTGGCTGACGCCAGTGTCCTTTGCGTCCATGGTGGAGTGGATGTCTCGCAGGCTCCGACGTTAGTAAGACAAGTTGCAAGGAGTTGCGGAGAGCAGTAAAGGTAGAGAGAAATGGCGGGGGAGATGAGCAGTCGATCTTATACCTGGGGGAGTTCGGAGTGAGAGGGAGGCCTAAAAGTGGAGCCTCAACGGCGCACGACAGCTGTAAGAGGCTCCGACAGGCACCTGGGTTTTGCCAGATTCTCTTTCACTGGCACCACCGTCGCGACGGTCGAGCACCCCGGGATCCTGGCTCGCGTCAGCCATTGAGAAACAGCCTTGGAGGAGGGGGTTTCACGCGCTAGTGCTATCGTTCATCAAGATCCCCACTCCATCTCTCCCCATGGAGTAAGCCTCCCCAAGCGTGCTGCGGCTATCTTAGCCACGCTTAAGGCCTGGGGCTTGGCCCTCACCCCAAAGCTTCGCGTAGGCCGACGTCTATGACCTCACCCTCCGCATTCTCGACCCCATGTGATTCCACTAGCTCAAGCCACCGCGTTACATTGCTCGGCTGTCTTCCGAGCAACCGTCACGCCAGCCGCTCTATACTGGAGGTTGGTGAAGGGCGCCGTCAGCTCACCCTTACATGGTTTCCGGTGTATCTTGCGTCGCACGGCGCACGAGGCGCAATCGCCGTCACAGTAGCGCGGCAGGTATCCCGTACTCGTCGTGTCCCCGTGATCAATGCAAGGCCTCACGTTGCATGTGCTTGGTGCGATCGAGGTTTGCGGCTTGTTAAGCTGACGCTGCCCAGCTCCGATCGGCGCCCATGTTACCCTTCCCGCCAGCCGCCTGCATACCGGCACATGTTGGCGCGACCACCGAGGCAGGGAGCAAGCCGCCATGGTAGTGCCGCCAAAGGTCCTTCCTGTTGTTTCCTTCTCATAAATGTCAGCTCATCCCAATCTCCGCCATACTTACGACTGCAATCTATTCGGAGAGAGGTACCCGACAAGTCCATGGAATGTAAGAAGCTCATCGCAGCGCCGCCTCAGCCAGTGAACGACGTCGGCGGCAAGCCTCGACGAGACCAGCGAAGTCGATAGCGTACGCGCGGCGATGTCTTGGGCACCTTGAGTCTGCTTGTCCCAACAATCCAAGCCCTCGCCAAAGCTTGGGACGACATCGAGCCCGGCCCAACTGTCAGAATTGTGGGCTTACGTCTCATTCGCAGCGACGCGTTCTTGTGGAGACTACTCCAAAATTTTCTCCAGGCCTCTCCAGGATTCAGCGGGTCAACACACAGACCACGGGAACATTGCTCACGTGCCTGTGTCGCAACCTCGACATGCGCACGCCTAAGACAAGGAAGACAGACTGCGCGGCCGATGAGCATGCCGGTGTATTTACCGCAAACAGATGGGCCAGGTATCGTTCCGCGAGCAGAAGCAACTCGCGGCTACCGGCTGCGGCACAGGGCCGCAAATGGTAAACTCATTTTCCCGGTCTTTTCTTAGCGCATAGAACCACACATATCCACGGATCGTTAGTGCTTCCAGCTTCTGTTACCCATCCTCGCGCTACATAGGTGCGATATGCACTTTGTGTCTCGAACTCATGAGGCTCTCGTTGAAGTGGGCCTCGGTCGATTGCAGCGCTAGACATCGTCCGATACCCCACACCATGGAGCCGTCAATCTCCACAACCTCCGGATTACCCACTTTGGAAAACTACTCAGCATTTTTTCACTAATTACACTCGAGCCTCATCGAAAGTCACTCCGATGCCTTACTAGTTCCCGCTAGCCGCAACGCTGCGTTATCGATTTCGGACATGACCGACAATGCTCTAAATGCAGTCTTTCAAACTATCGCCATGTCACAGCTCTATCTGCGTGCTCTAGACCTCGGCCATGCCGTGTGAAATCGAGAAGAAAACTTCCAAAAAGTAGTGCACAATCTGGTACTACACCCAAGCCCGTCCGTTGCTCCATACTGGTAGCAGAGGGCAGCTGATATGGGCATATACGCAAACAGAAGGCATGCCGAATGCGTATTTGGCTGGTTCGAAGGCCTACTAGATGAGCAGGCAGCAGTTCTCAGATGTAATTTACGGCTTGAAGCATCGGAGGAACGACCGAGCGATGAGTCCTCTTGAAACGAAGGTGCTGGGGCAAGCTGTGAACAATAGTACTTATGTTAGTCATAATCCAAGGATCGAGCTCGGTAAACACATGGGGGCAGGGAGCTATGGTGTAGACCATAGATGTTGGTGTTACCAACGAAGCTTTTGTCTCCGAACTTTGCACATCGTTCCCATGACACAAGATCGCGCCAAGGTGTCCTTGATGGAGTATACAGAATATTGTCTATCGCGACTCAGGATAGTACTAGAGGCTGCTTCACCTCGGCTGTTCATATAAACATCGCCAGTGAATACTTACAGTACTACGAGCGGCAACGCACGGACCTTGAAGAGCTCTCACTGTACGCACCTTGCATTCGGACTCTCTATTTCGAAAGTAGTCGCGCTTTCTGTACGGTAAGCCGAGCATGGAGAAAGCCCAACTAGACAAGACTGATCTCATGGATTCTGAAGACGATACAAAACTCCAAGCAGTACAGCAAGTTAGCGATCGAGACGGCGATAATGCTACAGAGCTAAACCAGATCGACTCGGCAGTGAGCGCAGACATATCCAGACCCATAGTCCCCAGCAGACGTTCTCACGACTATCTCCAGCCTCCCTTCGCTGACGCAGCTACCCAGGACAAGTCGTCTCTAGATGTCACAAGTTCTGATGGAGTACATACAAGGTATCTAGAAGACTATATCCGTCACGCATACGAAGACATACAAGGGTTTCCCGAGCTCTCGTCGCGCATCTTCAGCAGATCTCCGGGACCCGACATCCAGTGCGACCGCGATAACCGTATCATAATCTACCCCGGATGTTTCAATCCACCACATGTAGGTCACGCCGCGCTGCTCTGGCACGCCTATCTTAACATGGATGCAAACACCATAGCGGTCATGATCTTCGCTCTTAGAGACGATTCACTAGATTCCAAAGATCATATTACTGATGACAAGGGTAAAGCGTTCATACTCTCCCACTATCAGCGCCGTCAACTTTGGAAAGACGATGTGCTAGGAAGATTCGCGTGGGTGTTCCCAGCGCACGATACCAACAAGTTGGACATCTTCATGGCCACGATCAAGCGGTTAGCGAAGGCGGATGGCTTCAAAGTCTCCTTTCAAACACTGTACGGAGGCGACCACATCAGTCAGAAAACTATGGCCGAGGGACGACGGGGATGGGATGGCAGGACATGCATCGGCAGTGATTTAACACGACCCGTGAACTTTGTGCCTGAAGACGGTGGCGACCTATTACAGCTGGACGGTTGTGATAAATGGAAAAGGATGAAAAACGAAGGTTAAAGATGGACAGGGAAGGAGAATGAGATTCTAGGTTGCTGGCCTTGCTGGTCCTGTGCCAAGATGCGCGAGATCTCCCCCGAGGCTGTCGAGAAGAATGGGACCTTCTCGTTCGGTAAGTCTTCTGTCTGGTATCGTTCTATCGTTCCTTTTTTTTAACGTGTATAGAAAACAGATGCAAAGGCTTAAAAGCACCCGCTCGCGACTATCCTAGCCCGCTGTTACTTGCCTGATAACACACTTCAGTCGACGTGTCTAACTCGCAAACGCGGTCACATCATCTTCATCCCCAGTAATCGTAACGCCAATCCTCCTTCTTCTACGGCATTTCCTATGATAAGTGCTACAGCGATTCGAAGGGCAGTTCTGAAAATTGAAGAAGCCAAGCCGCAGTTCCGAGACGAGATCAACTCCGCAGTACCGAACGGCAACTTACTCTGCATATACCTGGGCTTGGACGGACTCTGGAGGGAGAATGGAATGTCGGAGCGGTTGATAGACGGCGAGCGCTGTGAAGACGATTTGTGGTTGGATAGACTGAGAAAGAAGCAAGCGCACGAGGATGGGGACAAATGGAGGCGGAGGTCTAACCTTTTTGAGTATTATGCCGCGGATCGTTGAGATTGGCCATCTATGTAGAGACCACCAATTATCTCTAGAATACCCTTGAATCTGTCTCGCATCTTGCATGCATGACTACTCCTATCCCATTTCCCTGGAACTACCACGATGTGCGGAGCCGATGGCCTTTCTAGAGCCTAACCTAAACGTCGTCCGTACCCTTAGTCGACTGACCTCTCTCCCGCACTTCCTCGAGCCGCGGCACTATCATCTTCATCGCTACGGTATTGTTCAACCTCTTCCGAATACTCTCATCGAATACTTGGAATATCCGTTTCGTACGCTTGCCAAACTCGTCAAAGGTGATTTCTTCGGTCCAGAGCTGCTCCATGAGGTACACGTATTCGTCCCAGTTGTCTGGGCCTAGAAAGAATGTTATCAGCGAGTGTTCCCGAAAACTTTGAGCAATGAGCAGTTACCAAGGGCCTTTTGTGTGCCTAACAACTCTAGAGGAACAACATAGCTATACTTCGGGCGTGGTCTCCTGGGTTTTGGTGGAGTCGCGGACGATACCTGTGGAGGCGCAAACATACCGATGGGAGGCTGCGCACCCAGTCGTTGGCTGACCTTGTCATCACCTTGACAGTCCAGGTCACCAGCGGCGTTAGCATCCTGGATTCCATCATCTAGTCGTGGCCGTCCTCGCTTAGGAGTGCCCAACGGCGGCGTAGTGAATGATTTCTGCCGACGTACTCGACTGCCTTGGGAAGGTCCCGTAGTTGCCTTTGGTTGACTGGTGGACCTCTGCTGCTTCGCTTGCGGAATCTTTCTCGCTATGAATGGTGAGATGTCATCTGAAAAACGAGCTGCCAGCGGCGCCTTCCTCGGAACGTCGTCCGATGGAACACGACTACCGTTCCAGCCTATCGGAAGCGGTGCGGGCGAGACGTGAGTGTTGTCTCCTCTAGTCAGAGAATCATGGCGCTGGTCAGCGGGACTTGTGCAACCGCGGCCTTGCGCTGGTGTCGCCGGCGGTTTGGGGTCGACTCTTTTTATGTCAGTGTTGAGGTTGACGTTCTGCTCGTTGCGCGACATGCTGAACGGAAGTGGGTGTTGTCGGCGTCGGGCTGTTAGATCAGGATATGAATTTTCGAATGGATGATTGAGATGCGGAAAAGAAGGCCAGTGAGATAGTTCCCCGAGGAGTAGGTTGTGGTCGTGAGGTGCCATGGGAGGCAGGAAGGCGTGGCCACCCGTTGCATTTCGTTCGAACCTGGCTGGAAGATCGGACGGCAACATGTTTGGGGTAGGTCCGACGAATGGTCGACGTTGCGAAGGCATGACTGCGCTTGATAGAGGGTGCTTTCGCGTGTTCTTCATCTGCTCTTGCGCCATGACTGGGTGTGGTGGGTAGGAGTGATGGGGCTCGACCGAGATCTTTGTCGAATGGAAAGAGCGACGTGGGCAATACCGCGGGGCAACGTTGCGATTGCGCTGACCAGCGAAAAGAATTTGGTATCCCACTTCCTAATATCGAGAAGTTGCGCGAGAGAGTAGATAGCGATTGATGTAGGGAAAGTGGAGGTGAAGGGCGCTTGCCGTGTAGGAGAGCAGAGCCACCTCATACAAGAACCAAACCAAACAGGTCTGCAGACTACGTCAAGATAAAACTATACAAATTGGGTGACTCAAAGTCGATGTAGGCTCCAGAGTGTCCGGTTGTTTTGCTTAGGCTGACGTTGAGCTCAAATTTAGAGGAACGCGCCTTCCATGTCTGTCTTGGGTGTCACGTCACCCAAATTCACCTGGCAATTATGTTCAGCTAGCTTTCAGCTTACCATTTAACATTTAGTTGACCGCGAAGGCCAACTGAGCTAGGGATAGGTCCAAGTCTGATCAGTATGCGAGGAGACCGACACAACAGCCAATATCACCGCAGAAGTCAGCTCAAGAGAATCTGGATACTATTGGAGATTTGTATTCCATCTGAAACGAAGGCTCCTAAGATGTATCAGTGTGGTCTTCATACCACAGGTACGAGTTGTACAGTACAGGAACTCTGTCAGCTCGATGTCTTTACCTAGATGAAAGCCGCCAGTACGGTACATCTTTCGCGTTGATGTCATGACGACCATCATCTAGTACACAATCTCTCATCAGTACGTTCTGTCTACATGGCCTGGTATGCCTCAGGTTTGCAGGACGTGTCTAGCTAACCAAAGCTCAAGATATGGGCATGATCGCAAACACACCACGACCGATGAAGTATAGAGTTTTTGTTCAACACATGGTCGACTTAGAACAAGGAGCATGTACTTAAATACTACCTGGGTCTTATTGAATAGGACAAGGGCCAAATTCGGTACTGCACAATACAACTTTCGACCACATACATGGCAGATACGCCGGTTTTACCTGCAAGCGCGTCGCAGACATACCACAACTTGCTCGATGCACTACCTAACGACGACACGCGGCGTGGGTACTTATCATACCACGACAATTACGATGGCAAGATGAAGGGTGCTAAAAGGCTTGCACGGGGATGGGATGAACTGACACCCATGGTGCGACAAGAGTTCATCAACCGTGCAAACCGTCGAGAGGCCAGCCATGCGTCCGACCCGGAACTGAGGGTGAAGAAGATTCAACTGGGGAAAATACTCAAGTTGCGATTGATGAAGGCCGTATGCAGGCGGAAACGGGTCCCCAAGAAAATAATGTTCGCGACATAGAAGACCCCTTGCATGCCGTAGCGACACCTGCTGAGGCTAACAACCCGGAAGCATCGAATGAGACAGAAACATCTGATTACGAGCCTAGCGATAGCGAGATCGCAATATCAAGGGTCGGTCTTACCGAAGCAGATACTGGTAGAGCAGCACCTTCCCAGACAAGGAAAAGAGGCCGCAACGAAGCACATGACGCAACGCAAGCATGGCAATGGTGCAAGACACTGATGGACTCTCGCAATGGATTCAGTGAGTCCAGAGAGATGCGCACAGTGGTATGCTTGTGCGTGCTATGCGATGATGCGGGTAGGGTATTGAAAGTTAGTATCTCCATCAACCCTTACTTGTCTAAGCGTTACTGACATTAGTTAGCGGAAGGTATGTAAGGAGATACACTGTGGCTCGCAGAAAATGGTGAATTTCGTCAAAGAAGAGTACGGTAGCAGTCAAAAACGAGAGCTTTGTGATCATTGCTATCACATCCAGGCAGCCTCTCAACAAGAGGGTACACTAACGTATCGCTTGTTTCCTGATTACGCGGAGCACAGAGATCTGTGTGAACTTCTCAAAGTTTATTACGAGAAGAAGAACTTGGACAAGCAAGTACCCGAGCAGTTCCTTTGGCTGGTCTTCCATGCGCTGGCCGATGCCATTTGTACGTTAAACACGGGGGTGTGCGGAGAGACGCTCGACGAAGACAAATCAGCGGAAGAAGCAGAGAATGACCCAGAAATTGAAAAAGAGGGACAAGAGACAAAGAAAAGAAAGCGAGGTGGCAACAAACTAAGGAAGAAGTTCAGTGGCGGCATGGTGCACCTGGATATCAAGCCAGAGAACATCTTTCTCAGCACCACTAAGGCACCCTACCTAGCGTACCCAAAGCCTCTTCTTGCCGACTACGATGTCGTCAGGACGATCTCACCAAGCACAGATGCTTCAGAGGGTGGGAAAGATTGGGGTACGGAAGGATTCAAGGCCCCAGAGATCATCGTAGAGGCAGCACATCATCATCATATCAATGCGAAGGCAGAGTTTGAAAGGTCGCAAAGACGAATAGGTCATGTCCAGTCGAATTTCAAGTGCAGCAGCGAAATTGCCAGCCACCTCAGAGTACTTCGCGAAGAAGAGATAGATTGCGAGCTGAAGGAGAAGTTTCAGGAGCTGCGGAGGAAGAGATGAAAGACAGATGTACAAGTCGAAGAGGATGCTGATACCCAGAATGTTAAGAGAAGCGTTTGAACTGTATGGAATACCTCCACGCCACATTATCAGCTCGAGGGTATGACCCCAGAGGAGCTTGAACTCCTCCAAATGACAACGGGTGGCTTCTTCGCGGTCTGTGTGATCAATCTTGACAAATCCGACTTGCGATCGGAAACCTGTGTTCATGCCCACAGGTGGCTTGATGATCGCGGCGGCTTTGAAGTCTCCCCGGTAGCTCGATGCCGAACAGTGTATGTGTTTTTCTTGACTGCGAGAACATGGCCTGGTGTCAGGCCATATGCGTTACTGCCGCTGGTCATTACGAGCCCGTGTGTTCCAGCGCTCGTTCCGTGATCCATCCTGTTCCCTATGCAATCCAATGGCATCCAGTCCGACAGAGGCCTTGTTCCAACGCAAGGGTCGTAATGTATGATGATCTTGTGTCCACATATTACCCTAACTCCCCAACTGCTAAGTCCATCTATATCCGCATCGCCCAAGAAGAAGGGCGCGGCGTTATACATGCTGAGTGTGTATTCGGCGAAGTAGCAGCGTCCTGCAAGATTGTAATCGTAGTGTGGAAGGAACAATGGCGAAGTTGTGGAGTAGTAGACTCATGGTAACCTTGGTGTGTCGTGGACGAAGGTCTGGATTGTAAGCGTTGGTCGAGAAGCGTAAAGCTTGAGTAGGGAGGGAGCATGCGATGATTATGAGTCGAAACCTCGACACTTCGTCTGCGATGCGTCGTCGGATTTACTCTGTAGCTTTGCTACCCTTCATTCTGGTGGGCGTTCGCATCGCCCAGTTCGTTTGATCTCAAGTGGGTAGTCATCTATGTATCATAGTGAACGGCGGAACAAGACCGAAGTAAGGCCTCGTTCGGAATGGCGATAGCCTTTCATTTTCGTGCTTAGCCAGGCATTATCAGGTCGCATGTTGAAGCATATAATATACTAGGCGGTTGCTGAGAGACAGCACACGTCTCACAGTAGGAAGGATGCATAGTAGTGGCGACTTCGTGTAACGTGTCCTACGGGGGAGACGTGGAGTACATATGTCAAATTCGCTATCAAGCATCGCAACGCATAATGGCGACTGATTGTAATCGAGGGCGCGCGATTGTAAGAGCTAAACCTCGATTGTGGAGTCGCAGTCGATGCCTGGTCTGTCGAGCTAAGAGCGCGTTCCGCGCTTCGGACGCGTGTTTCTGGCGCCAAGCCTTGCACATCTCCGTTCGTATCGCTGCCCATCACCCTCAATCATCCGTCTCCCCGCGACCAGCTGCCCCAACACGTCGCAACCGTATACTGTGTATAGCTCGCTGTCACGCCCGTTTCCGAGTCGACCAAGTTCCTTCCGCTATGGTACCCTCGATCGTTCCTGACCTCGGCAAACTCCCCGCCTTCAAGGTGCATTGATTGCTGCATGCGTCGCTTACTGCATCCATGTGTGTAAGGCTCCACTCTAGATGGCGTGGCAGGCTCTGAGCAACATACCCGCCTGATTGCGGCGCCTGTCATAAATATATCGCCTTGCTTAGCCCGCCTTGTGAGGGGGAAAGAAGGTTTTACTCCGGATGTGCTTCATGCATCGTTAGCACAAAGCTCATGATATCCCGCTTCTGGCTCACGCTACTCTATCGTCATCCGCTCGTGGAGGCGTTCTAAAACCACCGTCACAGTCGTACAGCAACCTGCAACCTAATTACCACTTGTGGGGTCCGCACCTATTTTCAGCTGGAGGCGATTGGATTCTCACTATCGAGACTACATGGCCATATGTAGCTGCTTCCACAACAGCGCTAACGGGAATGCCACAACGGTTTTCATTAGTGACTTTATGAAAGGCCCGACGCACCGAAACAACCACACAACGTGCAGGGCACGCATGGCAGGATTTAAGCTTGTAGGGGCACACATATCGTCGCGCCAATAAACGATACGTGGCAGCGTGCCGCCCCACGCCGCCAATCTCATGGGTAAGATGCGAACTGTGTTAGTTCGTCTTGAGTTAGCAACTGTGGGGAACCTAGACTCAGCATGGTAGCCCTCCACGACCTCGACGGGGTAGATGTACGAGAACGGTAAGTCGTTTCTGCAACCTAAACGCCCCGTCCCGCATGGAATGGTTCAGCGGAGACGTTGGTTTTCAGATCCTTTGAAGCAACGCCGCCCTCGTCTTGTTTCCACTTTTCAGTTTGACTTGAACCTCATTCCGGTCCAATGGCTTCCGGTAACAGCAATATCTACTCGACGACTAAGTATCTGGCTCAAGAACGGACCCAGAACACCAAGATACCAGGCGGCAGTCGCTCAACCACGCTATCCGGAGTCAAAGATGCCGATTTCGTTGCCATCGGCCTTGGGGGCACAAACATGCTGGCGATGCTGTGGGCCATAGCCATGGGCCGCCGTGCCGTCGGTGTAGATCTTCGTGGCGACCCGTTCCTAGGAGTGCATTGGAACATCCGTGAAGATATGTACCATCAGCTAGGGCTTATCGACAAGATGATGTTGGATCGATACGGACTAGACAATCTACCGAAAAGACTGGATGGATCACTGCTTAGTCTGGCAAATTTGTTCTATCATCCTATGACCAAATCCAGGGACATCATACCCGGAGCTATCATCGAGGGCTACGAGAAAGAACTTCATATGGTTGGCGAAATCCACAACATTGAGTACATCGACGACCGCTGGAAGAATGGCAAGCCGCATCGCACCGTCACTACTGTGCCTCCGCCGACTATTCCGGAGCACCCGTGCCCGACCAAAATCCGTACGGATATGCGAGAAGTCCTCGACGGGCCTTCGACATGGCAAGCTGCGGCATTCTCCATCCAACTTCTTCTCCGTCGCTATCTCGAAGCACTCGAAAAGATTGATCTGAACGCCAGTAAGACACCGAGATGTCGCCTCTTCACCAAACACCGCGTAGTTCAGGACGGAAGTGGTCTAGTCCATCTTCCGTGTGGTCGTGTCCAAATTCGGATCGAAGAAGTTACCGAAGTTCAATATCACAACGATCTCCAACGAATCCGCACGCCAGGAAGCGACTTCATCGATCTTGGGGTTCCGGAGCTGTTCAGCGTCGCCACCGGCATCAACTGCCGTGAAGCTGAGCAACTAGGCTTCCAGCAGCACGACGTACAAGTTGACCATGGCGACGGTCAAGGCGCCAAAGTAGCGCAAGCAGATTTCGTCGCTGGCCAATTCAATATTCTCGTTGACGGACGGTTGCGTCGTCGTATCGCTTCCGAATTTGATCAGCATGGCAATGAATCATGGGTACGGCAGATCGCTGTAGGCCACGAAGGCGACCCAAGGGTCTCCTGGCTCATCGTTGAGGTACCTGAGTTTGTCTCGCTATGCCCAGTCGAACGCGGTCTTGTCGGCGCGGAGACCAGCAAAGACTCCGCCGAATACTTCGCAGCCTATCAACTTCTCCTTTACGACTACTACATCTCGCAAGCCTCTCTCATCCTGGAAATCTCCCCAGACGAGCTCCGTCGAGTCGCCATGGTCTACGGCCCTAAGCCCTTCAGCCTCGTTGAGCGCATTGGTGCTGATGCCCGCGTGGCCACTAATGGCATCGTGGCAGGCGATTCCTTCGGCAACGGCCACTTTCTCCATTCAGCAGGCGCGATGTGCGGCATGCTCGGTCACGCATATCGCTTCCTAGAATACTGGCAACGCCGCGCCGCCGCTCACTGCGCTGAGTCATCTATCCGTCTTCTTGCAGACCGGATCAAAGCCGATACCGAAGCGCTACTGGAAGTCAGTGCGAAAGAGTTCAGCCAGGCAATTCCTAGTAACTTTGGTGCGGAGAGAGGAAAGAAGGTCGCGGCTGCTAGTGGTATTGCGGAGGAGAAGCGAGCGAAGGTTAGCGCAAAGAGGGGCAGGAGGTGGGATCAGGCGCCCTTGAATCCAACGGATTGGAGGAGGGTGTTTATGCGGAATGGGAGAACGTGGAGCGATAAGCTGCCGAGGATTGATGAGAGGCATCCAGCTTCGAGGGTAGAGAAGGCGAGACTCTAAGCTGGTGGGCTCGCTGAAGGTCGACTTGAGCAAGTTTAAGTCATTTATGGCTTATTTCAGAAAAGGTGATTCGTACGATTTCTATAGCAGTAGTCGCCATTTCCAATACCCTCACAAGACCTCATCTAAACAGATATGAATTTCAGAAATCACGAAACAGATGTCCATGTTGCTGCATCCGCATCGGATGCATGGCAAGCCATATTACTGCTGTCGAGATCAACTTCTAAGAAGGGACCGTCTCTGTAACGAGCCCAGTGCCAGCGCGTGCGTTCTGAACAAAGCGAGCCTGAAGGAAAACTAAGCCACATTGCCCATAGGTCAACCTCAACGATACATCTATTTCGAAATACATCTTTCGCAAAGGCACGCCAACCTGGAGCCAAGCGACACCAAGGCACACTATTCCCCTCAGCAACAGCAAAATCTTGCAGTATTTTGGACAGTCTTGACGACCCCACTTTATACGACTCTTCTAATATCTTTGCCTTTTCTCGACCTGCTACAGTCCATGCCTAATCGCCACCTACTTCGTTTGGGTCTTGATAGTGATGGAGTCGCTCACCCATAGGTGTAGGCATATATACGTCCCCTTCTAATTTTGCACAGAGCAAAGTGGCCCAATAGAAGAGATAGCTACCTTGTTGGTAATCTGTTCTCCCAAGTCTTCTGAAAGCGTGCCATCGCCATGTCCAGTCAAGGCTGTCGTCCCAATGAACTAAGAGGCCTTCAACCTCGATACGTAGACACGAGCCTGAATCAAATGGGGGCCGACGAAGCTGCAAGGCTTTAGCGACTGTAGCAACAGTGCAAACACATAAATTATCACTCTGTTTTAGAACTTTCAAAGCTAGTTCTTCGGCTGTGGTCGAGTACGAGACAGGTACAACATCTCGCTCATCGCATAGAGCTAGAAGTGAGTATACCCTATCGTGGATGATACTGCACTCTCTGTCCTCGAAATGGGACAATAAACTGACCAATCTCGAGCTCTCTGTATGCAGATCGCTGTTTTGTTGTGTCGCAAATCGCCGATACGTAGTGTCGATCCAATTCGAGCTACAGTAACGAGATCGCTCCAACATGGTTGCCCACGCTACTCTTTGTGTGCCAAGCTGGACAAGAATCGATCTTGCTAGAAGGACCTCTTGCGTCACCCAGGCCCGAGTCCAATATCTGTTACGAAAGATGTTGTGTTCGAGGATCGGCATGTCATGACGTATTGCCTTGATCCAAGCACCTAACATCATGATTTCGTTCGGTCCTTCGAAGAACGTTTGGATGCATCGAGAGTCCGCGGGCGTCGTACTTCCAAGCCATATGTGTACACGCTCAGCTTCTGCGAAAATCTTGCCCATTTGAGCAACTTGATGATTTCGCTCAGAGACGTTCGATTGATCGATACAGAATGCATCGATCTAGTATTTTCCACTCGTGTCTTCTGACGCATCGGGGGAGGTGCATACACAATGCAGAAAATCGAAGAGGTTTTCGCGCACAATGAACGGCTTTCCATTCATGAGGATGGTTCTTAAGCTGAATGGGTCGTCATCACCCCATCGATAAGACAAGCAGGTGTATGTGGCTTCGATGGTTGTATGCGATACATGGCATTCAATCAGTCCTTCCGCTGATAATCCAGGATTAATCTCTATGAGCCTGATAGAAGCTTGTGTCTGGTCCAGCGGCTCATGTTGAAAAGATACCGGCTCCCTCGATGTGTGAGAGGCGGCAATTGTGTTTGACATCTTAGCTGAGCGACCTTAGATCCAACAATTAACGGACGATAAAGATCCGATGGAAAGTTCGATCTCTTGTGTCGCAAGTTGATGATTAACGGGGCAAAGCGGTAGGGAAGCTCCAAAGGTAGCAAAGAGGAGGTGCAGACAAGGCTGAACATAAACAATATCCGGGGCGCGAGATAAAGACAATGAATAACCACCGCTGTCTGATTGAGACTTGCTAATACGAGTAAATAATGTTTTCTTTACTGTGTTTGTAGCTGAGTAGATTCAGGAAGATTTGACACAAGTTGCGGGAGCGGATGCCTAAATCACAGCAGCAGGTGGGGTTGCTAGCCACCGTAGTCGTGGCTGTGCACCTACATGCACGTTGCAAACTTAATCTACAGGCTGTAATTAATCAGCCTTGTATCTATGACCGTCAAATAGTAGTCAACATTGTTTGGCGGGTTACATTACAACCGATTACAAGAGAAGACGCCAAGGTCAGATGAAACTCCCGGAGGACGTCATACAAGAAAGCAAATAAACAGATGCCCTGAAGTCTACGTTAGTGTGAAGCCCGAAGAACACAATCCCTAGGGTAATGTATAATTCTAAGAGGTAAGGTGTATAGGTTTTCCTTCCATGAGTTGTGAGGGAAGAATGCGGCGCATGGGCCACCAAGCCGAGCAAAGCGCCTGCCTGAAGTAGCTAAATATCTAGGATTCATCCACGGCAATGCGCAAACAAGAAGATACGTCGTACGCAATGAGAAATTGTGTTTCCATCGGATTCGCTTCATATGACTAAGAGCTATTAAACCTCGGTAGCTGACTACTGCGTGATAACGCCATCCATCGACAGCTCCTCGTCTAATCCGACGTAGTACCTGATCCAGTTGAAAATAGACTTGTGCCAAAGAAGACTGTTCTGCCTGCTTGTCACCCAATGACCCTCGTCGGGGAAATGCAAGAAGCGCGACGGCACACCCAGACTCTGCAAGATGTTGAACGTCTGCAGTCCCTCGGCCTGCACAACACGGTAATCAAGATCGTTATGGATGATGAACTCGGGTGTGCTGGCATTGGCGAAATGGGCAAGAGGATCCCATAGTTCGTAGTTGGCGCGGTCGTTCCAGACCGTGCCGTTGTTGTCGCGTTGGATAAACCATAGCTCCTCAGTGGCGTAGGAACCGACTTGGTTAATCTTTCCGTCATGGCAGACGAGGGCTTTAAACTCGCGGCCTAGGTCATGGCCCTGCACCCAGTTCGTCATGTAGCAACCGAATGATGCGCCGGCAGCGATGGCCCGGTCAGTATCGACATAGTCGACGTTGTCACGGAGGTGCTCGAAGACCTTGACAAGATCGGTGTACGGTGTTCCGCCCCAGTTAGCTTGGATCTTATCCGTAAAGGCTTGGCTGTAAGATGGCGATCCGGTGAATTGCGTCGCAGTGACAACGAAGCCCTGATCCGCCCAAGTCCTCAAGTTCCATCGCACGCTCCAGTTGTCTCCCTGAGTAGACTGTGGTCCGCCGTGGATAATGAACGCGAGAGGGTACTTCTTGCTTGGGTCGAAGTCAGTGGGGTAGAAGACAAAGGTCTGAATATCGTCGCCGTCGTCGTTGGTGACCCAGAAATTTGATACAGAGTCTGGCGTGAGACCCTCAAGCTCTGGGTCAACTTCGTTGGCAGTGAAGAGAACATGCTTGTCCTGACCAGGGTATTGTTTGTAGAACATGCGACTGGTCCAGGAAGCCGCTGCTGAGACGAAAGCACTGCCGTCGGGGAGAACACCGAAGTCGGAAAGAACTGTATCGGGACCGGTAAAATTGACGGGTGTGAAGTCGGCTGGCGCGTCCTCGGGAACAAGCCACAAGCGAACAGAGGCGTGCAACTCGGAGGTGACCCAAAGGTCGACATCATCAGGACTCCATTGGAGACCAGTTGGGCTGGAGTCCCAGTTTTCGGCGACTGAGCGGACTTTGCTGTTCATACCATCAATCTCCGCAACGTACAGCTTGTACTTGTCGGATTCGTAATCAATACCATCTTGCTGTGTGTATGCCAGCTTGCTGCCGTCATGCGACCAAACAGGAGCACCAGATGCACCCTGGGCTGTCTCAGGAGCAGTAGTGCCAGGACCATTAATTGGTACAGCGACAGCGGATCCGTCAAATGGAGCAACATAGATGTAGCTAGCGGTGTAGTTTGCCTTGGGAAGATCTGGGGATTTGGTACGGAAAGCAACCATGCTACCATCGGGAGACAGATCATAGTCACCGGGGTCGCTTGAGGAACCCTGGACAGGGCTCTCTGGGCGCGTTACAGTGTAGTTCATTCCGTACAGAAGATTCTTGAGCTCGCCACCATAGCTGTAGCTTCCGTTGCCGCCGTTCAGAACTCCACTGAAGACAGCGACGCGTTCGGCAGTGATGTAGTAATTCCAATGCCTTACAAAGTTACTGTCATATAATTGTCCGAGACTCTTTGGGGCAGTAACGAGCTCAGGGTTGTATGCGGTTCCATTGCTTTCGTATGAGAGGCAGTTGCCAACGAAGTTGATGCCTGACTCGGTTTTGACAGCCTTCAATCCAGAAAGAGGAGCATGCAGAGATGCCACCAAAGTTGGCTCGAAAGAGTCACCACTGAGATCAGCAGTGTACAGAGTGACACCTCCGGGAATTTCCTCGTTGGTTGCGTTGAGGTAGAGAATGCTGTCCGCTGTGTCACCGACCCACACAACCTCCGAGGCATCGCTTCCGAAGGGCGCTTTGGTGATGTTTCCAGACTCGGTGTCAATGAAGTACCAAGAAGTACTGGACTTTTCAGACGTCCAGTTGAATTTGGTCTCTGAAAACAATGCGCGGTCCTACGAAGTCAGCATCTGGCCGTAAAAGAAGAGCTGGGCGACTCACTCCTTTGGGGCTTAGGTTGCCTGTGCTTCTGCGAGGGGCGGCAAGCATGCCCCTGAGTATCGTCAGAATGAATGGGCGCGATCATCAAGTCAAACATACTCAACTGTTATGGCTTTGGCAGACCCCAGCAAGAGGCCGGCGGCCACGAGCACCGTCTTGATGACCATCTTCTCCTGTTTAACTTGAGACGGATTGAAGAAGTCGGAAGTGCAGAAAGAACTTCTGTGGAATTAAGCAGGGCTACTTAGACATAATTTGTAGTCCGGGTTATCGGGCGCGGCGTCACTATGCGGAGCGGAGCATCACAATCACTGCCAAGGCTTCGAAGATACGCACCTGCCTCATTAGCCATATGCCAAGGAAGCTTTCCACGGCTTAACCGATTATTATTGAGCCGGCATCTGGGCAGACGTTGGACTTGTGCTTTCTGGACGATGGTATCGCTGATAGGAGCGGGGTTCCATGGAATGCGCATGTTGTATTTGCACGACCTGCCGGATGAAGCTTGAGGCGGCGTGCGGCCTGAAAGAAATCTGGGTGGCAGGGACGCGAGGGATCGCCAAGGTGCAAGGTAGTACGAATGTGTTCAGACGCGTCCCGAGCGATTGTCACAGTGGTTCTGTGTTGCCGCACACGAACTAACGACAGCTGTTTGGAAGCCGCGACGAACTGCGGGATGACGGGATGGGTCGTGGTGCTTGGCGCGCCAAGCTAAAGCATTCCCACTGGACAACCAAGAGCAAAATTTCTACGTCCACTTCCATCAACAGATCTGAGATAGTGCAGAGCTTTGTCATGACTTTGCATATATGTGTTTCGCAGAGCCTTGATGGTGTGAATACTGGGAATGCCAATGGCAGGGAATCGTGTGTGACTGTTGGCTTCGAAGAACAACGAGATCAGCCTTCAAGATTGAAACTCAATACAACTAGGCGAGGAGCGTAGCTTGCCCGGCTTCTCGGGAGGATCGATGGCTATGAAAAGGGCTACTCGACGCCTACTTTGTGATCCAAGATGCTCCTTTCGACGCATGATGATTATAAAAGTCAAACATGTGGCATGTGAACTAGCAGACAGACAAGGCAAGTATCTTTTGGGTTGGGAAATTGTCACGGTAAACCCCGGCCGAGAAGACTGAAGTGTTGCCGAGTCGAGAAACACTGCGTGCAAGCGGCCACGAGCGCGACAAGACACGCGTTTAAAGATTGGCTGTGTTAATGCAGAAGACTCGGTAAGGTCGTCGCATTATGGCCTGCGAATGCGGGATGAAACCTGGATCGACACCCGGGCAAGACGCTAAATTTAGTCTGCTGGCTGCGCCACTGCTCTAAGGCAAGAACAACGCGTTAATCAGCAGGTGGCCTCAACAAAAGACGGGCGGCAGCTGGCCTAAAGACGTTGATGTGTGGTAATACTGGGATACATGCCTTGATGCTGGACATGTGATGCAATGTCGACTTTTGATATTGTTCAGTCCTGCCAATAGCGCTAGGGATGTGGCACTTCCGCATTCTGAAGTTGTTAAAAGTGTGTTTGCGGGCCAATCACATGTCGTGACATGCGCGTCTCCTCCGCCCGGATCGCGATTGAGCATAAGAGGCCCTAATTCTCCTTTACACAGAGCTTCCCTAGTGGCATTACGATGACGTTGCGCCCATGCCTGGCCATAGTACGTGCTGTTAACGCGATGGATGTCACCCTGTTCGCCAGTGCAGCCAGCTAAGGCCATCATCATAACCGTGGCGCTGCTGGGAAGACAGTCATTCCCGCACCTTCTCTGCGGCCAACCTCGAGTCGAAACGGAAGGAGCGTGTGTGCACCGTATACGAAGCTAGCGCCTTGTTGGTCGCGCTTCCATGGCCTGGCTTTCCTGATCCGCTGCACCCCACCGTAAACATTCGCCTCAGGAGTTTCACTACCAACGCTTTGGGTTTCCGGCTCCAGCTCTCCAACCTCACCCGCCTTCGATTCGTACACTCGCTATACGACGCTTTGTTATCGTCTTCTTGTCCATGCACTGCCGCTGCTGATCGCCCGGGTTCCGTCGCCCCTGCCAGCTCATCGGCGCAGCTTCCTCTGACGCCTGTTTCACTCCCAGCAGGCTTACCCTCGCTCGCCGTAGTACACTCTTCAGCTGTGCCCCAACGCATTCCACAGCAGACTGTTCCGACCTACGCTCACCCACCACCCCCCCGACGCCGCGCACGAAACTCTACCGCCGCTCCCACACATACCATTGGAGACCGCCACCGGCCTATCTTTGCGACACAATCTCAAGACGATCGCGTTGAGACGCAGGCTGGAGGGTGAACATGAAGAGGGGGACGTCATGATGGCCATTACCACCTCGCGCGATGACGCGCTACGGCTGCCTGGCCCTGAACAGCTCACAATACCCTCGATACAACCTACACAGACGCCCCCACGATCGAGACGGAAAGCATCCACGCTGCGAGCCCTGCGCGCATTCTTCCCCCTTCTCGCCGTCATCACCATAGCCTCCTTCCTGCCGATCGCAAGCGCCGTATTCGTAAACTTTGAAGACTGCCTGACACGGGTCTACCTGGCCGATGGCAAACAAACGCCCTACCTCCGCTTCACCCCCGAATACGTCTGGGCTGACTTCAGTCCGGATCACACTTTGAATGTCACGGTATACGGCAATGTCTCGGGTCAGGCCCAGCTTGGTGACTACCCACCGTTGAACGACGACAATTGGAAGGACCCAAATATGACGTTTGGCAAGATTGTGAACCTGGCTCCGAACCACAAGCACTACACTACTTTGTTCTGGAACAACAAGGTCCTATCCTACTCCGCATATAACGCGCCCGCCGCCCAATTTTGTCAGTCCGTCCTCAACACAAGTTGTCCAGTGGCGCCATCCTTTGGTGGAAATTTGAGCGAGTTCTGGACCTTGCCAGCCGTCAGTGTCGCACATAACTTCGGTAGTTCGTACGCATTCTCAACTTGGGCCTCGACACTGCGCATCGTCTCCGGTGACGATAATGCACAGGCTCTCGGCTGCATTTCTGCAAACATCACACCAGACCTCGGCAAAAAACTATCCGATGCGATATGCTACCTTCCGGCTGCCGTGCTTGCCCTCGTGGCTATCGCAACCGTGTTCGCGGCGACCTGCAGCCCATGGGGAACATCAAATATCTTCCGCTGGACCAGCAACTATGGCCGAGACGAGGACTTGCTGCGTTTGGTCACGCCCGGATTTGGAGATTGTTTGCAATACATTCAATTCATCGTCTTGGCAGGAAGTCTCAGCCTGAACTACCCCGGGTACTTCCAGCCCGTCGTCAGCCAGGCCAGTTGGTCGTTACTTCTATTTAATCAGAGTTTCGTCAGTCAAGGCAACGGCTCCCAGAGTCTTGTTGACGGTATCTACTTTGCTAACGGAACCTACGGCCTGAATCGCCTGGGTCAGTACGTTGGGATGAGTAGAGAGCGTGATATATGGGCGTGTATGGCCATCTTCCTACTCGTTCTGATAGCCTGTGTGATTGTGCTTACCCAGCTCGGCTTCTTCATACGCTGGCTCTTCCGCTGGATCACCAACACGCAAGACGGTGATCTGACTGGGAAGAACTGGTCTTTCACCGCCGGCAACATCATCCGTGTCGTTTACAACTACTTCATGCTTCCGATTATAGCGCTGTCCTTGTTCCAACTCGTAGTCGGTCCACGCTCGCCGGCTTCCGTCGTCTCCTCAGCCGTCATCATGCTGATCATTGTCGCCGGATCAGTCACCTGGATATTCTGGTTCATTTTCACCACACGCCCTCGTGCTCATTTGTTTGACGACCTTCCCACTGTCTTGACCTATGGACCACTCTACAACACCTACTCGGATGATGCCGCTCCATTCTCTTTCATTCCTGTCCTGCTCACCATCATCCGTGGTATTGCTATCGGCGCCATCCAACCGTCTGGCATCGCGCAAATCATCATACTTGCTATATGCGAAGTTATTCTGATTCTCACTCTACACGCCTTCCGGCCGTTCCAGTCAAATACTTCGATGAATGCCTACCATACCTTCTTCGCTACAGTCCGACTCACCTGCGTCCTTCTTTCCGTAGCTTTCGTACCCTCGCTTGACGTGGATGAAGCACCCAAGGGCTGGATCGGATACATTATCTTGTTACTACACGCTATCGTCTTGGTATTCGGCTTTTTCCTGAACGCTCTTCAGACAATCATCGAGGTTTCTGCCCGACTTGGTGGTGTAGGTGCAGATCAACGAGGCGGTCTTACCGCAGTCTTTGGAAAGCGGCAACTGTCGAAACGTAACGTCCACCGAAACACACGTGGTAGTCTGAACTCGAACGCTGCCATGTTGTCACACGATGAGAACAAGAACATACAGCTCATGAACAGTCGATCCCGGAGTATGTCTGCCAGTTCAGCCGTGCTCCTGAATGGGCCTTATGACCGAGACAGCCAACGTGCAAGTGTTGGATTCGACGGCTTCAGTCAGGGCGACTACGGAAATGTCAGTCCAACTCCAGGATCGGGTCCGGTACCCTTCACTTTCTTAGGTGGCGGGTCTTCGGGCCAGAGCTCTCGCAGGCCAACGATGGGCACCATGGACGCTGCGGATCCGTACTATCGACCTCCACGCCCCCGTAAGCATACCATGGATTCTCTAACAGCAGCTGCACCAGGCAAGGCCCCTCTGGGAAGTGCAGATATTGTGGACGCCCCCTACTCGGACAATCTAGACACTGAAGCTATCAAAGCCGGTGAAGGCCCGTCGCGTACTTCTGGCACACCTGCCCCAGCCTATCTGCGGCTGAACCGAGACGACTCGGACCCAAATCTTGACAGAAGGAACAACAACAATACCGACTATTCCGTACGCGAGTCAGACTTTTACTATGGACTTCGTGGCCCTGCTTTGTCTTCCCAACCTACGCGAAAGCTGAAGACAGGGCCTGCAGATCCCATGAGTCCTGTGTCGTCGGCTACAGGTTGGTTCAAGAGCTTGAACCTATTGGGTGGGCGGAAGAAGGAAAAGAGCAAGGGATTTGAAGTGGTCAGAAGTACACGTATACCGCCACAGATGATGGCTGTGGAAGAAGACGTTGAGTCGCCAGCAGTCGTGCAGGAGCCATATCGGGACAGTCCTGAGTCACCACCGCGAGCTCGGAACGTATCAGGAGGGTCAGGCGTAGCGACAGCGGCTGCCTTGGCTGGAGGGAGACGAGACTCTTCCGATAGCGACTCAGACACGAGTGATGAGGAGCGAGATTACGACCCGGGAAATCGTATTTCGCCTATTGCACCGGCTCTGGGACCCATTGAGAGTTTTGGCGGAATCGAGCTGCCCAGTAGAATTGGATCGCGTGCTTCCCGCGTTACGCAACCACCAGGACCTCCAAGTCGCGTGCCATCAATACCGCGCAAGAACTCACGCCGTACGAAGTCGACGGAAGCTGCTCTCCTCCCAGACCGACTGTCTACTGTTATGGATGTGCCAACGTCAGGGAGTCCGAGCAGCCAAAGACGAAGTCAGCACCTGCAACCGGGCGGACCTGGAGGCCTACCCATTCGCTTACCCTTCGGATCCACCGAACCTTCACCAGAGCGTTCACCAGGACCATCGGCAGCATCGAGCATATACCGTAACGACGGTGCCAGTGAACTGAATGCGCCCCCAGCGATTGGTGGAACGTCCGAGCGTCCTCTGAGCACTGGTGTTGTCCAGCACCATGTGACGAAAGACAGCGTCCAACGTGACGTGTATGATGCAGGAAGTCACCTTGAGGCTTCGGCAGAGATCGTGGACCGTAGTCGCAGTGGCAGCACACAACACAGTGGGCGCAGCTACCACAGATGAAAAAGTCATTTCGTTAATGTCAGTTTTCCCGTATACCATGTTGGGAACGATAGATTCCCATTTTAATCTTGATTTTGGCGCAGAAGATGCGCTTACGAGTTTCCTTGCTGTATAGTTGTGCAAAAGCGATTTTGATGGCGTTGCTTGGGAAACATGAGCGATGGGCTCTTTAGGACGTAGACGGGGGCACTACATAGTATCTTGATACTTTCTATATATATAAGCGGAACGGAGTGCACTGGCACAGTTAGTAACGTACAATAGTAATCTCAGTCAATTCACGACTAGTCCTGGTAGATGGGCGCTCCAAAGTTTTGACACGTGAAGAGGGCCGACGAAGATGCGGCGGCGCATCGTTGTTCCCTTGCAAGGCTAAGGCAGGCGTGGCGGCGCAGATGGTCGCGTGAAACCGCTAAGATAACGGCATAGTGGCGCCTGAGGCATTCCAACATAGGCCGACTAAGTCCTAGAAGCTACGGCCTTCTCCTCACCACCCTGTGTCGCGTTGTGCGCTGCTTGTTCCCTGACTTCTCTCCTGTCTACCTTCTGAACTTGGCACCTTCACGGGCGGCGCATAGAAGAGTGGTTGGAGTTCCCCTCGCCGAGCCGACGCGCAGGACCCACCCATCTCCGGCCTCTACGTAGCAACCCAACGCTGCGCGACTTACAGGCGAGTGCAAGATAGCTGCCCTGTGGCCCCAGGCTGACTGAAACGAGCAGCGCCATCCACGCTCGGAGTACCAAAGCCCAGGCGCGACGCTGACGCCGAAGCAAGTGGCGGTATGTCGCCGTGAGCCGGCCGACCTTCTCTACGAAGACCACCCCTCCCGTTCACCATCACATAAGCACTGGCTCACTCGCGAGTGAACTTGGCGCCGTTGACCTCTGCTGGATCGCTCCCTCCGCTTTCGGTCGCGTCGATCCGTCACAAGCCCTCCCAAATGCCTCCGAACGCCAATCAACGCCCGAGTGGACCCTATTCACACCACTCACACGCATACGGCGGTCAATATGACGGAGCGAGCAGCACCATAGACGGGCCACGCGAGGCTGTTATAGGCAGCAACTCCCGACACCATTCACAGGGCGTTGTCGCATCACACTTCCTGGCCCAGGACCGCGAAACATGGATGGACTTCCTAAGAGACGGTACCGAATCCACCGCCAACCAACAACCACCTCCTGTAAATAGCAACCCCGCTGCCGCCACGGAAGCTCGCTCGAACCCTTCGTCCTCACGATACACCCTCCCAAACCGCCCCTCGCAACGCACCGACTCGTCCTCCTCCCGCAGCTCCGACCGCAAGCGACGCCTCACAACCGCCGACTCGCCCATGAGGCGGCCTTCGAGCATACGCATGCACTCTGAAAACGCGGGCGACTCGAGTGCGGATCCCATTTTGTTGGACTCGTCGCCTGCTTCCGCCCGCGCATTACCTCCCATCCCGCCTGTCACATCACAAGCGAACTCGAGTACTATGAGGAGACAAAGTGATATTGTGCTGCCGCCATGGCAGCCGGATAACGAGGTGTCTCAGTGTCCGGTGTGCAAGAAGCCTTTTACATTCTTACTCAGGAGGCATCATTGCAGGTACGTACCATCAAGTCTACTCGCGCAGTCATGTCAGCCATGGGACGTTTGGGTCTGAGGTGCCTAGTCCGCATGGAAGCCTGCACGTTGCGTTTGTCTGGACTGCCTACTGACTACAAGAACAGGAAATGCGGAAGGGTCGTGTGCGCTTCATGCTCGCCACATCGTATTACTATTCCACGCCAGTTCATCGTGCATCCGCCGTCTGAAAGTATAGCAAACTTCGTCGATCTGACAGGAGAAGACGAGAGCGCCATGTCGACTTTCGGCCCGTTCCGCAACCCAGCGCTAGGCGGAGGCGAGGAAGTCCGCGTCTGCAATCCTTGTGTACCTGATCCAAACTTCAGCCCACCTCCACGATACGATTCACTCGGTCATGGCTCTCGGCCAATCCCACCCCGATCTTCACAGGTCCCACCTTCACCACCCCCACATCCTCGCGCACATAGGTCGTCGTCAAGCGTACACGATGCTTCGCGCAATGCAGGCCAGGGCCATGCATATGGTACACGCGACCCCACAAATGAGAGCAATCAAAGTAGGAGAGTGAGCTATCATGCGGGCTCGCATATGGGAGAGCGGCGGCTGCCACCTCTTCCGCCATCTGCTATCGAGCAGCAACACCCACATCACCGCGCACCTCTCATTTCCCAAACCGTAGCTACCAACCGGGCCCGCAACGCACAAAATCGTGTAAACTTCGGGTACGGATCTTTCTCGGGGACAAGTCCTTTCAGCCAAGCTATGTCAACCCCTGTACCGCCTCCACTTCAACCTCAAAATGCCCAGCCAACCCGCCCCCGCCGCCAAATCCCCGAAGAAGACGAATGTCCAATCTGTGGCGAAGAGCTCCCTCCCAAAGGCCCTGACAACGACGATTCAGACCGCACCCAGCACATTGAAGAATGCATCGCCATACACTCCGCTTCTCCAGGCCCAACAGCTGCACTCACGCCGCAAACGTCTGCCAGCCTACCCACTCAACGCACCCGCGGTATGAGCAGTGCAGGTAATGGTGAAGGCGCCAGTAACGCAAGTCGAATGAGCCATGCTGCGCGTGGCATGTTTCCGTATGTCGCGACTGAGAAGGACTGCGTTGACGAAGAGGGGAGACAGGCCGAGTGTACGATTTGCCTTGAAGACTTTGAATCTGGGGATAAGATGGCTAGGTTGGTTTGCTGGTGCAAGTTCCATGAGGTATGTCCTTTCCCCTTTAAAGTGCGGCGTGAACGTATCATGCTAACATCTGCCCCAGACTTGTATCAAGGAGTGGTGGGATAAGAAAGGACGGGGTGCGTGTCCAACGCATCAGCTTCAGGAGTAACTGTGTGAAGTGGAGTACACAAAGTCGAGGTTTGAGCTTCTTCCAAGTATTGGTATGAGCTGTGTGGTTACATTGATGATATTGACCTTTGCGTATCCCACCAGCAGATACACTTGACGCACCGCAGACTCTTGGGATCAGTATCTTTTTTTATCGGCGTTCTTGGTATACCCCTATCCCTCTTTATCATCATAGGCATCATTCTTGGTTTCAAGCGTCTTTGCGTTTATAGACTCACTCTTCCGTTCTTGATACGGGAGTATAGAAGAATATGGTATAACAATATCACTACACTCAAATGATCACTTTCTAGTGGAGAACAACGTTCTGGGGTGTTGACAACAACCGAGTAACCGTCATGACCTCATATTTGCTGTCTCCACGGGCTTGTTCATTTCCCTGCGATCGTGAGGGGTTTAAGTTGATCGTTCTTGCATTGAGCTTGTGGGGGACTGCAAAGAAGCAGAGCTAGGAGCAACACTTTGGGGTCAAGTGCGATCATCAAAAGACGTCGGCGGCGTCTATTGCGACTTCCTGCAGGCACCGGACTATAGTGAAAGTGGGTCTTAGGGCTAGCCTCGCGAGGCTGGTAAGGCGAGACGAGTAGCGATCTTTGACCCACTCACAACAACATCGCATCTCAGCGCGTCACGTCTCCTAGTCTCCAGCCTCCAGCCTCCTCTGTGACAGCTACATCTCGCGGCTTTGTTTAGATGCAACAACCGTATCGATGCCGCTTCCGTCCTCGCATTGCCAGCTGCCGACGCGCAAGCCAAAAACCACGCGTGGTCCTATATCACCCGCGCGAACGCGCCTGAGGACTCCTCACTCGTCCTTTACTGTCCCTATTGGTCTGCAACTGAACTACGAGCCCATTGGAAAATTAAATCCGCCTGTGAAGTGCCGCATCATAAAGGTGATGAAATTCTGGTAGGTCGAGGCGAATTCGCGTTGGCAGAGGCGTTGGCTACAAATGAGAAAGCGGTGAGTAGGGCAGCCGCTGATGTAGTAACAGGACTATTAGTCAAACTTAGAACTTAGCTCTCTCATGGTATACCCCGAGACCATCATAGAGGCGACAAACATATTCGCCGAAACTAGATGAATAGCGCCGTCGTCCCGTCTTCGGTCCGCCTCATCTATGACCTCGGATCGGTTGTACCAAAGGTACATCTCTTCTCTTTCCCGCACCACATTCCTCTCGTTTCCATCCTCAAACTCCCTCCACCACAATGATACAATTACAGCGGCTAGGCTTGTTGACCGTGGCGCCTGGCTTCCTTTCTATGGCTGCCGCCGTTGATTACGACGTGCTTGTCGTCGGCGGAGGTTCCAGTGGCACTCACGCTGCCATCCGGCTGCAGCAGTCAGGAAAATCGGTTGCGCTCATTGAGAAAGAGTGCCGGCTGGGTGGACACACCAACACCTACAAGGATACGGCGACCGGCGAGACTTTCGATTACGGCACGCAAGTCCTAGTCAATACCACCACCGTTCGACACTTGTTCGACTCCCTCAACATTCCCCTCGCTCCTTTCAAGCCCGGTGGCCAGCCCAAGGCAGTTGACTTCCAGAATTCTGTCGTCGGGCCCTCATGGCCCGTCGTCGACGCTAACGCCTCTGCTGTAGCGCTGGACAAGTACCAGGCTCTTCTCACGCAGTATCCAGACAACTTCTTCCGCGGATACCACCTCCCTGACCCCGTTCCGGAGGACCTATTGATGCCCTGGGGTGACTTCTTACGGAAATATGATCTAAGTGCGCTGGCATATGATGGCTTCTTGCAATTCCAAGGAATGGGCAACATCCTTGCCCAGCCTACCCTCTACGTGATGAAGCTCTTCAATCCCATGCAAGTCTCAGCCCGCAAAGACAAGACCAAAGTCTCGCAAGCAAATCACAACCAGCAAGCGCTCTGGGATGCCGCAGAACAGAAGCTCGGGATGGGTAACAGTTCTGTCGTGAAATGCGCCAAAATCAAATCCATCACACGCAGCCCGTCTTGCGTCACCCTGATCGCCCAGACTCCATCGGGTACCCAAACTATTCGGGCAAAGAAACTACTCATGACCATCCCCCCTAAAGTCGCCCTCCTCGACCAGTTCCTTGACTTGAACACGGAAGAAACCGACCTGTTCTCTCGCTTCAACAGCAGCGGGTATTGGAACGCAGTCGTGGCCAACACTGGTTTCCCTCAGGGCGTCTCTCTCTACAACTACGACGCAAAAGCCGCCTTCGGCATCCCTGGGCTACCCGGCGCATACTATTTCACCGCCGAAATCGACAACCTCTACTCAGTGCAATACTCCACTCCCATGGAAGCCTCGGACGATTACTTCACGTCCGATATTCTCGCCACAGTCCAGAGCATCCGCAATGCGCTCGATATGCCTCCTGCCAATCAATCTGCGACGATAAAAGCTAGCAACAATCACTCTCCCTTCGCCTTGTCGGTCTCGGTGGATGAGATCAAAAACGGCTTCTACAAGCGTTTCGTGGCTCTGCAAGGCACGACGAATACCTTTTGGACGGGAGCGAATTGGGCTTCGGGGAGTTCGAGTACCATTTGGGATTTCACTGAGGTGGAGGTTTTGCCTGCTATTCTCAAAAGTTTGGAGTGAGCCAGGGCGTTTAGAGGGTTTGACATTATTGTTGTAGCCTGGTATCTAAGATGATATATACTATTCATTCGGCGGGTTCGTCTTCAGAACGCCGACTCTTCTAGTGCAGACTCAGCAGCGTTAATGTCCCAGTTGCCATAACCCACACGAATTGAAGTCATCGATCCATCAGTCCCAGTCCATGACCTCGGGCAAAGCTGGACTCGTCTTTCTTGTAGGCTATCCTTACCGTATAGATCAAAGAGAGACCAAAGAGATATCCTGATTCTTGCACGCCCTGGACCGATCGCGGCAAAGCTTCTACCCAAATTTTGCCTATTTCTTGGCTCTATTGAATACGTAGAGTACGCGTTGGTTGGCGCGAGCGTTGTTGCAAACGCCTGGATATGCTCCTGCCCACAATAGGTCGCACGAGATAGAAACCTCGTCTCCTTCGTCACAAAAGCCCGAGAACAAATGTAGTTAAGAACGACGCATCCATTTCCCTCCCCAATATGTATCCAATCAGTCCCATTTGTCTCAATCTCAATATACGGTCCCTTCTTGAATTGGCAATCGCTGTTGGGCAGAAGGTCGTCGATTTCAGGCGCCAGGCTTTGCATGACAACGAGAGTGGAACAAGCGCAGAGGGTATGCTCATTGCTCTTCATGATGGAGTACACCAGTTCAAACCCCGAGCAACCGTAATCGACCGTGATAGCATTTGTCTCAGAGCATAGTGCAAGTAGTGAGAAGACCCTATCTCTGGCAACGCTGCATCTTTTGTCACGAAACGTTAACAGAAGGCTTGCTAGAGGGTTGCCAACGATGATGTGACTGCTACTACCAAGAGCTGATACTTGGCTGACGGCTTCACGTCTGGCGAATGCGAATCCGATGGCACGAACCATCTCTAGGAGCTTATTGATCGTGAAAGTTAGTGACCCAATTGCAACGCTGATACGGCGTGCAAGTATGAGCTCTTGTGTAATCCATGCTCGGGTCCAATATTGATTACCAGCTAAGTCGTTGTATACGGTCGTTTTCATAAGGCGACGGAGATTAGGATCATCCAGCGGTATCTGCAGAATCCCATGATAATGTAAAACTGTCTCTTGTGACGCGGGTCCGAGCCATGCGATGACCGTTTCGGCTCCAGAGTAGATCCTCCCCATCTGCATGACTTGGTAATTGCGTTCGGGCGTGTTGTTCTGATCGATACAAACAGCGTCTATCCAATATCGATGAGTCGTACGTGCAGTGTCGGCTCTGGTGACCTTCAGAAATTCGAATAGATTCGGTTGAACGTAGAAATATCCGCCGTTCATCAATACAAGTTGCTTCGGTTCAGGGTCGCCCCACGCGTACGATAAGCAACGATAGGGCGCATGGTCTATGGTCGTATGCGATATGGAACACTGGATGAGGCCTTCGGCTGACAAGATTGGCGATATGGTTAAAAGCCTTATAGAAGGTTGGGAATGATCGAGTGATTCATGGTTGAACATATCGTTGGGAGAAGGCTGCACAACACTCTGCGTTGTACCGAACAGAGGAATTGGCTGCAAGGCTGGGTGGCCTGCAGGGGTACCTGACGGGACGAGCATGGTTGAAGTGACCATTGTAAAGGACGCGTGATGCGCATTCACTTAGAGAAAGGAGGGCTGCGAAGGAAAGTCTGGATGGGTGTAGAGTATAGTTGCTTCTGGTAGCATGTGGATGTGCGGCTTGAGCGGGGTCGTCAGCTCAGGCAGCCACACCTGGGCCGCGGGCGCAGCATCCTCAGCCGCATTGGACCTCTGCGGAAAATGACGAAATAATCGCATAACTGAGAGTGTGCATTTAATTTAAGAGGACTGGTAGGTAAGCCACCATGCGCGAGGGGGGGGGGGGGGGGGGTTCGAACGCAGCGCTGAACTGCGCCTGTGTCCCCTGTCAGCATCCGGTCAAGGAAAGGAGCTGATCGCGCAAGTCCTCTTTTTCAGCCTTCTCTTCTGGCCCGCTATAAGTAATTGTCAGCCCCGTTTTATAGTTGTCCGGCTATCAAGATGGCCTTGTCCAAAGATCCTATTATAATGACGGACTCATCGGCACAAAACGGACAATGTACCAGCCCACCTCCCCGCTTCGAAGGAAAGCCTTACCTGCAATGTCTCGACACGCTGGAGGATGCGTTCCCAGCGCTCAAGTCCTTCTTGGAAAAGCTGGCCAATGAGGGAGAAGCCGGCCGTCAGGCTGTCAGGCAACACTACGAGAGGGAGCATCAACGCACACCGGGCCGATGCTATTGCTTGGAGTTCAAGACCAAAAGCGTGGTTGTGGTGGAAGAGGGTGTCTTTGAGACTGCTGATGCGCTTAGAGCATACCTCCGAAAAAAGTCAGCAAGCAAGAGCCGCGAGGAGATGCATAAGCGTCTGTTCATTCTCGAGGATATGGAGCCAGATTATGTGGATGCACTGGGTCACTACTTGGGTGTAGACCCTTTGGTATTCAGCGAGCAGATGAATACGTGGAACTTTACGGATTCCTGGTCCATCCCACATAGAGGGTTACCGTCGATGTCAATACCCGGACAATCATTTACTTTGCGCTACTATGAGCTGCGCACTTTGCTATACCCCAGCTCAGTAGATGTCCTGAGCTTGCAGACCTCTTTTGCGGTGAATCGCCGTAGGTACGAAAGGTGGAAAGACATCGACATACCTTCACTAGGCAAGCCTGATCGAAGGCATGCTTTTGTGAGACGGTGCGCGTCATTCTGGACGTCGCAGAACTTTCTGGCGAACGGGAAGACAGATGGCTTGGGATGGGATGGTGAGTTTCTCATGTCAATCATGACTCCTGAATCGTGGCTGACTCGTGCTGGCTCTAGCGGTTCTTTTGGTCGACCCTGCCTTTGCTGCGACATGTAAAGAACCATCGGCAAAGTCGGCTGATGGTTCGTCGACGGCGGGGAAGACAGAGAGCGAGTGTAGAATCGTGGGCGATATCAAACTCGATAGTAGTACCCGAAAAACCTTGGATGACTGCTTGATTCTACAAGCCAAAGAGCCGTTTGACAGCAGGTCAGCACTCTGGCGAGCACAAGACTGGGGCGCCTCCCATGTGCTCCGGGAAACTTCACATCAGAGCTGGCCGTACCATAACGGATGTTCCACACTGGCCCCACTGATGTTCTCTGAAGTCGGATTGGGGACAAAAGAAGTGAATTTTCCAGTCTTCAAAGAGAAGCGGAATCTAACCAGTGCGATGAACGAGATGGTGTTTTACTGGACGAAGCTTGCTACTCCTGAGTTGGTTCAGGAAACGAACGAGAAGTCGTCCAACGCAGCATACTACCTCCTGAAACATGTCGCTCAGCACTGGGTCAACCAACTTGAGCTCATGAACACGACCATCGCCAGGGGCGAATGGTTCTCTGACGACTATCAAGCCCAGATCGACGACAACCTGAGTAAACAGAAATGGAAGGCAGACCTACTGAAGATCAACGAGATCGCCGAGGACATCAACTACATGCGTCGACACTTGAACCACTTCTGGCGTGCAATGTATCTCAACCTTGAACGCCTCGGCGTGCAATTAGGCTGCGAAAGCGTCGACGCGAACGCATCTCTAGCGATTCGAGACGCGCAAAAAGACTTCCTTACATTACACACCAGAATGCAGCCTTTGCGCGATCGCGCAGAAGCCCTCAACTCAGTGTCGAACGATCTCGCCAACCTTCGGGCGGCGTTCAGAGGCGTCTCAGACGGCGAGTTCAGCCTTCGTCTCAGCTTGTTTGCATCCATCGTCTTCCCGCTCACCCTACTTGCGGGTATATTCAGCATGGGCGACGGCTTTCGCCCTGGTGGGCCATATTTCTGGCAGCTCTGGGCTATCGGCATACCCGTTTGCGTAGTGGTCGCGCTTGGTCTGGTGTATGGAAGGCGGCCATGGGCGGTCTTTACTGATATATGGGAGTATGCAAGATCGTGGCTGGAACATTACGAGCTCATGAAGCCCAAAGACGAGAAGTCTGCGCAGAACCGAAAGAGGGAAGGTACACAAAAGCAACAGATGAAAGAATCCAAGTCAGACGGGCAGGCGACGTTGATGAGAAGGGCAGGTTGGAGCATCCGCGACGAAGAACACGGTATTGATGATTGAGTAAAGATTTGCAATAATCGGAGGTGCAAGGCTAGAGTGGGATCGACCGCAGCACAGGCTTGGCATCCTCATCCCTGCATGACGGCAGCAATAGCTTCAAGCTGCGCCCTCTTCCACCTCTGCGTGATAGTCGTATGCGTATCATCTTCTACCCTCAAAACGACGTTCTCGATGCCACCACCCAGTCTTGCAGCAATCTGCACTCCATGATGGGCAGGCACGAAACAGTCATCCTTGCCATACCACAACTGCACTGGCAGATCCTTCCTGATATCCTCAACGCGGAAACCCCAGTCACTACATATCGTTCTCCCATCCAGCGCTATACCATCGAACCCCTGCGCTCTCGCTTCGCGAGTTGATCGTAACACCAGGCGGATGAAATCCTCGTCTGCCATGATCTCGCGATCCCTCAGATCCTTGATTGAGGCGAGGTTTGAGGGGTCAAGCACACGTTGAAGTCGCTGCTCGTCACTCAGATCCATGCGCCCGAAAGCATCGCGGTTGAAGAACCATTTGAGGAGGAAGACGGGCGCGTACTTCCATGCGTACGGGAAGCCAATCTGGTGCTGGAAGTCTGCTCCCTTCATGCCGATGTCCATTGGTCCGACCCCACATACAACGGATACGCATTTGAGCTTCGACGCAGGGAGTGCTGCTGCGCATGCAAGAGTATAGGGGCCTCCGCCAGATGCGCCCAGCACAGAGTAGCTCTTGAGTTGCAGATGGTCAACGAGACATTGTAGGTCTCTCGGACAATCCAGCAATGTTCGTTGGGGATGTGGCGTGCTCAAGCCGATTCCAGGTCTATCGACCGCGATTATCCGTAAGCCGAGCTCAAGAGCAATATCCTGGTACGAAGCTGCTTCGATGCGCGACCCTGGAAGTCCGTGGTGATAGAAGATTGCATGGCCAGTAGGCGAACCGTACCGTGCGTAGCCCAGCTTGCGCCCGTCGGGAAGCGTCAGTGTGTCTGAGGTGTCATTCCCCAGGAGGTATCGACATCCGCGTGTATCTTTGTCTTTGTGAGTGGTGGTTCCATCCTCTTCTACGCTCATAGCTGTGGTGATTTGATGATTCTCTGATGTGCACTCGACAAAGAGGTGTGCCACAGTATTCTATCTTGCGTGCAAGTTAGATCGGGTGTGCGCAATCTAGTTTCCATGTTTATTACGATGGAACGTGGTTTTATAATCATTCTGTTTGACGAGGAGAAGTCCCATCGGCACTGTCGAACAGCCGGCCAGCAGCGTCAGATGTTCTGCTTACCCCGACTTTTCCCGCGTTATTGTTGCGACGTTAGGCAACAGCTTAGCCTTGCCAGAACGCTCATGGTGAATGGCAAACAATCCGTCTCTTTTGTACTCTAACTGGCACCATGTGTCCAAAAACTGGTTTCGCGTCTCCTTTCTGACTGATTCATAGCATGGGGTTATCAGGATGCTCCGTCTCTCTTCGTTACCTGCAAATGCAGGATAGTCTTGATGCTCAAGCTTTGCAGCGCGGAGAAGTTAACATCAAGTTAATCAGCGCTTGAGGACCACTATAACATCGAAGCGCAGTCGTAACACTCAGCGAATTCGTCTAAAGCGTACCTCTCAGTTCTGACAAAAAGTATTTCGTCGTCGCTATGGGCGATGTCCACAAGTTTCGCTCCAGCTGCTGCGGGCTGCAGTGTGGAGTAAGCTACATGTTCAAATCATATTCACACATACTACAGCGAAGTTACAAACATGAACCAGCGAGATAGTCACCCGTATACCAGATTCTGCACATGCATGATCGTGAAAAGGTCCTGGCTACATTAGCTACATGTCAGCATGTACACTATGCAGTCATCAGGCCATATCAGCATACAAACGCCGTGCTACTTTACTACTCCCTCTCCAGCGTTGCCTACACCGACCAGCTGTGATAAACATACACTACTAAATCCAAGATTATGTTAAAACGTCTTGGCATCGTACCTGGACATTGGCAAGAGAAGGCGGCTTTCCCCCATGTCTATGTATAGACTACTGCTTCTGGACTGATGAGTACATGCGGTGGCATTCGAGGAGGAAAAAGCAATCCAGAGGCGTACTGTCAGTGCGTGCAGACATCCCGGTAGACACCACTTCCGCAGCGGAAAAGCCCATTGTCTTCTATGACGACGCGATTGCGTTGGGCGGCGTTGGAATTGCAAACGCCCGGTGAAAGCTGAGAAAAGCGCTTCTCACTCGCCACCACCAAAAGATCAGCGCAAACCTCGAGGTGTCAACACCAACGCATCCCAGCATACACGCGCACAACGCAGGTCACCAAAGAGTGAGGCTCAACGTTGCACGTATTAACTCGAGTCATGACTCCACACCACCGCAGTTTGCGAATCTGGCCCCCAGAGCAAGTCCTCCGTCGATCAGAATGAGTGCGAAACCAATGCTCGGAACAGAGAACTCGCCTTCGCGGCTCGAAGCAGTGGAGATCGGCGGCGTTATCGATGGCGCCCTGCAGCATGTGCAATTATCGGCGTTGAGCGCTTTGCTGCGTGTGGCTTTTGGCTGGTTGGCTGCTGTGCGAGGTAGCATTCGCGCGTACCTCACCGATATCGAGACAACGATTCCGGCTCTGTGGGGGCCTCGATCCTGGAGACGTATTCCGACAGCCTGTCACTCCAGACCATCGGGATTGCGTGCCAGCACGTGGGCACCATGTTGTTGTTTGTGAGAGTGGGTTGGCTTCTGATTGGCGGAATGGAGACGGGAGAACGTATGGCTGTGAATGGGTGTGGATGTCAGAGTAGAGCCGTGGCGGGCTGTGGCGTGATGACTTCACGCTGTACGGGATTATCCCACCTCACACAGGTTGTCATCTTGATTACCTGGGCCGAATTCCGCACACGCTACAATTGCTGTGAGGGCATGCCATCCAGTCATACATCCAAACTCGCGCGGCTTCCAGCGAATGCCAGCAGCAGCCGCCGAAACCAGACTACGGGGTTGCTGCTGACAAATAATCCCAAGTAGCTTCGCATTAAGATGCTATCTGAACCGAAGTGCCGGGTACTCTGCTAGGCTTGAAGAAGGAAATGGGAAAAGATGGAGGACAATGTCAACAGTCATGGTGTGGTAATCTTGTCTGCTGGTGCACATGACAACATGCCAGACCAGCAAGGGGATGTATGCGACTAACGCAAAGGAATGTTTTTCACTTTGGCTTGCCATGATGTTGGTCTGAATTGTTCCATTTCCGATACCAAATATACGTATCATCAACAAGTGGTCCCCTCGCAATCTGATCAAGACAGTGTTGTGCCAATCAGATGGTTCCCTAGTCCAGGCGTTCGTTACCCAAGTATCTACTCCAATCATTCATATTCATGTTCTCTGCCATAGGCGTAAGTGATGACGACGCAGCGGTAATTGACGGGTATATCACGACTTGTGATGTAATCTGCCCTTCCTCTCCATGGAACCCTCCTAGAACGGTCGATGAAAAGCCTGGTGTGATCTCAGCAATGCTTGACATCTGTAACGGTGCTGCGCGCTGAGGAGTGAAGGGGGTGCTTGGATTCGTCTCTGCAACCCGGGAGAAGCTCTGTGATGTGTTGAATGATGTATGCTCGGCTGAGGTGATGGGCGTGTTTCGTGACCTTCGCACCATGATGGGCCGGTCGATGTCACCTGGTGAGGAGAAAACTGGTCTAAGAATCGGCGGATGAGCGCTGACTGGAGGCACTGCGGGACATGAATTATGCCTTTGTGGCCATGCGGAAACTTGGGGCCTGCGCTGCTGGATCCCGCCGGACACATCATGACTCCATTCATGATGCCAAACCATGTCGTGCTGCGGGTCTTCTGATGTTGCGACTACCTGAAATTGGGTACCTAAGTGAAGCGGGCTGGTGCTTTCATCTCCTCGGGAAGTTTGCCACCCACGATGATCCATTGTGTTCTTCAGCTGATGATTATGCAGCATTGAAAAGTCTGCGGGCGAAGTTGGAGCAGTGTAACCATGTGGCTGCATATGATCGTCCTCAGACGGAGTCGCGTATCGTGTGGACGCTGATCGCAACGTGTTCGATCTGCGCAAACCCTGCATGACGTCTGTGAATCGAGTATTGTCGACATAGTTCTCGGTGGCTGTGGCTTGTTTCTTGTATGTACCTCCGCGATGTATTTCCGCATGACGATGCTCCTCGGTCTGGGTGGTGATATTGGGATTGTTCCAAGCCATCGAGGCAAGGACTTCGTTCGCGACAGTTTGCTGGCTTAGATCTTCGAGTGGAAACATTCCAGTGTGACCCGTCACTGCGTCAGTCGCAGCCGGAGCTCGTGTTGCTTCAACGTGCCGCGCCCCTTGCACAACTGTATGCCTATGTTCCCGTGGTTGGACATCAGACGGTCGCGTTACCAGCCTGTGCAACTCCTGCAAGCAAAAGCTGAGCTTCTCTACGGCTAACCCTGCAAGCTCGTGGACACTATTCTCGTACAGGTCCTTGAAGACAACGAACGCTTGTTCCGCTTTGAATGCGCCGGTGGTGACTGTTCGGCATTCTAATGCATCCAAGAGAAGGATCATACAACCATCAAAGGCCTTTTGTGCGATTGTCCAATCGACCAGCGCAGCTGGGTCTCTGTAATGGAAGAACATGAAAGCAGAAATAAGAGCTTCCGAAGAAGAAAGTACCAGCGTTCGTCCACGATATAAAGCCTGTGTTGAGTATGTCTCGTGTGAAAAATCCAAGGGGGAGGGGCGGTTGGCACGTTGAAATGGTAATACATTATCTCTGCCCGTTGAGGTAGTGGCTGAAGTGGCATGCTTCTGAATTTTCTGTTGGTTCAGAAGAAGGATGTAGGTGTGAGCATTGGAAAAGTATACTGCAGCATGTGAGCGAATGCATACATCAGATGATGTCTTCTTTAGACACTAGAAGGAGTGACAGCAGGAGAGCCGCCAATGGTTTCGCTGTTCGGGCTTTCGTTTAATACTTCCAACTCAAGGTGTAGGTACCTGATGGCAACATCGTACCTGTTGAGCACGAGGACCAATATACGGGCAAAAGAGTGTTGAAACGTACCAGTAGCTATGGCACTTAAGTCCGGCAGAGGAGTCTCGGGACGCATCCAATTGTCACGAAACTGGAGCGTTTCAGGTATTGTATCTAGTAATCTTCGGAGTATATCGGTGAACTCGTCGATCCTGGCATTCGTCAAGCAGTCGCTACTCACTATTTGTCTGGCCAGTATCGTAAAGTGGTTAACGAACTCGCCGAATCGTAATAAAACCGGGTCGGTCGTCAACTCAGCCGGCCAGGGATTGTCTCCAATGCCGCTTATTCCTAGAGGTCTTCCAAGGGTCATAGACATGTGTTCATCCATGTGCAGCATATGCCACCAAACTTTCTGTCGTATTACGCAGTCTTTCTCATTCGTAGGAGCAGGATTTAGGTACTTCGCGTGACGATGAAGACCAATCGAGTGGGCAAGGCGAATCGTAGTACCAAACAACGCGAACGAATCCAACATTCTTCCGTTGTTGGTTAGATAACTCCCAATCATAAGGAGCGTCTGAATTGCGGAGAGAGATGGCTTGTGTGTAAAAGAAGCCAGGCGTAAAGCTTGCATCGCTGCTGCAACTAGATCAAGAGCGTTAGCTCGAACTCCAATAGCCCCACCTACACCTACTGTAAATATTGCCCTTCTGAGTCTCGATTTCGATGGCGTTGGCGTTCCATCGTCCTCCGCTTTTGTCCCAGATTGAGTGTTGTGCGCCAAGCGCGATGAATCCAAAAAGCAATGCCAAAGTAGCCGGATAGAGTTGGGAGTTCTTTCGTGCGTCGAAAAGGAAAGCCTCGATCTCCTTTTTCGTTGTCTCCACCGGCACTTGGCAGATAAGCCGCTGGAAAATTCCATAGTACTCCATAAGCTCATCCTTCACGGGTAGGCAGCTAATTAGCTGTGGGATACATTCATCGGGTGCAGCAACGAAGAGAGTCGGGAAGGGATACGTTGGCAGACTGCGAAACATATCCGAGGCTCGAGGTAGTGTATACGACAATGGCAGAACGCTAGCATCCACTGAGGAGAACTTCTGATGTTAGATTGATGTTCAAGGTGTGTGAGAGTATACATACATCACTGAGGACAGTAGCTAATCCAGGCGAGCCAAAATAAATGCTATCCTGCCACTCAGAAGTCTGGAAACGTATCTGCTTCACAGCTCGCCGTCTCGACTGTACAGTACCTTCATTGAGAGGTGAGTCCAAAGAATCCACATGACCCAGGTCATCGTCATCTGCCGAAATCTTGTAGGCTCGCAGCCTTTCTTTAAGACGTAAATTTTCGGCGCGCAGTTTACGAAGCTCATAACTTTGTTGGATTGGGGCGTAATTGCCATCTTCTGCGATGAAGTGGCAGTCGCGTGGAGAGCCACGGGCACAACATGCCGAGCATGGCTTTGTGCGATCACACTATGCTACATCAGCTCAGTGTGCAGTCAAAGTGCACCGCGAGGATACTGTCCGCATCTCACATCTCACAATCTGTACTGCGAATCGATGGATATGACTGACCTTGACCTTTCGCTCTCTGCATTTTGTACATGAGAGCAGTTGGCGCGGCTGTTGAGCCTGTTGCTTCTTCCGAGTGGTCTCGGCCAAAGTCGAGGCCTGATCTTGCGCGATATGTATGTGCGCACTTGTACTTTCAGCCATGGTAGAATGAGATTATTCTGCTAGGTTGTGTTGCATAGTGGTGAATACTGGGCGAGAAGCGATACAAGGGCAATTGGCCGTTAATTGAGTATAGCAAGTGATCTCATAGATATACACTGGAGTTTGGGTAGGCTAGTGGATCTCGGATAATGAAGGCTTCGGGGTACCTTTATGTAAGGACAAAATGACAGACATCATCTAAAGCCAACTGCCGTGATAGATGAACGAGAACCAGGAGCCTCATTCTTGAATTGGATATCCGCGAGTCATTGGCAGGAAGATGAGCGCTAATGATAAATATGCTGGGCTTTCACCGAAGTTTGGACTACGGGATTGGTGGCGTTGCATCGCGCTGACGCTAGTCCTCATCAAACGTTGAGGCGCTGTTGTACAAAAGATATCGCCAAGCGGATTGAAGGGACCGTCGGGGTACTACAGGATGCTTGACACGGCACACAGATCTGACGCACCTTTTGACGGCCCGAGCCTCTGGGTCTCCTCAAGCGCACGCGCATGCACGACGAACCGGGTTGCTTGCCGTGCCGCTACCTCATCTCCATAACCGAGCGGAGAACACGATCTTGACACCACGGATCTACACGAATGCTGGCTGTTCGGAGCAAATGCATTAGTTGCTTGGAATGGCTTGCAGGTGTGCGTGCTGGGACGCCTCCGTCGCTCTAGCCTTCCTTGGCAAATTCCCATTGCTCCGGACGTTGTTGCAGTGCTCTATCTTGACCATTTCGCATCACACCATGGTCGTGAATGTGAGGCTGGCAATTTGGAATCGGGTGCGTAATTGAGAGCGATCTGCAATGACGGAGCGCCCGTCCCGTGCTGTAGTACGAAAACGCCTCCTCGCGCCACCGCGGGACGCCAAGCTATTCGCCTGTCAGACATACAGTCTGCTCGGAAGGAAACATGATGCTTATCGATAGAATCCAAGTCTCTGCACGATGGACTTGCACCATAATTTTGACTCCACGATCGCTCAAAGCGCATCGGTGACTCGATCAAGGAGGCGAATCGGCTTGACATAGATCAACCTCGTGAAAAGGTCGACCCTATCTAGCGCTACTTCCCACTCGTCACCTTCTTTATAGTCACCGTTCAGGACAGCTTGGAGACCGTATTCAGGTATGTCGCCAAGGGCGTAACGGCCTGGGCGAACGCGACGAGCCCAGAACTTGAAAGAATCGGGAAGGGCAGCCTCTTTGTAGTTGAGGGCACGGTGAAGCGCCTGGGCGACCCAGAATCGCGTTGAGTGACGCTTGGCTAGGGTAATGATCCGTTCTCGAGGTGAAAGAGTTACAATAGATTCCTGCATTTGTCGTTGCGAGAATGGCAGAGCTTTGTACATGGAAGCCTGGGTCTCATCGAACTTCCTACCGGATTGTGCCTCCCATCGCACAGCGGCTTCGATTTGCCAATGCGCAATCATATCAGAAAATCGACGAAGAGGGCTGGTGACCTTGATGTAGCCAGGGACTCCAATGATTTTATGTGGCAAGGGTGAAGAATGTGCAACAGCCATGCCAAGTGCTTTGGACCATCGCGCAGTGAGATCGAGTCTTACTTTTCCATGCTCTTCGTAGTGAGCCTGGACGAGCTTTTGTAGCTCTTTTGCATTCAAATCTCCACTAGGTGGTTCGACAGTGCCTCTGTACATGACGGGTATGTGCCTTTCCGTGCACCAAGCCGCCGCAGTTCGACCAGCAAGCATCATCATTTCTTCAACGATGTTCTTGGGCCCGATAGTAAGCTGCATAAAGCCTTCTGGTATCGAGTTCGTCACCTCGATGATCGGGTCTCCTTGGATAAAACGTGCCCTGTCCAGAAAGGGAGCGTTCCAACTTAAACCTCCCTGAGTGGCGCTCTCGAAGACACGGGCGTTGACGTTCGAAGTGCCAAATCGAACGCCACCAGCAGCCTTGCGAGAAGCCCATAGGGCTTGAGCTGCAGTATAAAGATCACGCAGTTCTTCGAGTTGACTTGAAGAAACACTCGGCGGCGGCCGCTCCGACCTACGTGGCACCTCTCCGCCAACAACAATTCTTCGGGTGTTCGTAGTGCTGTGATCACCCAGGAGAGTGGCTAACTCGGATGGTGTGATACTGACGATGTTCTGAATGAATCCATGCTGTATCTTTGTTTCTAGCACACTGCCAGCACCATCGATACGGGTACTGAAAGTTATGACCGGACGGTTACGGTCAAGACTGAAGTGGCCTTGACTAGCCCAAATTGGAAGCATTGGGAAAGATCGCTCCGGTGTATAGACAGACTCAGTCATATGCGCGGCGAGCCCAGACAGTGTGTGTGTTTTATCGAAGAATGCTGTTGGGTTTGCGACGTGTACATGGATCCAGAACTCCGAGGTTGCGTCTTTCACTCGTTCAATCGATATGCCATCATCGATCTCCTGAGCGCCGACATCGTCAATGCAATACACCGTGGTCGAACCCCAGTCACGACGTAGGTTCGCCATTGAATCCCGGAAGTCAGGATTCCTTCTTGTTAGCTCCGCTTTAGTGTTGAGTAACTCTAGATTACGAGACAGACGGACAGTGGGCAGCATTAGCTGCTCGTCATAGATCGCTCGATTGTCGTGTGGTGAAATGACTCCGATTTCTTGTAAGAACAATAACCCAGTAGCAGGTTTGATGTTGCTGAGGGTATCGTCAGAAGCTCCGGTATCGCCAAAGACGTCCGAACCATAGAAACCTGACGCTGATATCAAGCTCGCACAAGCAGCATGGAGGCCAGCCATACCCGTGAACTGACCAGTCAGTACCCATGCTTGTAGGAAGTTGATGATCTGCTTATCAGCGCTTGTGAACGGCTCCCCCCAAGTGATGTGCAGATTAGAAGACCCGTTCTGTGCCACCGAAGTCTTACTGGGTCCAAGGCCGCCGTAGGTTGGCTCACGCAATTTTCGACTCTCTGAAATGATCCTGCCAGCTTTTGCCAGGAAATCTATGATATGGGTGGCGCCGTCAGTGCGCCGTCGTCTGGCTTCCGAAGGGCTATTGACAGAGAGGGCAAGGTATTCTCTGTATTCTCGAATCCACTCGTGAACTGTTTCCACGACCTCGACATCAGTTTTGGGTCTGATAGCGAACATGTTTGTCAGACGGTGGTTACGACCATCGGAGCGAAAGCGAAATTCGTTGTGATTCAAAGCCTTTCGCACTGCTAGAAGCGCTGCTGGCGATGGTACCCAATCGGGGGACCCCCGCGCGAGCAGAAACTTGGCAATCTGTGTCAGTGTCATCATCCGTGTTCTCGTCTTGTCTGCCAGGATATCATAAGCTGTGTCTAGAACCGGAGCATTCTTTCGGTAGATCTTCTCGGCTTCCTCCGTCATATTTTCAAGGCTCGCTATCACAGGGGCAGCGGAGTCTCGAGGGACGTGAACCTCGCCCTTGGGATTAGCCGCGCCGGGATCTGTGGGTAGAAATGGAATGAGCGGCTGGAGAAGTGCTGGGTCGATGCAGCCTTGGATGGCGAAGGAGACCCGACTTATGATCGAATGTGTCCATCTGCCGTTGACGGAGAAGAATTGACTGTCGTTGTTCAGTTGCTGCACGAACACAGCAAGTACAGGTTCACGACCCGGTTGTGAAAGCTCCACCACATCGCCAGGCTTCAAGAACAGCCCGATCGTAATCACTTCTTCGCCCTCGTCTTCCTCAGCAGCATCCCACTCATTCTCTCTCGCGTCTTCGTCGGCCTTGAATGCAGACGACAGCTTCGATAGGCCATTTTGTATGTCTTCACGTTCGGGGTGGTTCTCGAATGCTGAAAGCACTTCCTCGGTCGGTCCACCAAACTGATGTTGCCACTGCTCGAGGTATTCGCGGATTGCAACACCCTCAGGTCGAGGAAGAAGAGACGGTTCCGGAGGCGGTGTGGGAATGGCGGTATGTGATGATAGTGGCGAGCGCTGATATCTGTCAGTTTGTGAACGGCGTACTGGGCGAATCACTTACACTGCCAGTGACATGAAGCGCCCGCCTTGGTGTTTGCGCAACTTTCAATGTAGAAATTCCGCGAGAAAATCGTATCTGCCGAGAGGCACCTCTCTGGCTTAGCAAGCGCCATTGGCATTGCAGGCATACATAGCCTGCAGCCTGCTGAAAATGAGGATACATTTTGAGGCGAATGGTGAATGATGTCGTCAATACAAAAAGTGCGGCGGAGGCAAGGCGCGCTCCAAAGATGGTCTGTGCAGAGACGCTAATGGCTGCGCGAACTCACATGTTCCTCCGCACACCTCCATCCTTCTTTCCTACACCTCACACGCCCAAGGTATGTACATCGTCTCCTTTCACTCAACTCCGTTTCATGATGTATTCAAAATTATAGCATGTATTATCCGACTGTCGCTTCGGCGTCATACTGCGGAGCAAATTTTTTCCTGATTGAATTTTCAATGTTCCCACTTAGGACTTGATGATGTCGCGACACAATTCTGACATTTCTCAACAGGCATCATGGCACCCGCCAAAGCGCCTGCGGGCCACTTTTCGATCCTGTACTTTGCGGCAGCCTCCACCTTTACTGGCAAGACAAGCGAACATCTTCCTGCACCCGTCAGAGCTCGCGATGTCTTTGCTATGCTGGAGGAGCGGTACCCGGATATTCGTAACAAGGTGCTGAGCAGCTGCGCGATGACAATCAACATGGAGTACGTCGACGTTGGCGAAGATGATGCCGAGGACGCGAACAAGCAGATCGTGGAAGGCGATGAGGTCGCCATTATCCCACCTGTTAGCTCAGGATGAGCTCAGCGGGATGGTCTATGTGCTTTATAATGTTATGAACTCTATCTACAGCTTTAATATATTCATTGCAGCTTTGACGAGCTTTTTTGTTATGTACAGTTGCATGCGATATGACAGAGTAGTCATGCTAGAGCCTCGACACAAGCACTGCTGTAATTCCCATTGACGCCTCAGTCCATGCAATTGGAGAGGGGAATCAAATACCGACTTTCCGTAGAATTGTAAAACTTACTTGCTCAGAAGTCTACATTACATTGGAGTGTTTTAAGCTCTTATCTTTATACTGATGTAGACGGCAGCGCATTTGTACAAGGTGATAGACAAAAACAAAAGTGAATAGCTATAGGCCAAGTTTGGCTTGGCGCACGCACTGACACCTGAACGCCGAGGGTTCTGACAACTTTACCCACAGGCGGAAGTTCGGTCACTATACTACCGACGCCGACAGTTACTGGACTTAAGATTCGAGTTGCAGGTTGCTCGCGATGGCAGACCACGAAATCGACCCAAGATTGTTTTCGAGTGCCTCCTCGGTGCAACCCTCACGGCCTCAGGCATACGCGGCGTCTGCACAACAACAGCATAATACCGGCCACCCTTACTATCTTCCATCACCGACAACACAACACCAACCCCCGCAGCTGTCACAGCTGTCGCAGCCCGCCCCACTAGGGAACATTCTTGATCCTGCCCTTGCGCAGACATCGCCGACGGGACCAGAGACAGAACACGATGACGACGAGCACGACGACGCGCATGACCACGACACCCCTGGTTCTGGCAAATCCCCTGCTGACCTCAAGCGCCCGCGAGCATGCGATTCATGTCGAGGACTGAAGGTCCGCTGCGACCAAGAGCGACCTGATGTATCATGCAGACGATGCGCAAAAGCAGGCCGACCTTGCATCACAACACCGCCGACACGGAAGCGCCAGAAGAAGGCCGACAGCAGAGTCGCCGAGCTCGAACGCAAGATCGATGCGTTGACAGCTACACTACACGCGCAAAAGACGGGAGTACCGGAAATGAGGCATCATGGAGGCATACCACAACCGGACGCCAACGCCAGCACCAACACGATGCCCATGCCGGTTGAGGGTCAATATCGAATGGGAACACTGGAACACGACTGGGCTCAGCCGCCGACGGCCAGATACCCAGACATACCAGCCGGCTATGGTCCGGCACAGAGCTTGCAGAGAGGGCCCGAGCCGAAGCGTAGGAAGATGGACAATGCGCACGCTGTGAGTTGAATCAATGGTACGTGAAGCCAAAACTAACATTCCAGACGATTCCCGAGGACATGGATGCTATTCATCGCGATCTAGCAGAGCACCCGGAAATGCGACGAACAAGCAAGAACAAGATTCACGCCGACCATTCACACATCACTCCTTTGATCGACAATCTCATGACACCGGACATTGCGGAGCGGGTTTTCCTCCGTTACGTGAACGAGATTTGTCCACATTTCCCTGCCGTACCTTTCCCTCCTGGTACGACAGCCCGTGAAGTCCGAGAGAAGAAACCGCTTCTGTTCCTCGCTGTTCTGGCTGGGTCTTCGCATGGAAGTGCAGAACAATTGGTCTCGCAAGAGACGCAACGCGAGTTGACCAAGCTTCTCAAAGATCAGCTTGCCGACATCATTTGGCGCAACGGAGAAAAGTCGCTCGAAATCGTTCAGGCATTACACATATCTGTGCTTTGGTATCGGCCGCCTCTTCACTTTGAGCAGCACAACTTCTACATGATGGTCAATTGCGCTGCCGTAATGGCTCTTGACCTGGGTCTCGGAAGAAAGGCAACTCCAAATGTCATGAAACTTTCGGTTGGTCCGTTCAAAAGGTACCATCCCAACTCTAGCAGTGTGGAAGCCCGTCGGACATTCCTTGTTTGTTACTATCTCTGCATGAGTATTACCATGGTTCTGCGACGACCGATTCTGCTCCGCTGGACCAATTACATGGCGGAGAGTGTTCGCATACTTGAGACCTCGCCCGAGGCATTGCCTTCAGACAGACTACTTTGCCAGCAGGTTAAGATGGCGCATATAGGAGAAAAAATCTCAGTGGAGTTCTGCATGGACGACCCTTCAGTCGAGGTCACCATTTCCGATCCAAAAGTCATCTATGCTCTGAAGATTTTTGAGAATGAGCTCAGCTCACTCAGGGAGGAGAATTCCGCTTTGGGTGAAATCGATCGTACGTTGTAGCAGTCATGATTCATTGCGTCTACTGACAGTCGTAGCAACCCTTCGCTTAGCAGAACACGTCACGAACCTATACCTGCATGAAATTGCACTGCACCAAAATCAAGGCTCCGCCGATTTACAACCCCCTTTTGTTTCAGATACGCTATCGCCGTCTCTACCATCTGGAGTGAAGAAAGATGTACCAGCTGGCCCAGCACACATAGGTGCTCTGGGTGACTGTCTCACTGCTACACACGGCATCCTAGACACGATCCTAAGTATCGAACTTGACATCCTGCTGACTCTGCCTGTCATTTTCTGTAAGGTGCCCTATTTCCATTGCAATATACGCGCTGACAGAATCCAGGCGTACGAGCCATTTACGCGATCGTCTGCTTGATGAAGATGTGGGTATCAGTCACTAGCTCCGGCGAAGTGGGTAGTATCATCAACCAGGAAGATCTCAAGATCGAGGCCTATACCGAGCAACTGGTCTCAATGTTCAATGCCATTGTCTCCCGCGATGCTCAATCGCCCCATGGAAAGTTCTACTTCGTTGCAAAGCGCCTCCAAGAGCGATTCGCCCACATCAAAGAGGGTGCCGCTGGCGAGCATCAAACGGATCCCGAATACGATCCCACCCGAAACAACAGTCAAACTTCCCGACCTTCCACGCGCCAAGCACCTGCAAACCAAACCCCGCTTCACCTTCTCTCAGAAGTCGCAATGGGTAGCAGCAACAATGTCGCTTCTCAGCAGCAGCAGACGCAAGCGCAGGCGCAATCTCGTTCTCAGCAACAAGCTCAAGCCGCCCTACAGGCCCATGCGCAGCATTCTCAGCAAGCCATGTCGAACTGGTATCCCAGCATGAACGCACAGTCTACACCAGATATGATGGGTCTTGGCACACAACAACCATTCGATATCAACTTCGATTTTACTCAGTTTGATCTAGGCACAGGCTCGGATGCAGATCTGTCAGCATTGTTCATTCCCGATTCAATGGCGATGTGGGGTTACCCTGCCGACCCCAACATGCAGGGTGGTTACAATGGCTACTGAGGTCCACTGCAGGCTACATAAGCGTGAAAACATACATTTGTAAAATCGTGGTGTAATTTAGACTTCTGAGTCACTGTATTGTATCGTTTGTGAACTCACTATCCATATAGAAGTACAAAACTGTGTAACACTACAAGGCATACTATACTGGGCGCAAACCATTTGCTCAAGCAATAACCCATTGTTCTCAGCCCCCGACAGCGCCCTGATAGTACACACTGTCGCGCCATGTATCATCACTCCAACTTGAAGTCGTTCTTTCTCAAAAACGCCTCCAATCCCGTCAACTCCCCCTTTGCCTGCTCCTTCGCCCATTGAACTGCCTCCTCCTGCCCCTTGCCATAATACCCATACTCCCTGTTCAACACCCACATCTCATACAATTGCTCCCGGAACCCCTCTGGGAAGAACCCCTTGACTACCTCATCTGGAAGCTGAACATGCGTAACCGTCTTCCCCGTCACCTTACTCATGATCGCCGCGACCTCGTCCGGGGTATACAACGCCTCTGCTGCAGCAAAAAACTTGCCGGCGTATTTTTCTGGTTCAGCAAGGATAGCCCCAACCCACTTCCCCGTTTCGGTGATGTCGATATATGGTACAGGTGTATCCCCCGGCAAGATATCCCCTAACACGAACGTCCCATCATTCGCGGGAGAAGGCCGGGGCTTCATCCTCCCCTCCAGGTTCTGCATGAAAGATGCCGGAGCAAAGAACGCGCTCTGAACAGGTAAGCCCCGGATATACTCTTCGATCTCAGCTTTATCGTCAAAGTGCTCCACGTTCTTCAACTTCCCGTTGCTGATCTTGGATGGGTGCGACATGGAGCTAAATATGATGTATTTGACACCTTGTTTGATGGCTTCGCTGCATACGGCGCGTGCTTGACGTGTTTCGACTTCGCGCGTTGAGCCGGTGTACTGCGTTGTTGTTATGAGGAAGACGTGCGTGCAGCCTGCTAAGGCGGAGGGGAGCGTCGTGGGGTCGTCCATGTCGGCTGCAGATAGCTCTGCGCCGAGGGACTGCAGCTCTTGCATTTTGGGTGATGTGGTGGACCGCGAAAGGGCGCGGACGTTGTAGAGGGCTGAGAGGGAGGGGTCGGTGAGGATGGTGCGGGCGACGGAGTTGCCTTGGTTGCCTGTCGCACCGAAGATGGCGATTGTAGACTTGGACATCTTGGAGGGTTGGTGGTTGGTGAGGCTGTGGAATGATGTCGTGTTTGGATTTGAGTGTCGTTGAAGAGGTGATGAGACGGTGATAGTAGGTATGTTGGTACATATAAGTGTTGATGGACACCTACCTTATATACCTTGAAGACTGCTCCGGTATATTGTTTAATCTGGTCCGGTTGCTTCTTGAACCAAGCCACATATATGCGGCCATGGTAAGACTCACGGAACTAGTCATCGGAGTTTACAGCTCTAAAACCATCTGAAGTTTTCAAACGTTGGGAGTCTTCAACACGGCAAAAGGTCGTTGCACAATACGATTGAGCTAGCATATCGACCCAATAGCATCGCATCTTTACAATATCCTAGATTTAAGGCCGCAGACGCGAGTGTTGTTGATGCTGGTGTCGTGGAGATGGATATCGGAGATGCTGGGTTCTCCGACCCGGATCTTCGGCTCCGAGTTGGCGGATCCAGCACTGGAGAGCTCTTAACTCCACTAAACACCATGACCTCCCAGCTTCGCCTTTCCACATCGCGCACTTCGTCATGAGCACCAGCGGGTACACCTCGTGCCTATGACGCAAAATTCGTCTTACACTCTAGTCCGCCCCAGGTTCCGACGATGACCTGGCCGTGAAAACGTTCAACCGTCCTTCATTACGTCATGCGTCGTTGTTCAAACCTGGCCAGATTAAGTGAAGGACATCCCTTCCATAACTATGATACGAAGTGTAACGGCGAAGACGAACTCAGCCACTAAGATGATGCAATTGATCAACTCAACAAGTTCTGGCAGATCCTCCTGGGCTAACTACCGGTCACGAACGCAGCAGCAACGAATATGCATACCTCAGTTGTTCAACATCTGCATTGGCGCAGCGGCAACAAGCAGAAGCCCATTAAAACCCTCCCGTTGTGTCGAAGTCCAGCTTTCGTCTGACACATCATGACGGCCTGACCAACACGACTGGATCCGTACCTTGTGCATAAGACAGGGCAACTTTACCAACTTCACGGGAAGGATGTCGGCGATCGAATCCTACAGATCAGATGTCATCAATATATGATAGTCTCTGTGAATTCTTTTCCAAGCAGTCCATCTCGTTTAATAAAAGGGGGTTGAGAAGGGATTACTCATACAAGCATGGCCTCTAACACCTCAAGTCCTTCCTAGGTTGGACATTACGACTCAACGTACGCGAACACCCAAAACCTTGCAGACCACCAACAATACAGTAGAATCTTGTCGCCCCATTCTTCGGCTGTCCTCAAATGGGGTAATACTCGCTGGTCCCCCTTGGGTTTGGTGGCCGCTGCAGGCAGAAGAGAGGAAGGTAATCCCTTTGCATCGGCATCGTGGTTCATCACACCACGCTAATGCGAACTGGTCTATCCCTTAGGTACACAATATCGTTCATAAACAATGGCTATTCACCAAGTCGATAACGCTCAACGTGGTTTTGTTGATCGTTTGCCCCATTGTCACGACTCGATTGCGACACCGGAAAGATATCCACAATTTAACATTCATCTCATTCCTTCTCAAATCTGTTGGGTTTAGCGGTTACTGCAAATTGTCGCCTTCCTTCCTTCCTTGCACACTGCGACTTCTCAACTAATTTTGGACCACCGTGAACAGCTCCATTGAATTTCTTTATTGCGAGACTCGTCTCAAGCAATCACATCATGAGTCGCCAGATCGTCGTTGCATCATGCTCGCTTGCTCAGTGGGCTCTAGATTGGGAGGGCAACTCTATCCGTATCAAGCAGAGCATCCGTGAAGCGAAAGCCAAGGGTGCTACGTTGCGCGCCGGTCCAGAATTGGAAGTAAGTCATCGTTTTGTTTATCGTACTCTGAAGGCGTTCTTTCACGCCTAGCCTATTTCTATGTAACACTGTCTCGAAATTCTGCTATTCATAGGGAGTCTTGTGTTTCCCATGGTTACCTACATACTAGTCGTTGGGCATATCTGCTCTACCGTTGTTCCCGCTGACCAAAGTAGGTTTGTGGATACGGCTGTCATGATCACTTCTACGAAGACGAACTATACGCCAATTGCTGGGAAGTATTCACCGGCGTCCTCAAGGACGAGTGTTGTGACAACATGCTTGTGGACATCGGTATGCCAATCATGCATCACAACTTTCGATACATCTGGTAAGCACGTTCATTTTTCGCTCCAATACTTTACTTACACCCCGTCAGCAGAGTGGTAGCATACAACGGTAGAATTGTTTCAATACATCCTAAAACAACTTTGAGGATTGACGGCAATTATAATGAGTCGAGATGGTTCACTGCGTGGGATCCTGCTGTTCCACTCGAAGCATTCCCCCTACCAGACTTCATTGCGGACATGCAGGGCACCAGAGTGGTGCCCTTCGGCAGTGCTCTACTCTCCACCTTAGGTGCGTGTATTGGCGCCATTACATCCGACGAGTTGATTGGGCTCAAGAACTTGCTTCCAACAGCGTTGAGTTCGACAAGCGCTGATGTCTTGACGGTTTCTGCAGCCAATCACTTCAGTGTTGGAAACTTTGACTCCATAGTTGCTTCGCTGCAAGGTATCAGCAAAGACATTGGAGGTGTCATTCTATACTCAAACCAGCATGGCTGCGACGGTGATCAGACCTACTACGACGGCGGCCCGATGATTCTAGTCAACGGAGAAATAGTTTCTCAGGGCCCAAGGTTTTCGGTCCACGATGTCGAGCTGGTAACAGCTGTTGTCGATCTGGAAGAGGTTCAATCGTATCGGGCGAAACAAGCAGTCTCGGAGCCGCTTGATGATCTAACTGCGCCTCGTGTAGACGTGGCATGCAGTTTGTATCGTCCTGAGCTTGTCGCCCTCAACCCAGCCCACCATCACCCTATTGCTGGGAGCCCAATCATCCACACTCTGGAAGAAGAGATCGCCATGGGACCAGCCTGTTATCTTTGGGTAAGTTGCGGCAGTACGAACTGGATGTGAGACATACGCTGACTTCGTATCTTCACCTTTGTAGCATTACCTCCGCCGCAGCAAATGTGTCGGCTTTCTAGCGCCACTCAGCGGCGGTATTGACTCGTGCTCGACATCTGTGATGGTTTTGAGTATGTGTTACCTGGTTTTCGACGCGCTTCAAGACGGAAACGAGGTCGCATCAGACATCCAGCGCATCACGGGATCAAGCGACTGGCGGCCCAAGAGCCCTCAAGAGCTCTGCAACCGCATTTTGCACACAGTATACATGGGCATGTCAGAATGCTCGTCTGAAGAGACACGTTCACGAGCTCAGCGTCTCGCAGAAGGCATGGGCGCCCACCACATCAGCATGTCCATCGACACGGTCTATCGAGCTGAACGAGATCTTCTTCCCCAGTACACAGGCTTCACCCCCGATTTCCGAGGCTCCTCAGCCGAGAACCTCGCACTCCAGAACCTGCAAGCACGTATCCGCTCAACTACAGCGTACTACCTCGCCCGTACCCTCCCCAATATACGCGGCCGCCCCGGCGGAGGCGGCCTCCTCGTCCTGAGCTCCGTCAACGTGGAAGAGTCCCTCAGGGGCAACTTGACAAAGCACGATTGCAGCTCAGCAGACCTCAGCCCCATCGGAAGCATCTCCAAAATCCAGCTCCGATCCTTCATCCGCTGGGCGCGCACCGCTTTCACACTGCCAATATTAGACGAGTTCCTCGACGCCACCCCTCGTGCTGAACTCGAACCCGCTAGCTTCGGTTCATGCGACGACAAAGAAAACGGTATGACGCACCAAGAGCTTTTCGTATTCGCCAAGCTCCGAAGTGAAGAGCGGCTGGGGCCATTCGACATGTTCCAACGTCTGCTCAGTGATTGGCAGGATATGAAGAGTGCGAGGGAAGTGGGCGATTTGGTCAAGCGGTTCTGGACTTTCTATGGTAACAACAGGCATAAGATGGCGGCGGTGACGCCAGCGATTCATGCGGCAGGATATAATCCTGATAACAGGTTTGATCAGAGACCCATGTTGTATCCGCGGTTCGAACATAGTTGGGCATTCAAGAGGATTGATGGGGTGGTTGATGAGCTGCAGCGTAGAGTCAAGATGGAAGAAGATGAGGAAATACGCTTTGAGGAAGTGGGTTTTGGAGACGAACCGCGCGTAAAGGCAAGGCTGTAGACATGGACTCTAGATGAAGGGATTTAATTAGATGGGAATGGTCTTACACTGTACTGAATCATCTTTGTACACGGATTTGTTATCCTATTCGACCCACCTTCCCCTCTCAACATCCAATTGTACCCCCTCCTCCTTCAGCGCTCCCTCAAGCGCGCCGTGTCCCTTCCACCCATGTCCAATTCTTCCCGTACTGCTCAACCTCCCCAAATCCCTTCCATTCTTCTCTCTGAAATAGGCTTTCTGGTCCTCCGTCGGCCCTTTCTTATTCCACTGCCCCGTCTTTTTATTAAACTGATATCCGTTGTACCAATCCTCGGTCAGAGCATCTGATCCATATTCCTCTAGCAGCAGCTCCTCATACGCGTACGGGACTCTCACGTCTACGCCTTCAAGGGTGGATTGGCGGAGGGGAAAGATCTGGGTGGAGAGATAGGCGTGGGTGTCTTTGACGTAGAGTAATGTCTCGTCGTCGAAGGTGTCAGGGTCGGATTCGTGGGCTGAGGGGTGAGTACTGGAGTAGGGAGAGTCGGCGAGGGAATTCTGTTGGGAGGCGGGTGCGACGTGGAGTGTTGTGATGTCAATATACAGGCCGTTGTTTACATCGATCCAGCGTATGTCGATGTGGTTGTAGATGTCTGATGTAGATTTGTTGGTGTAGTTTGGGTTTACCTCTAGGAGGTATTTCTTGCCCTGTTTCCTAATGTCTTCTTCCCAGGCCAGACGCTTCGAGCGCGTCTCTGCATCTTCATCCTGGTGCTCCAAGCCGAGCAGGTTTCTTGTCTGCGTGACATGGCCCTCCTCGTTGTCTGGCGCAAGTTCAAGCCCTAGTTCTCGAGCATTGAACTGATGGATGGTCATATTCCACCATGTACCCAATTCTCGTGCGCCGTCCTCTTCTACGAGGAAATCCAAGTCTTTATCCCACGGCATCAAGCTTCTGCCCCACCACCATCCCAGCAGACATCCATGCATAATCCACGTCTGTACACCAATCCTCTCCATGGTATCCGTGTACGCCTTCAACATGAGCCTGAGATGCCATATACGTTCTTGGAAGGGCACCTCGGAGGATGCGAAACGTCCATCGTAGTGGCTGTTGAACGTGGATTCGTAAAAGTATTTGGTCGGCGCGTGCGCGTAGGTATGCCCATTGGAAAAGGAGTTGACCAGGGGCGTGAGGCCGCGGAATGAGCGGAAAGGTGTGCTGCGGCGTTCGAGAGGGAGCGAGGTGGTGAGGTGTAGGAAGTGCGTGAGCAGAACCATAAGTTCTACAGGAAGTCTCATCGTGACTGGGGCCTTGTCGGTATGAAGCGCATTGTTCTATCGTCTCGTTATCGCGGTTCGGGGTATTTTCGATTCAATGTCGATGACGCTATAACGGGAGAAGATGCATGTAGCCAAAGTGAAGCATAAGAGCGCAATCACGGAATTGTCAAACGAGATTATCGACAAGACGATTGAGAGAGGGTCGCAAAGACCCGTTGTCGTGTTTCTACATGGTGGGCGAAGGAGCGGAATTCAATGATGGGCCAACGCGCAGAGCCAAGGACGATCAAGCATGCGCTAAGATCTCTCACTCGCCCACGCCGCCGGCCTCATTGTTCTAGCCCGCATGGATTCTCTGGGGCTAATCGGCTAGCGTGTCATTCGAAGCTGCTGTGAATGTGGAGCCCGTTCATGCCGATTGTGCGTTCGCAGTATCGTTGTCGATAAGGACGTCTACTCACGTTGCATCCTGTGTTGTGTGGTGTTGTTGTTATTTGAGGCTAAGGGAGTGCAAGTGCGGGCCAGCCACGTGAAAACGAAGTCTGGAAGGCTATACTGCGCGTCGTCTAGGCTGGGACCGCACGTGCGATGCAGCGTCGTAACCACTCGTCTCGCTGGATATGGCGTACGAGACAGTGATTGAAACAGAGCTTTCCGGCGCTGGCAGTAGCATAGCACAGAATCCTCGTACAAAAACTTGATTGTGTTATCGAGCGCTATTTACCCAGTCGATCATCCCCGCTGTACCACACAATGATGTACAGGCACGATCCGACGCGCTATTAGCTGGCGAAAGTGCGCTTCGGTCCGCCAAGAGACTCGGGTCCAGAGGAGAAGGACTCCATTATTGTGTTATGATAACGCTAATGTACGAACTTGAGAGCTGCATAAGGGCATGAAGCTTATAATCAACTTCGTCGTCATCACCGTCGATCAAAATGTTCAGGTATGAAGGTATTTGCGGGGTAAATGGTGAGAAATTATCCAACACGTTCAGTTCAAGGGATGAGGGCGATAAAATGTGATTATCTGTATTGCATTTCATAGTTCTACAACCACAACAAGTGACCAGCTTTGAGTTGCTTTATACCATAGGAATAAAGACCCAAGCACGAGTTTCCCATCATCTACACATATCCACATGCGGAGCACCTCCAAACGTAATGGTACAGCTTGGGCAAGGAAGAGACGATCTCTACCTCAAGCTAGCCTGCCAACAATTTGATAGGTTTCCCATCGCTCAGATCCAAACAAACCCACTGAAAGAACGGACGCCGTTGAGTACGGCTAATTACACTTTCCACCGCTTTTGTTCGTGTGAAGTAAGTATACATTGAAAAAATAAGACAATCCGGTGCTCGTGTACGCAATGCCGGAGAGACGAAATGGAAAGACAAGCTAAGAACTGTATGTTCATTCATAAGTAAAAACGCCATGATACGCCGCCCGATGTTGAAACGCCACAATGGGAGAGTGAGCGCTGAATATGCGAAAGTCAGAAAATGAGGGAAGGAGAATCTATCAACAAGCACGTCTGCGGCGCCGGCAAACAGAGCGACAAACAAGGAAACCGAGAAAGCCAGCAATTAAAGGGGTATATTTGCGAAGCGTGGAAAGTCACTCAGATCCCTTTTCGTATTTGACGGGGTGGAAGAGCGTGTTGCGCATGCATAACCGGCCAGTGCCGGCGTCCTCTTCTTGTGGGCCGCCCTTGTCGTTCTCACGAGAGCCGAGCCACCTTCGCCACCACTCGGATGAGAAGCCAGCATTGTAGTAAAAGCTGTTGCCCAGCTGATTGTGCTCGCCCCAGCCGAAAACGCTGTCGGTGGGCTTGGGTGGCTTGTTGAAGGTGCCATCGAGGGCTTCGAGTGGCCAGTTGTGATCAAAGTACACGGGGTGTGCAGCATAGACGGCCTTCAGACCGTGATGGAAAGCGACTGTTGGAGGCCACATTTCAGGGAACATGTGGTGCTTCATCAGGTATGTTTCGCGGTGCATGAGGTCCAATAAACGTTTCGATAGACGCGAAACAGTAATAATTGCACATCGTCTCGGGGGTTCCGGGAGCTCGAGGTCGTAGCCTGTAACGTCGTCGCGGAAGACCCAGTTGGTCTTGGCCGGGTCGAAGATTGGGTTGAATGTGATTATGTCGGCATCCTCACCAACACCCCACTCATAGTTGTCTTGCGAGTACGAGTGCGGGGGCTCGGTCTCAGGAGGGCTGGGAAGCATGCCAGTGTTTTCAAATTTGGGTGGGCCCCAGACAGGCTTCTCGTCGCTGTTGTAGAGCTCCTCCTCAACCATCTCGGTGAAGTTCTTCCAGGATCCGTGGAGCTCAGGAATGTAGTAGCGAGACGATCGCTCCCACAGACCTTTGCGGGGCTGCTTCTTGGCCCACTCGCCAATCTTGTTGTGGAACTCGTAGTAGTGACCGCTGAGACGGAGATCCATTTCCCAGTTCCAGTAGAAATCGTACTCTGGACGAGCTTGCGCGAACCACTGCATTGCGAAGTGGGCGCTGCGGTAGACAGAGTGAACAGGGGCCTTGGCGTGGTTGTAGACGTTGTTGGGGAACGGCTCTGGGTAGTACATGCGCATCTGCTGCTCGGACCAGAGGGTCGCCATGCCCCAGAACTCTTTGGGTAGGTTGTCTTCGATGACCTTTTGGTAGATCTCTTCCGAAGACCAGATAGGGAGGCTATCATCCTTGACGTGGAGGAGGAAGTGCACATCGTACTCGCCTCCGGACTTGAGCGCGAGCTCGTTGATCATGGCGCGCAGAGTGAGGATCTGGTAGTCGCTGTACTTGTAGCCGGTCCAGGTGCGGAGAACGTAGGCGTGGCGTGGCACCTTCTTCTTGGCGGGTGCAGTCTCCTCGGTCGTGTTCTTCTTGAAGCGGTGAGCGTTCTTCTCGCGGCATCGCTTCATGGCGGACGCCCAGTTGACCTTGCGGTAGTCGACCTTCTTCTCGTAGCTCCAGAGCTTATCGGCACCGCCTTTTTCAGACTTGCCATCCATGTCGAGACCGCCCTCGTCGCGAGAGTACGAGTAGCCGTAGGGACCAAGACGACCGAAGCGCTCGAAACACTTCTTGTCGTCAAAGCCAATCTCCTCGTACGAACCAAAGAAGGGCGCAGTCATGTTTTGAGGGATGCCGGGGTAAGCGTAGATGTCGGGGAGATCGATCTTCTCTTCCTCGTCGAGGTAGCAGGTCTTGACTTCGTCGTGCTCCTTCAGGTACTCGGGCGAGTCAAACTTGTATGGGTCAAAAGGCTGTAGCTCCAGCGGCGGCTCTTTGTCCTCCTTGGACATATGCGGCCACTTGGGCTTGATGTTGTCTTCTGGGTTGGGGCTTTGCGAGTACTTGACAAAGTCCTGCTCTGACACCCAGTCGCCGTAGGGAACAAGCGTGCGAACGCCGTTGAAGAAGCCATTTAACCTGACCTGTTAGCGTGCGAAGGGTTGAGTCGTGACTGGATGCTTACCGAGGGTAGTGTTCCCAGTGGTACTGTTTCCGCTCATCGCCTGTCCGTTGCTGTGCGTTCCACCTGTGTCTCCTGTAGATACCCGTGCCGAGCATCGAGGCCAGCAGCACTATCGTCACAGCGAGAGTGATGAGACGCGCGAACGATAGTCGTGGGCGCTGGAGGCGGTTGGCCCAGGCGGGCTGGCGGTACTTGTTGCCCCATGACTTGCTGCTGAAGAGCGGCAGTGGTGACGAGGCCTGGCTGTCCTGGCCGGGCACCTTTTCGTAGTTGAAGCGCGTTCGGATGAACAGCTTGCCGGGGTTGAATCGCGAGGCCATTGTCGAGATTGTGTGTGCGGATGTGCTGTGCAGCGTGTGGGTTGCCTATCGCATCTGCGGCGAGGCTGCGCAAAGGAGGTCGCTCGGCAAGTCGGAATGCAGGTGCGTGGAGCGTCAACTCGGCCGCGCGAGTGAGGTCGAGAGCAAAGACGAAGCACGACACTTGGGACGACAGCGGAGAGTGAAACGAGTGACTGTCCTGGAGACGGAGGCAGGATTATGGCGATGGCGTGGGCGTTGGGGAAAGAGCGCGGGCTGAGCAGGAGCGACCGACCCTTTTTCCCTCGTTGCTCGCCCCAGACAGCCTAGCGCTGCCTCGCACCTGCCGTCTACTGTAGCGCTAACTTACAAGGGTCAACCACCGACTTCTGGAGCACCACGGCGGGACTGTATAGGCTAGCCCACGCACCGGTGCCACTCCAAGACGTGCAGAACTCTCCAGATACTGCCCATCACAGCCGATCCGCCCCCTCCGCGTCTTCGCAGCGCTCCCAGCAGAGACGGCGTGAAGCCTCTGCTGCGTTATCGTCGAATGCAGCCCGCCACCAAATCAAATGGCGCCCAGCTATCAATTCACTCTATCGGGCCCTGCATGAGCCATGGCAAAGCGCACTATGCAACGGCCTGCCCTCCCGCCTCAACAACGTCGAGCGGAGCTTCTATTTTTTCTTGACGTCTTGCAACTCTTGACGTACTTGGCTGGGTCCTGCGATGGGTCCTCAATAATGCGACTCTGCATTCCCCCTGCCGCGACACACGCAGCTGAGCGAATGATGGAATCGCAAGATGCTGATATTCGCCGTTCCCTAACCCCTGGGCGTTCGCAGCGACAAGGTGGCGTTGTCTGTGATTGGCCTGTCCTGCGCCCCTAGGCTTGCATCCGACACCAGCATACGCGTCCTCTTCGAACGGCGCGGGCGGAACAGTCTAGGCTAAAAATACCTCCCCATCGAGCCACGGCGAAGTGGGCTCAGCGAGGCAATGAGCGCGGTGGCAGGGACGCCTGGACAGTTAGCTGCTGATATAATGTTGTTGCATTGCCTCCTCATATGCTGAAGCTGTCAATTTGCATGTCACCTGTCCATCGCCTGCAGTCAGTGGTGTTGAGCCATCTCGGCCCCTCTGACAGGCCCCACAGTTCCAATACTCTCTGCTGCTGCAGAACAAGGGCACAACTCCGCCGGAGCACATGGTATCCCACCCGATGACGTCGAACCGCGTGGATCCCGTCTGAGATGTAACCCTCACCATGCGCACATCATCAGCACGCAGACCGGTCGTGGTTTCCAGGAGCAACAATACCCAGGTGCGGGCTCGTAAGCACCATGCCAAACTATATTTCGAGACACCAACTCCAAAACCTGAACAGTATAGCTTAAGACCACTGCCCCTCGACGATTCCCGGTAACCGCGGCGAATAATACCGCCTGTAGTACAGACATCGCGATGCACTTTCGATAACATTCGACAACATGGGCGCACGTCCGCGATACCAACCACCCCGCTACCATCTGCACTTGGTCTCGGGATCAGCTAGCCAGCTATTCCATCACTTCCCCAAAGCGATTCCGGAACCGAGCGGAGGCCAACACTCTACGACATCTAGCTCTTGATGTTTTGTTCGACCGTCGACAGTGAGCGCATGTTGATCTCGAATCAGGCGCGGTAGTCGACTGGTAAGAGTGGCGGCTTCCAGGTGTGTGGACACAACGCGCTAGCCGGCAGAACCTCCGCAGATCTTGCTTGCGTGTTTGAGGTGCAAGTGCAACTTGCAACTTGCGTGGCCCTTTACGCGTGCGCCTTTTCTGCAGGATCGAGCTTTGATCATGAGAACTAGTGGGGACTGTAGTGAGTTACAGCGTTGTGCTAGCAGAGCGCAGCGCCTCTTGGCTTGCGAGAAGGCGCATAAAACTATTGTATGCACCGATAGCGGATAAGCATGACCAGGAAATCTTGTAGGCTTCTGTCCATGTGACACAAGTGCAACGCGGTTGATGTAAATGTAATGCGTAGTTGCGAAATAGGAAGAGGCACGAGCAGGTCGACTTAGCACCCGCATCGATGAGCATTATCTTGAAGGACAATCGAAGAAGCAAGTTGCTGTGTCTCGTGGGCATATTGAAGGCGCGAGCCGTAAAAGACAAACATGTCATCGTCGATTTTTTTTTAGTGTACCTCAATGTTTGGAATCTCTCTGAAACCATTAGTCTATCTGTATCGTCTTTCTGGCCTCGCTCACTTCACTTGCGCATCTGAAAGCGAGCTTGGATCTGTAGTGTCTGATCTATCAGTAACCTGTGTCCGGTCATTGCGACACGCAAATTATCCCACTTCAAGAGGAACTTTATAGATGGCTCACAGCCAATGGACGTCATTAGATGCATGCTTCCTGGATGACATACTTGTAAAAGAAGAAGAAATTCGGTCGCGCAGAGCATAGTCGATGGCATTGCTCGGTTCTGCAGGCAAGTGAGTGCCTGGAGATGCTGCGAGGCTGCGCCGCCGACGGGCCAATCAAGTAGTACTGAAGTCCGAACGGGCCTTCAAATCTCCGACGACCCTTCCACTTTCGACTCATCGCAGCAACCCCACGTTTGTGACTGGAGTATTGTAGCAATTAACTTTCTATCACAACCACAAAAATGCCTGGAACAAGGGGCCCTGTACCCGTGCCGCTCGAGACTAAAGGCCAGAATCTCACACAAGAAATCCTCGATCTCCTCGACACTAAGGAGCCCCTCCAGAGCAATGAAGACTTCCCCGCAATATCGCAAGCTGAAATCAAGGCTGCGCTGGACAGGCTAGCGAGTCGCTCTATGGTCCAATACAAGTCTCTGGACTCGGAGAAAGTTCTTCTCACACCAGAGTCGGAAGGCATAGTAGCGGATGGCAGTCACGAATTCAGGGTCTGGCAGTATGTCAAGGAGAAGGAGAGAGTCCCAATCGCAGACCTACCTGTACGCATACTATTATGGACTAGCTTGAGGATGAACGACTGACATAAAATACAGAACATTTTCGGAAAGGAAGTTGCGAGTGTAGGACAGGGCAATGGGTTCAAGAACAAGTGGATAAAGAAAGATGGAAGCGACATCATCCTCCTCCAAACCGAAGAGCCGAAAGATCTCAACCGCGAACTCCTCCAAGGCATCAAAGACACCCAGTCTCTTGACGACGCCAAACTCCTCGCTCAGCTGAAGAAGAAGAAGCTCGTCACCGTTACGAAAGTCATTACATACACCATCACAAAGGGCCCCAAGTACGCGAAGGAAATACCAGTAGAACACACGGACTTGACTGTGGAGCTGCTCACGAACGATGCATGGAAGACCGCCAACTTCAAGCCCTACAACTTCGCTGCGCTCGGCGCAAACCAAGATTCTGGCGCATTACATCCCCTAAACAAGGTCAGGCAAGAGTTCAGGAATATCTTCTTCTCACAAGGCTTCGTCGAGATGCCTACAGGACAGTATGTATCGGCCCAGAGATTATGCTCGTATGCGACTTACACTCTCTAGCTACGTCGACACCGGTTTCTGGAACTTCGACGCGCTCTTCGTACCACAGCAACATCCCGCCCGCGACATGCAGGACACCTTCTTCGTTTCATATCCACCAAAAGCCGACAAGCCGCGGTTAGACCCTGCGAACGAAGCGACGATGGACCGCATGGAGGCTGGATCAAAACGGCTTTTCTCCACACCCGAGAGCGAGAAGAAGGAGAAGAAGCCCCGAGACTTTGAGAAGTACTGGCAAGACGTCAAGAAGGTCCACCAAGAAGGCGCTTTCGGCTCAATAGGATGTTCGTGGTCACCCGATTCCCTGTTCAATGTGGACCTATATTAATAATGTACACAGACCGATACCCATGGGAAGAGGATGAATCCCTCCGCCTCGTCCTCCGCACCCACACAACCGCAGTTTCAACATGGGCTCTTCATCGCCTAGCCGAAGACCCACGCCCCGCCCGCTACTTCTCCATCGACCGCGTCTTCCGTAACGAAACCGTCGATGCGACCCATCTCGCCGAGTTCCACCAGATCGAAGGCGTCATCGCGGATTTTGGCCTCACACTAGGCGGCCTGATGCGCTTCCTGGAAGACTTCTTCGCCAACATGGGCCTGACAAACCTTCGCTTCAAACCCGCCTTCAACCCTTACACCGAGCCCAGTATGGAGATCTTTGGCTTCCACGTCGGTCTCGACAAGTGGATCGAGATTGGTAACAGTGGTATGTTCAGGCCGGAGATGCTGGAGCCCATGGGTCTGCCCAAGGATATGCGCGTATACGGATTCGGTCTCAGTTTGGAGAGGCCAACGATGATGAAGTACGGGGTTTCGAACATCAGAGAGTTGTTGGGTCATAAGGTGGATTTGAGCTGGATTCGGGAACAGCCGGCTGTGCGCTTTGACAAGGAGTAGGGTAGTGGACGAGACAAAAGTAGACGATGCGCATGATTGTAACGATAGAACGTACTCTGTGCAAATGATATCCAAATCAAGATCCAAAAGGTTTCTGAGAGATGAGTTTATTGTTGCTGCTTCGTAGTGTCTTCACTATCTCCCGCGCCAACCTCCCTGGTTATTGATCGGCTGACAGCACCTCGACGCTGGACAGTTGGATTCTTCAAAAGCGTTCCTCTTCGTCGCGTCGCGGCTTACCCTGTCACAATGTCTGCCGCCTATGTGAGCTCCGCACTTCTTCTGCGCACTGGTATCGACTCTCGTCGTAGCCTCTGTCTTTCATTCTTCCCTGATGTCATCGTATTCGTTTCCAATCCAGGAGTCTCACTCCTTCTCCAGACTGCTTCGAACATCCTCCTCAACCATCTTATTCCTCGCACCCTTATAAATCCAACTCTCCTCCTGCCCATCACCGCCCCACTTCTTCTTCGCCCATATTAGCCCATCCTGACCCAGCCCAAACCCAGCCCCAACAAGCAGTCCCAAGCGAATCGTTCTCGCAGCCGTCGAAACAGGAAACTGATGCCACGCGCTCCACAATCCACCCGTAACCATACCCGCTAACCCACTCGATATAAAATCCCTACTCCCCGCTATCCCCTTATTTATCCTCCGCATATCCAATTCATCCACACCCTCCATCTCCTCCATTGTGCGTCCTGCGCTCCATGTACCCCGGAACACGTCTAGACTCTCTTCTACGATGAAGAAGACGGATGACCACGCTGCGATATATGCGCCTTTTCTTAGTCCCTCAACAATGCCATAGCGCCATTTATAGTAGTTTTTCGACTTGTGGTACAGGTACCAGCCGGGATTTGAGATGGGCAGGCGGTGCGCGTTTTCGGCGCGGAAGCGCAGGGACGCCATGTGGCCAGCGTTTAGGGAGCCGAGTGTGAAGCCGGAGAGGAAGGAGAGTGAGGTTGTCAGGAGGAGGCGCCGATCGAAGGGCATGCCTAGGCGGGGTGCGTAGGGGAGGGGTTGTGTAGGTCGTTGGGGTGGTGTCGCGAGCATTTCTGGGGGTGGCATCGTGGATTCTGTGGGCGCAGTGGTCGCCATTGTCGAATTGTGGTGCCCTTGGGCGCGGAAATCAGTCGTAGTTGCGATGTTAAAATAATCGTTGGGTGAGGTTTGCGATGAGTGCGGAGGTGGTGCGGAGATGCCCCGAGTCCAATTCTGTCAGGGTTTCAGGAGCGCAGAGTCTTTGAGGATGGGCTTCAGGATATATTGTACAGATTCAGGTTATATGAATTTGAGAAGCAAGTACAGTTAAGGAAAAACGGGTTGAGTCTGTATTGGTAGTAACATAGAGGTCGTGGAAGCTTGCGAGCTCGGCTCGCCAAGACTTCTAGCAAGGGTTCAGGTCGCGCCTTCCTCCCCGCGAACCCCTCCATTACCTAGCAACAACGCGTCTCTATTTCTCAAACACTACAGCGTCACTCGCAATCACTTCAAAATTCCCATTGCACGCGTAACAGTTATATCCAACGTCTGTATCTCATCATACCCTACCACTACATCACGATGGCGACACCTTCACCGCAGACTTGGACACTTCGTCTCAAGTCCTACAAGACCACCGTCATCCTACACGTCGACCCTCTATACACCTTCGACACTATCAAGACGTACCTGTACGATGCTCTACAAGAGACCGACTTTAAGAACCCCGAAACCGGCGAGTCGATACCACTACCTTCATCCGCGTCAGACATCCAGCTCGGTCGGCCAGTAAATATCAACGACGCAAACGAGGGTTTCCAATTAGGAGAGTGGGAATATACCATTGGCGAAGAAGAAGAGGAGGGTGGCAAGGGTAAAGGAAAAGCGAAAGCCAGTGGGAGCGCCAACGGTGGCGCGAAAGCAGGCACAGCGAACGTCAAGCAATGTCCTAAGGGCGCCGGACTGAAGGACGGCGCTGTCTTAGCCTTCCGGTGGCCTGGCGACGGCAACTGGGACGGTGAAGATGAGCTCGACGTTGACGAGGGAAGACCTGGAAAGGCTGGAGATATGTGGGGTGTCAAGCTGGCGAGCTTCGAAGACGCGTACGGCGTTGAGAACGAAACGGATGTGGGTGGTAGACCGGAGTTCGAGGGCTGAACCAACCTCGACAGTCGTTCAGATGGTGTGCTCACCAGGGATGGCTACAGTTCTTTCCGCAGATCTCTCTGGGTTGAAGTATACATCATCTTAGCCAGTATTTATTTGGCAAGATTTAATAGTATGTATACTGCAAACTGCGACAAGATTCTCGCCATCCCTGGTATGCTCCTCGTTCTGCTATCTGAACCGAACTGATCTGGCAGTAGGAATAAGTGCTAAATGTACTCGCCATACACTGGGGGCCACTTTCTTAGCCATTCAGTCGCTGCATCGCTAAGCTCACTTCAGTGGGCTGTGAGAGATCGTAGCCTATCACGACCACCTTCAGCCTTGTGGCGTATTCAGTTTTGGTCAGCACAGCCCCGCTTCGTGCATTGCAATCCTCAAAAACATCCGCCTTCTCTTCCTTATACCATCAGCTCTTCCTTCACCTGCCGTGCTGCCACACGCTGCATCCATCTTGACAAAGATGGACGTTACGGTACACCACACAGCGGCACAAAACGAGAGCGCTTACTTCAAGCATGATCCTCTCGATCACACCAAGCCGTCGATCCGACTCGTACATTTACTTCCCTCGCTCTCGCCTAATGGCCGGATACAATGTTCCGTCATGCAGTCCACTGTCGATGCCGACTACATTTGCCTTTCCTACCGGTGGGGAAATCCTGCCCCCTCGAAAAAGATCTCGATCGACGGCAAGGACTTCGCTATCCGTCAAAACCTCTTTGACTTCCTGACCGCCGCTCGTGAGAATCACGCATCTAGTACACCTGCCACTCTTGGGCCGTATTGGATCGATGCACTATGTATTGATCAGTCGAATGTCCTCGAGCGCAATCACCAGGTTCGCCAGATGGGAACGATCTACACTAATGCCCTACGAGTCTACGTGTGGCTCGGAATGATGATTTGGGATCGCCGCACTCTTGTGCCGGTATTAAAAAAGGCCAAAGCTACCGAAAACGAATGGAGAACCTTCACCGACAACAAAGACGTACTTATACAGCGTGTTCTTGACAATGATTACTGGACTCGTGCTTGGATTGTGCAGGAGGTAGCGCTTGCCCGTCAAGTCACTCTATGGCTAGGCGCAGCCTCCATTGGTTTGAGCAGCATGGTGCAGGGACTAGACTATATCTGCTATGCAGATAAAGAGATACAATCGCGTCTCATATTTCGACTTGGCCGAAGCTGGCAAAAGGAGTTCTACAAGAACAAGAGCTTGGTTCATCTGCTTGACTATTTCCGGGATCAACAGTGCTCTGACGTTCGCGACCGTATCTTCTCGCTCCTTTCACTGGTCACTGGTGATGGCAGAGATCTGAAAGTCAATTACCACGTCTCTCGAGCTGAGTTAGCAGCGGAGGTCTTGCGTCAGTGTCAGGGCTCACTATGCTTCTGCACTGCATTACTGGTAGTACAGACGCTTGAGCTTGGAACCACGGATCTCTTATGTGTAAAGCCAGATCGTCGCCTATTACCCTGCCTCGAATTCTGTATCGAATACATTTCCGCATCGTCCGCCTTCCTGCCGGGAGCGGAGTCACAAAGCAGGAAGTGGCCTGCGGGTTTCAGCTTTTCTGACACCTGCGAGTCTGTGACATTGTTTCCTGCTAGACTCAACCGGTACCTCAAGTATTGGATTCACACTGGACCTGTGGAGCAACCGCTGTCGCAGAAAGATGGTGTCGTATTCAGGCCAGCCGAAGGTTGGGAAAACATCTACATTGTACGCATCTCACTACCATTTCTCGCAACGATGATAACCCACTCCGTGGACATATGTGTGCACGCAAAATCTGAATCTGCGAGAAGTGGTCTTCCCGCAGGGTATCCACGAATTTGCTACGCTTCGGATCACATGGAACAGCCAGGGACGGCGGAACCTTCATCACAATGGACTCGCGATGACGCGGTTCAAAGCGTACCCAAACGGAAAAGACGCCCAGAGAAGAATGACGGATGGTTCCGAGAAGACGCAGTACAGTGGTCACCTAAAAGGAAAAACAGACGCGTCGAATAAGAGGGGCTGTGACCGCGAGGAAGGATCCAGGAAAGGTGTAAGGGTGTATGATGCGACCACAGTGCAGTGAAATCGATTCAGAACCTGGATGAGTATCTGTGATTGTTGACGAAGATTGGAAGACAGAAACCCGACTGGAAGGGCAATGCCTACAGTTAACGTCGTCGCATCGTATCGTATGCCCTGGTCACGTGGTTGTCGTCTGCTGTGCCGCACTATTACATGACCTGAGAGCGCGCTATATCACGAACAGTTTAATTAGCCAGACGTGTCACAACCGAACCGACCCAATGTCTTGGGCATATACATAGATTTCTCTCCTGACGATGCAACCACGACGCCGTCTACCGCGACCCATCTCTTAAGCATTACGCCTGCTGTTACCTATACCTACCCCAGCCGCAAATATGATGCTCTACGATGCGCTAGCCCAGGAAGAGGCAGAGCAGATTTGTGAGGCTTGGAAGAAATGACTTGACGCCGCACAGAAAGAGATCGTTAATTTCGTCATCAAGCAAACCGGGAGTGATGTGGCGGGAGAATTTGGCGGCTATATGGAAGGGTCCTACAACATCTGCCTGATCGTTGAGCTCAACGCAAAGCCTACATACCTGATACACTTTTCACAGCCAGGGACAACAGCTACGTGTTTCTTGGATGAGAAAGTTCGGAACGAAGTCCAAGTCATGGATTTGGTGCGCGAGACCACGATCCCTCTACCACAAGTATACGGTTGGGGTCTGAATAGCGATAGCCCTTCAGAGCTCGGCCCATGCATCATAATGGAGTATATCGAAGGCAAACCGTTAATTGACGAATTAAGACGACCTATAAAGACCGAGGATGGTGTCGAGATGGACCTCTGGAGAGACTTGGGCAACCCAAGAGTTCTCCATGCCTGCAGCCAAATATGCGACTATCTGCTGCAAATATCAGCTGGTTTTCAGTGCTGCAGATGCTATAAGAAGGAGCGGTCCAAACGAGTGGGTAGCTAGCCAGTGACCTGTCACTGATAGTATGAATATTTTGGCAAGGAACACACCAAATTACCCTACCAAAAACTTCCCTACTACCAACGTCTCGTCTCCGAAGGCCTACTTTGAGCAGCTCGCCGATCAACACCTAGCTCATCTTCACGCCCAACCTAATGCGGTAGAGAACCGCGAAGATGCTAAAAAATGTTTCATCGCCCGTCACCGCCTCAAACGATCCATCGACCGATACCTGTCTACTGACACCGAAATAAGTCCTTCCAAGCTATATTGCTGGGACCTTCGCCCATCTAATATGCTCGTAGACAACGATCTGAACATCGCAGCCGTACTGGACTTCGAATTCTGTAACGCGCTGCCCGCGCAATTCGCCCATGACCCGCCCTTGGTGGCTTACTATATTGCGACCAATCATGTGGATCGATAATGACTTCCATTTTGGAGCGCTAAAAGACAGACTTGGGCCTCACATTGAACAGTTTCTGCAGGTGATGGAGAAGAGAGAAAAGGAGATAGGCGGAACTGTAGTCTCACTGCCTGCTTGCATGCGCGATTCATGGACCTCTAACAGATTCTGGTCCAACATCGCGATGAACAATAGCTGGAGCATTGATGCTGTCTAGTGGGCTGCGCTATATAAGCCGGGTGATGAGGTGCTCGAAGATGCTCCGAAGGACTAGATGGAGGCATTTGTGGAGATGAAGATGGAGCATTTGGATGCATATAACACGGAATGTAAGGCACGTGGAATTTGAGATGCGGAGAGTATGCCGGGGTGCTTCACGATACCGAGTTTGATGTAGCCGATACAACTCGGTTCTTCGTTAGTCTCGTCGTCTAGAATTCGATTCCCCGCATCCCAGCTTCCATCAAACGTGCTGTTTAAATTTAAGGTGCGGGCCGGGAAGCGTTTTGAAGTCCCCCATGACCATCCTGTTACACTAGTCATCGTAACTACCTAGGTTGGTTAGCATGTTTCCTGTCATCCCGACAGCGAGCCAATAGCGGAGTCGAAGAATTCGAGGGCTACGATGGATACGGCAAGCCACCGAAGCCCTTTACATTGTTCAGTAATAATTGGTGTAAGAGACGGACGCACTATGGTGATTGGTGCCCGGAGCGGGTTGATGCATTTGACTGAGTAAAGTTCCACGAATCTGGGGTACGGTACTTGAATGTACATGGGTATGAGCCGGACGTGCTAATTCCATGCGGCTCGCGAAACTTGTGGAAGCGATCAAGCGGGTATCATTGTTCTTCTTGGGGCCTGTTCATGTGGTCCGTCAAGCGCTCCGGGGTACCTACATGCCGACTTCGACCCAATGAAGTTCAATACAGCGTAACATCCATGTGCGTCCCGGAAGATTGCCTACAACCGAGAACAAGAGATCGTCGTGCCCACGGAGGCGATCGAAGATCTGTTGATCATGGAAAACTGATGGACAGACATGTATATAGCCAGGAAAGACGAACGTCCAAATGCCCTTCACTAGGTCAGTCAATCGCTCAAGAGTCGATCTCTGCTACTTCTTTTCTCCCCAAGACCTTTCCAGACAACAAATCTATCGACCATGTTCTCCCAGATCGCATCTCTTCTCGCTCTTGTGGCCAGTGCAAATGCACATGGCTATCTCTCTTCTCCTATGAGCAGGACTGGTCTGAATGCTCAGGCAAGTTATGGCGTCGAGTGGGGGACATTATAGGTATAACCCGTGTCGTCGCTAACACATTACAGTCTGGCGCTGATACGTGCCCGGAATGTACCATCCTCGAACCTGTTACAGCGTGGCCTGACCTTGATGCCGCAGCGGTGGGTCGCTCAGGTCCTTGCGGATACAACGCCCGCGTGTCCGTCGATTACAACCAGCCCGGTCCTCGCTGGGGTTCGCAACCTGTCATCACCTACAAATCCGGCGATGTGGTCGATGTGCAATGGTGCCTCGATGCCAATGGTGACCACGGTGGCATGTTCAGCTACCGCATCTGCCAGAATCAGGCTCTCGTCGACAAACTTCTGACGCCCGGGTACCTTCCTACGGAGGCGGAGAAGCAGGCTGCTGAAGACTGCTTCGAGGCTGGTGAGCTGAAGTGCACTGATGTTGCTGGGCAGACTTGCGGTTACAACTCTGACTGCCAAGAGGGTCAGCCTTGCTGGAGGAATGACTGGTTCACATGTGAGTACATCGCAATATTCGGGATAGTAACGCAATACTGACACTAATCAGGTGGTGGCTTCAACGACGGCTCAAAATGCAGGAGCGTCGACAACGCACCCCTCAATTCGTGCTACACCAGCATCGCAGGCGGATACACAGTCAGCTCCAAGATCAAGATCCCCAACTACTCAAGCAACCACACGTTGCTGTCGTTCAAGTGGAACTCGTTCCAAACTCCGCAAGTTTACCTGACTTGCGCAGACATCAAGATTACCGGCGGTGGCTCAGGCGGTTCCACCCCACCAACTTCGAGCAAAGCTCCCGCATCCTCAACGAAAGCGACTTCAACCTCGACGGCGGCACCTACTGGTTGCGCATCACCTGTCTCCACGGTAGCTGTGACGTTCAACTCAAAGACCACGACATCCTTCGGCCAGACAGTCAAAATTGTTGGGTCAATTGCTCAGCTCGGCAACTGGAACACAGCGTCTGCACCAGCGCTGTCTGCGAGCCAATACACCACCGCGAACCCGCTTTGGTCGACAAAGATCAACCTTCCGGCTGATATCAGCTTCGAATACAAGTTCATCAAGGTCGAAAGCAGTGGTACCGTGACCTACGAGTCAGGTGCTAACCGTGTGTATACCGTGCCGAAGGGGTGCTCGAGCGCAGCAACTGTTGCTAGCACGTGGAAGTAGGGCTGCAGATACTGGTGAGAAGAAGAACGTTATACGCTCCTCTGATCATGTTAGAGCAATGTAGAATGTCTCGATCGCTGAATATAACAATAATGCCAAACACTTGCTGGAACCGGTCACGCCTACCGACAGCGCTCGTGATGGCTGCTGGTGTAGCACTCCCAATAAGGTTCAAACTTCATTGGCAGAAGGCTACATTCCAGGCGCGTGATCTTTCACGTTCGGAGTGAGGATGGAAGCTGTTCGCAATGGTGGCTGGCGACCGCCACGTCGTGACCCGTTGACGCGACATCCTGACATGATGCACTAGACCGAAATATGACTAGCGCTTGTTGATACTGGCCATCAACATGAAATCGCTCCCTGTTCCGCAGTCGAGTCTTGCAGTACCATCGACCCATGCAGTTTATGTGCAGCTACTTTTCGAACAGCACACTCTGATGTCACACAGACGCGCGTGCAGAAGATTCGATCTTGATGAAGACCGAATTTTACAAAATCGCGGAGGAGGCTGGGAATGCTGAACTCGCGGCTTGGGCTGCGAAGATAAAGGCCGCGAACGAAGAGATGGTCACTTTTGTAGGCCAAAAGCTGAAGATAAATGTTCCAGGAGAGTTTGTCAAATACCATCAAGGTTCATACAATGTCAATCTTGTCGTAAGATTCGGCAAAGAAGACATTGTCATCATTCGTTTCCCAAAATGAGTAATTATTGCTGCCGAGTTTCTCGACGAAAAGTTCGGAAATGAAGCTAGGTTGCTAGAGTATCTGCGTGAACAGACTACGATGCCTGTTCCCAAGATACGTGACTAGGGCATGACTAAAGACAGTCCGTCCCGGCTCGGTCCATATATTATCATGGACTATGTTGAGGGCACAGAGCTGTGGACACTTTTGCGATAGCTTCAAGACGAACATAAAGAAGCAGAAGTTGATCTTGTATACGAGCAGATAGCCGACTACATGCTTCAGATTTCCCGACTGCACTTTTCGGCAATTGGATCTATCAACAACGATACGTCGGGTGCGTGGACGGTGATTGATCGTCCTCTCACCACAAACATGAACAACCTAGCTTCTGTCGTCACGAACTACCCGGTAGATCAGTTCCCTAGCGCCGCGTTCAACAGCACCCAAGCCTTCCTTCATTACCGTGCAGACGAGCATTTGGCTCATCTCCAAGTTCAGCGGAACTTTGCACATAGCCGCCAAGATGCAGGAAAATGCTTTATCGCACGCCACAAGTTTAGACAACTGATTGAGCAATATTACCCTCCGTCCAAAGCCGATGATGGCCCATTCATACCATACTACCACGACTTCCGTCCCAAGAACATGCTCGCTCGGTACGAGGAAGGGTCACTGAAGATAGCAGCAGTTCTGGATTTCGAGTTCACCAACACCATGCCCGCTCAATTCGCTTACGACCCACCATGGTGGCTCGCCATGGTCAGTCCTGGCCTTATGCTTGAGCAATTGGCTATCAAGGACTTCGAAGCCATGTATGTACCATGCTTGGAACGATTCCTCCAAGCCATGACGAAGGTTGAGGCGAAGCAGAAAGCGTAACACCAGAAAGACGAGGTCTCTCTTGCTACTCGCATGCGAGACTTCTGGACGTCAAAAACATTTTGGCTCAATTACGGAATTGGGAAAGGCTGGGATGTTGACGTGGTATATTGGAGCGCACTTCATGAACCGGGAGATGAGAAGCTTAGCGAGGACCTGGAAAGGCAGATGAGTTCGGTTGTTGAACTGAACATGGAGCAATTGGCGGCCTACGAAGCTGAGTGTGAGGTGCACGAGGTTTGTCAAGCGATTAACCCAGAACGATAGACCGTCAGCTATGTTTCTCTTACAAACAAAGTATATGAGCACTGCCAGACTCCTCCCTCCGAGTCCCTGAGATTCGGTCTTGCACTGTGTCACGAACATGAGTGCTACGAGGCATTTATTTTCGTATCGAGAAATGCGACGAGAGCGATAAGAAGCGCTCCTGTTAACGTCAGCTGCCTTGTACATGAGTGATGCTTACGATGACTTTAACGCACCTGCTGTTACCACGTAGCTTCCAATAGTGAACCCAGTTTGCACACTGGCTTGAACATCTGCCTTGAAATGCACAGCAGCCACGATAGACCAGACGATCGAGATTATCAGACTCAATGCAGTCGGGAAGATAATGGCTATACTAGTGACACGGGGATCCCAGTCTCGCACAATATTAAGTGCCATTGCTTCTCTACCATGGAAGAGTGCGTTGATCTGATGGTCACATATCGTCAAAACACCCTCTGTCAAGAGTCTTTCTCGAATGGCCGTTCCGCGCATGCTGGATGCGTCTTTGAAGTAGTGAATCTGACGATTGTACGATCCATGTCGACCTAGGTCTAACGGGAGTCCGACTCTATTACCCGCTGTGAGGCCAGGTAGAAGCTGATTGTTAATCGCTATGTTAGCGAAGGAGAAGAATATTAAGATGTGGGTAGCTTCATACCTCGACTATCTCAATCTTTTGACTTGACTTTACGCCGAATAACTCAAACAGGCCAAAATTCATCCGGCTTAAATTGTAAAATGAACGCAGGTGCTCTAGAAAAGCTTTGTCATCTACATCTGCAGTGGCTTGCGAGCAAGGCACTATAAGGCAATGGCCGTTATCTATGAAGACGAATACCTCCGAATCGTAGTCTGGCTGAGCGCTCCACGCTGCAGTGTAGTCGTCGATGAAGTCGGTCCCATCTTTTGCGCATAGAAAATACATGACCCAAAAGAATTCCCAGCAAGGCTTCCGTTGGAGGGAGGTGGCTTTCACGAAAGATGTCTAGTTTATATTAGTTAAGATTCAATTCAAGGACTGAAGCTTCATTTCACAAACCAGGACATTCTTGCGTGTGGTTGCGGAGCTGAGAAAGTCTCCTTCGCCAACTTCATATTTCGCCAAAAGTCGCGAGGAGAGTCTGATCAGTATCCAAAACCAATTGAGATAAATGGCCATCATCACCCATCTCATGCAGATCTGAACCAAGATCCGAACGTAAACCTTCGAGCGCCATTTGTTCTTGGAGAATATGTTGACAACGCCTATATCCCCTCCATCAATACGATGTGTGATCAGAGCTTCAGAAACGAAAGTCATCGTATAGGCTGGCTTGTGTCAAGTGTGACAGAAGTCGAACGCGGGGCGGGGCGGGGCGACAGAGGGAATACCACCTTTATAGGAGCTTACATGAGCTGCATAATGTCGCAGGGATATATATCGCAGTGAAAAATTCAGCTGAAGCCGAGAATGATATGCAACTGGCTGTTGGGTTGCCAAATGCGCCTTACAAGGTTCTCGTGCATCAAGACGCGAGGCTTCCTGAACTTGGGTGCGTTCCTCCCATTCACAGCACCTGATTCGAAGTCAGCCAGGACGCCATAGCCTTGCCCTGCGGGGAAGTCGCACAGTAAAATACTGCGAACAGGTTGACCGCGCTGATCCTTGGCTGAGATGCTGTGGTCGAAGCCATGATAATCTAGCTTACCTAGGTAGCCATTTGGCCCCGCTTGTGCCCCAGTTCTTTTCGCTTCCTATGGCTTCCCTGAACAGCATCAAGATGCTGAGCTTACGATAGTGGCGCATTCACAAGGCTAGCCTGGAAGCCACACGAAAGAGCTAACGTTATGACTTTCTTGAAGATAGTAGTAATTGGGAGCTCAATTTGCTTATCTACAGATAGAACAGTGCTGTGTTTGATAAGTCAGCAGTGACGTCGCAAGTGCCTACGATAGAAGGACCATGTATCGTGATTAATTCAGCCTTCTTAACAGAACAGCATGCGACCTATCTTCGGAGCCGTGATTGTATTCTGCAAATGCCCAGCAAAACGCCACCGAACGCCTCGCCATGCCGATAACCCAAGAGAAATAAGACTCAAGACTGAGCTGAAAATCGTTGCGCGGGTGATGTTTTTGTGTAATGGATTTGCATGTGTCAGACTCACAGCCTTCGCCCTCTGTTCTCTTCACTAGGACTCACAGTCGCACTCCCGTTCATCGACCCATACCCATTCCCTCCCTGACTTTCACTAGCATCCGGCATAAGCGTCTCTCTTGCTTCCTCAGCCTCTTCCTCAATGTTCTCCCTTTGAATCCTGTGGCTCTTCCGCCATACAAAAGCCACAAGGGCTAGACCAACCAACAATGCTAAGCTAAGCAAGATGACATTGATGGGTACAGGGTCATTCTTAAAGGTCTTGTGCGTAGCAGCGTCGAGAGCAGATTGCGAGAAGTTGAGAACACCGGCAAGGCAGATGATGAGGCCGTAGACTTTTCCGAAGGTGGCGAAGCCGAAGACTTTGGCGGAGTAGTCGCTGATAGAATTATTAGCAAGTAGCTTGAGAGTGATGACCGAACAACTTACGATACTGCGGTGTAGTACAAAGGTCGATAAAGCACAAAGAGGACAATGTTCGCATAAGCGGCCCATGTCTCCGGGATCACACCCAGGACACCAATAGTGGTGGCGACAGTGACGAGCAGCGCCATCGTAAAAGTAGTGCTTGTGTTGTCGAGAAGCAGACCGATGAACGGTACAGATAGAACTCCACCAACTGGAAGTGCCACATCGAAGAAGTTGTTGATCTCGACCGCCTTCTCGTAGTCATGAAAAAGGTACGTGTATTGCGTGCGAATCGTGGCAACGAAGTAGTTGATACGCGTCATCTGCAGCACTGTGAACAGCGTAATGAGAATGAACCAGGGTGTACGGATCTGCTGGCTGGCGGTGCGACCGTGAAGCGCACCCCATACACCTGAAATGTTCTTCTTCTTGTCTTCCTCTTGTGCCTGCTTCTGACCGTCTTTCGTGCCAAGCAAAGACGTAATCTCGCTAACAATACTGTCGCGATGTGCTCGTCGCGCATCTTGAAGGCTTCGCACAGTCGCTGCATCTTCAATCTCATCGTCCGAGTCATGGATGACCTGCTCCTCCTCCGCGCTAGTGACGAGTTCACCCACTGTCTTGTAGGACACAGATGGCATGAACAGAATCTGAACTGCGAGGATGAAAGCCGGGACGATAAGGTAGATAAGGAAGAACTTCTTGATCGAAAAGTTGCCATCGGTGCCTTGGTAGAGGAGTCGGTACATCAAAAAGATTGCGCTCGAGGTATCAAAGGCTCCAGTCAAAAGCGCCAAAATAAGTCCAGAGTATTGCGGGAATGTGTTGCTAAGCTGGAACGACGAGATGAAGATAAATGGTCCACCCAAGGCCATGAACAAATATCCAGGAATAAACGCGTCGATAGGCAATTCCTTCGCGAATGCGAAAAGCAATGCGCCAATCGTTATGGATATCGCACCAGTTATTCCGCATACGCGTGGTCCGAAGCGATCGAGGATGGTACCGACGGGAAGCGCGACGACGTTTGTGGATACGGCAGCGATCGTGAACATAAGATTGAGTCGTAGCTCCTGTTCGTAGCAGACATGGACATCTTGATCCAGCTCTTCTTTTGTGCAGTAGTCTCTGTAGACACCTTCCTCGAGTAGTACGGGTTTTATCGCGGCGTAACCGAAAACGACACCGGCGGCGAAGAGGCAGTAGATAACGGCGAAGAAGACCTGAACTACGCGACGTTAGCTTGTGTACGCCCATGCTGTGTTCCATGATACGTACGCAGTCTTTTCCACCTAGGTACCTCGAATGCGCCTATCGTTGGCTCTTCACCAGTCTGCTCCGTCCAGGTGCCGACTGGGTTGAAGCTCATCTTCCGGTGCCTAGAGTCCGGGCTCGCCTCTCTACTCCACGGCTCATGCTCCTCCATCGATGTCACTCGTTGCGTGAGCGACATGTTGGGTTAATACTTTCCCCCTCTTTCGAAAATATGAATTTGTCGTCTCGAGAAAATAGCAGAGTCGGAATCCTGAAGATCTCCGGCTTGCGTTCAAAGATTATCCGGGGATGACGTCGCACCGACGAAGCTCAGGTCCCTCACAGAAGCAATTGGCCAACCAAACGACCTCGACAAGAACCACGACCAAAGTCCGCAGTTAGATATCCCGTAGTACGGAAAAAGATGGGAATCAGGGTTCTATATACACAAGCACGGCATCGAATGGCGTAAAGCGGGGACTAACTGGCCTGCAGCCGGGTGCATGAAGGCGCTGACAATCCGACGCGCTGGTTCGCGCGTGATCACCAAATGCTCGGCTTATAGGATTTCCATTACGCAGTAAACCACGTCTTGTGAGCCATTTCCAAGGAGGCTATGCGCGCATTGGGACGATCTGCATTGGATCTTACGCTCATCTTTCGCATTCGCGCACATCGTGAAGTCGCGATGGCTTGAAGCTCGTTGGCGAAGCTTGCTGGTTGCGACAGCCAATGAACGCGCGAGTCAGCCGCGGACAGGGAGCTTTGGTAACCGTGCAGATGGGATGGCATCAAATTTTCCTTTTTACCACCTCCGCCTGTTCGCTGAACGCCGATACACGATGGACGCCTCCTGCAGGCGTTTCCCGATGCAGCAATTTCGAGATTTGCGAGAACGAATGCGATTGCAGAGATTTTTATCGGATTGCAAGGGGTAGAAGTATGCATCTCCGTCGGAGAAGTCTAGATCTCCATGGTATATACTTGGCTCTCGTTCCCATGTCCCTTGGAGCTTCTAGGATCATGCCGTCTAAGTGCTATACTCGTGCTGACATTTTGAGTCGTGAGACTGGCATGCCTAGGTTCACAAATTCCCGGTGCAGCCGACTATTCAAGCTACCTAGGTAGCCGATCATCAGTGCGAATATTGCTATTATGTCTATACTATCAGTTCAAGTGATAGTCATGCACACTCGCTGTAACAGGTGGTTGTGACGGATCAATGGGCTCTGCAATCGGGCTCAAAAGCAATACGAACGAGCCTCCCACGTACCTAGGTAAATGCCGCCGGTTACTCGTCGGTGATCACATCTACCCATCAAAAGATGACTCTTCTCAAGCCATATCTTGCAATCAGGCACATTTTACCACTCTAGACGGTCTTAAACTGTACCAGGTACGAATCTGATGCAATATATCCATTTCCTGCTCTCCTTATCGTACACCTTGTCTTGATTAAGATACTCGACCGACCAATCCCGTACTTGAACGTCTCCAACCTCTCAAATATAACCAAGAAAAGATCACGCCCCGCTGATGAAACTCCTGACCTCAGTCTTACCATGCCTGTACTTCGTATCCTCAAAATGAATAAACCCACAAAATCTCTCCATTTCCGTGCTCCCTTGCCGTATCACCTTCACAGTGATTACTTCTTGCCGTGGGGATTCATCAAACGCTTCATGTTATTTGGCAAAGGCGGCGGTGGAAAGCTCCGCATGTTTATCCTCTCTCTCTTAGTCTCATCGTCTTCGTTCTGACGATGCTTTTCGCAGAACTGATTTTCGCTTCGATACGGTTCCCCAGTTGTCATCCTCCCGCACCAGCCTGGTTCTCTATTGGCGGACCTGAACTTTTCTGGGTTGTGGTTCTTGACGCTGGTGCAGTTTGTGTTCATTGCCCAGGCGACGATTTCCGTGCACATTGGGAATGCGCAATAGAGTGGGTGTTCAGAGCACATTTTGGCTTTCGTAATATTGGGAGAAATGAGCGGTCGGTTGAAGATGCGTATTGTGGGTTGTGATCGCTAAGATATTCGTAGTATGCGCCGGGCGTCGTGTATGTCTTCGCTGGTCTCAAGTTGTGCAGTTGGTGTGCAGGATGATGATGGAATTCGATATGCCTTCTTGTCATTGATGGTAGTGAGTTGTTCTGTTTTATCAGCTATGCGGAAGCCCCAGGTCTTGTATATATAGCCGCACATCTTGATCTTGTGAAGTCTTGTCGAGTGTTCGTCTATAGAATGTTGGAGGTGGGAATTCACCAAGGCCTGTTGACAAGTCTTCGATCGCATGAGGTTCACAGTGTCAAACTACCGGTTGCTATGATGCGAATAGGGTCAAGAAGTATAAAGTGGAAGATGATTCTAACCACGCTCGTAAGAAGAAACGATGGTATTGACGTATGCAGTCACCTGTTTCCATGGATTACTGAGCTTAAAGTCACTGCGCAGACAGAGACAGTAGAGGACAAACCATACTCAGATAGGAAATGGATGCGTCGTGAGAGGGTTACTCGACCAAACAGAACGTAATTCACTTGACATTGACGCTAACGGAACCAACGAACAGGCAGCTGCGCAAGCGAATGCGATATTAGTAGCTGAGCCGGGCTGACCACTAAAGCGAGCGCAATCATGTGGTGCAAAAGTCAATATAATTGATTCTGGTATAGGCAACTAAGCCCAAAACTATCCATTAGGATTATAGACATTCAATGTCTGAAGAAGAAGACAGAAACAAGATAGAAAACTCCAAACTCCCTCGCAATGCAGACTATTTTTATAGTTTTGACAAAAAGATAAGGAAAGACATGAGTATAGGTGGGTGGAGGAGGTGGAAGACTGGCAGAGATCGCTCTTGACAGGACATTCCTTTTTGCTGAGTCGTCGCGTCGGCTCGTCATGATCGATAGTGGGGGTCCTCGCGTCTAGGCGTCCTCGACGGTCTTGGCGGGCTTCTTCATGTTGTTCTTGTACCAGAGAGTGGGGAGAAGAGCGCACGAGACGGTGAAGAGTACGCTGAGTCATGTTAGCAGTGTCTCAAGCATGTTCTGTGGCGTGAAGACTTACCAGAGAGCGATGGCCATTCCCCAGACAGTCTTGGCCTGGAAGCAGTTGCTGCGTGTGACACCGGCCCAGTGGCCCAAGCTGGAAGTGGACTTGTTGAGGTTCTCAACTGTCGCAGTGACAAAGGCGTTGGCGTACTGGGCATCGATCTCTGCGGATGACTTGCCGATGACGTAGCAGTTAAGGAACGACATGGGCTTTCCGAGAGTGACTGCGCAGACGATGAAGGCGATGAGAAGGAGAGAGTCGACACCGGTCATGACGAGGAGGCCGAGGTTGGCTTGCGACCAGTAGTAGCCTACGCTGACCATGATGTAGAGAGCAGCGATGCATGTCTAGCGATGTTAGAAGTATTCAGTCATGGTAGAGGAAAATACGTACCACGCTCAGAGTGCCGACGAACTCTTTGGGCGGCTCAACACCGGTTGTGACAATCATCTGGATGAAGTTGGAGCAGATGCCAATGACCAAGATCATGCAGATAGCCTGGAGTACACGGGCGCCAAGGAACATCTTGCTCAAAGGCATGGCGTTGTAGCTGGGGACAGGCATATTGGCGGATTGAAGTTGGTTGCTTCAACGTGGATGTGGCTGAGGATGCGATGTCGAAGTAGACAGACGAGGCGATTAAAGCAGCAAGGAATGGATAGCGGTCTGCACAGCAGAAGAGAGAGTGATTTCGTAGAAAGTGAAGAATGAATGAGACCCAGATAGGAAACAAGGAAATAAGGAAATAGAGAAAAAGGGACGAAAAGGAAGTGAGTTGTGAGGAGCTGGTTGATGATGTGTGTGATGAGTTACTACGACGTTGCGTCCAGCACATCTTATACAACGAAGAGTTGGTTGCGATCTCAACAACAGATCGGAAAAGGCATAGTCAAGATTGCTGCTATTCTTACTCATGGTGTGTCTGGACCACAGTGGTTTCATAGTATCTCGAGTAGTCGCTGGATGAGCCAATGAGAGCAAGAAGCGGCGGCATCTCAGGAAATGGCCCGAGCTGCCGCACTGATGCACGTAGGCGCTTACAGCATGACGAGCCTAAACGTCAAGTCTGGGGAAGCCATTCAGGTGTGTAGAATCTGGGCGGTACCTGAAGCATGTGGAGCCATAGTTTGATGTCTAGATCGACTGGGTGAGAGGTGTTGTTGCGGCTGTTGTTCAAGCTTCCGCGGTCCCACATCGACCTCCCGCCCAACCTCGCGCGCGGGAGCTATGCTGGGAAAGTGTTGAGGCTCAATCAGAGGCGAGGATGGTGGAAACAATGTTTGAAGGAATGGTTCTGTGCTTTGGTGATGGCGTTGCTGAAGAAACGCGTGTGCTGATGAGAGGACAACGCGACGACATGCGTCAATGCTCTGCTGGCGGCCTGGCGGTATCTCGTAAGCATTGGTTAGCTGATATTTACGCGCGATTCAGATAGTTGCCCGCGTCAAGAGCGTTAAGGGATGGGAAACGCTACAAGTGCGGCTTCAATGCTGAGGAGTTGTGCCGGACGGCTGTTCGCCGTCGTAGCACAGCGCGACCACCGTGCCAATGGTCGAACTACGTGATGCTGCGTATGTGCAAGTCAATGAAGACCATCTCATAATCAAAATGCCGCGAGAAGACGCGTACAAGCACCGGGAGTGGGATTGTTCTTCAGGCGTAGAAAAGGGAGGATGATAGGAGCTCCCCGCATCCAGCTCGGGTCAGCTCGAATGCGGCAGGTCCAGGCGACACAGCTCCAAGATAGCCAGACGCATACTCGCGGCTCTTACGCGACATGTGACTGATAACCGTTCCCGAGGGCCTTGAGGCTTCTTCTGGAGTTTTATGCTATGGTCACTCCATCCTCTTCCCAATTGCTATCTCAAGATGGGTCTCTCAGAGTACAGACAACACAAGGCCGACTGGTGAGCTGCTCCAAGCTTTCAACCCCACCCAACTCGGCCAATGCCACGAGCTAACTCTCCACCACCAGCAAGCGCAAGCAGTCGGAACGCGCCTCCAAGATCGCGACACTCCCCACGCCGTACCTGTACCCTCTGTCCTCGCAAGAACGCTCGATCCTCGGCAAACCCATCCAGGAGCTCGTCCAAGATGTCCACAAGCAAATCACCAGCCCCGTCGATATCCTGCGCACGTACGGCAAAGTCGCGATAAAAGCGCAAGAGAAGACGAACTGTGTGACGGAGATACTGTTTCCCGAAGCCGAAGAATGGGCGGAGAAGGAAGTTAATCTGAAGGGGCCGCTTGCCGGTATTCCCGTGTCATTAAAGGACTCTATACAAGTCAAGGGCTTTGATATCTCAGTCGGCTATTCGAAGAACACCGGGAAGCCCGCGTCAGAAGATGGAGTCATGGTCAAGATATTGAAGGATGCGGGTGCCGTACCTTTTGTCAAGACCAACCTCCCTACCACGCTTCTGTCCTTCGAATCCACCAACGATGTCTGGGGCCAATGCAAGAACCCACACAACGACAAATACTCGCCAGGTGGCTCAACAGGTGGAGAGTCGGCGCTGTTGGCCTTCGGTGGTAGTCGCATTGGCATCGGATCAGACGTCGCTGGCTCGGTCCGCGCTCCCGCCCACTTTTCCGGCTGCTACTCGATACGATGCTCTACAGGACGATGGCCGAAAGTCGGCATGAACACAAGCATGTCGGGCCAGGAAGCTATACCCTCCGTCTTTAGCCCCATGGCACGCACACTGAACGACTTGACGTACTTCACGCGAAGCTTTATTCAAATGAAGCCCTGGAAGTACGACTATACCGTCCATCCGCTAGAATGGAGAGAAGACATCGAGACTGAGTTCAGGGAGAAGCCTAAGCTCCGCATAGGCGTCATGCGAACCGATCACGTCGCAGACCCTTCGCCAGCATGTGCGCGCGCTCTAGACCAGACAGTCGAGGCACTCAAGGCTGAAGGCCACGAAGTCTTCGATGTCGAGCCACCTTCGCCGTACGAAGCTCTAAAGCTTGCATCGCAACTCCTCCTCAGCGACGGCGGCAACACATTCATGGGCCATTTCCGCACCGGAGAGTGGAATGATCTTGGTGCAGCGCAACTGGTCTATTATATGCGCCTACCTAAGTTCATCAAGTACGCGCACTACCTGTACGTAAAATACGTCAAGGGTGATGACATTTGGGCTGGCTTACTACGCGACTGGCACCCAAAGTCTGCACATGAGTACTGGCAACTCGCCGGCAAGCGCGAGGCATACAAGCAAAACTTCTACCAATGGTGGTCTGAGGAAGCCAACATGGACGTCATGCTCACTCCACCCAATGCGACCCCTGCGGTACCTCATGGCGGTATGCATGATGCAGTCAGCAGCTGCGGTTACACTTTCATGTTCAACTTGGTAAGGCTGCTTCTTTTCCAACACTACTGTGCCCTCGCTAACTATATGAAGCTCGACTACTCTTCTGGAATCATTCCCGTAACGCATGTCGATCCTGCCAAAGACGCCTTGCCATCAGACTTCAACTTCAAGAAATTGAACGGGGTCGCACAAGGCGCGTACAAGCTGTACGATGCGGAGAAAATGGCTGGTCTGCCCGTGGCTGTACAAGTTGTCGGAAGGAGACTGGAAGAGGAGAAGGTCCTCGCCATTATGGAGAGAGTGGAAGATGCGCTAGACAAGCATGGCGGTCGATACCAGTTACTGGAAGTGGATTGAGGATGACATCTGAATAAATTCAATCATCACCTAGCCCTGCTACGCCCAGCCCTACGTGCCAACCCGTATGTTGTAGACCCCTCCTTCAAGATCAAACACCACACGTCCATCTTCTTCCCGATACTGCTCCTTGCCAAGCACTCTCCCATCAACTACAACCGTCACATCCCCACCTGTCCCATCTACCGGAAGCCTTACTACGCCCTTTGTCCCCACCGGCGTCTCAACCACCACTCCGTACCCAACTCCACCCTCCTCCTTCTCCCAGCCCGTCCTAAACTTCCCCAGGCCTGTCACGAAGCCCGCCTGCGCCCTCATCAAGTCTCCAAATCTAGGCTCAACAATCCACTTCCTCCCCGCTGGTTCCACCACCCTCAAGCCCACCACAAATTCCGTAAGCGCCGACGTAGGCCCTGAACTCCACCCATGAGCATGACTCACATAACTGGGATCATACCCATACCCCCTCTCCTGTCTATATCCGAACGTCCCATTCGTTCTGTACCCTTCTATGACGGTTGAGCCAGTACCGTTGCGGTGATTAGCATACCAGCCCCAGCTTCTGCGAATAAGTTCGAGGGCCCGGGTTGTACCTGTTTGGTTGGTGATGGTGAAGTGGGCTTGGATCTCGAAGCTGGAAATGAAGGGGGATATGTTGCCAGGGAGTTCGGGGGCTTCGGCGCCGATAGGCGTCCAGTTCTTTGTGAGCGCTGTGGAGATGCCTTGAGCAGTTTTGGAGGAGGGCGGAACAAGATCGAAGAGGATGGCCATGCTGTTTGCGTCTTGGGGGTGGAGGGTGGTCAGGGTGGCGTTGTCGCGGAAGGCGCCATAGCTGGAGTCGAAACAGTGGGTGAGAATGGCTGTTTGGAGTGCGGTGGCGCGGGACGTCCATATTTCCGCTAGATGATTCTGACTGGTGTTATTGAGCCATGTAGCGAGCTTAGCTCCAGTTTGCAGAGTGTGGTATAGAATGACGTTTGCTTCCGTATTGTTGAATCCAGTTTGCCACCGCGCCCAGTCCCTGGTGCCGGTCTGATTAAGAAGACCTGATGCCTCGACTTCGACTTTGGCATATACGTAGTCCATAGCTTTTTGATACTTGGCCCAGTTCCTCTGCACAAAGGCTGCGTCATTCGTGTATAGCATGTAATTATAGGTACCGATCATTGTCCACATATGATATGTATCGCTATTTTGCTGCAAGAGCGGTGGTCCGGCTTCAGGGAACGAACCATCTGGATTTTGATAGTCGAACATGACTTGCAGTGCGTTTCTGACGCTGTCGAGATCCCCTGTGCTAACGAAGGTCGAGGGTACAGCGATGCCCATGTCCCCTGGCCATACAGCACGGTCTCGTTTCGCCCCGTCAACAATGATGGTATCGCCTGGGCCCAGAGTGCCGTTATTGGCCCACCCATTCGCCAGCATGGGAACCCAACGTCCCGTGTTGGTGGGTACAGCGTTAGTCTGAAGAGTATACGCGCCTGCATACCAGATCCTGTTCAGCAGTTCGTCGTTGGAATCGAAATACCCTTGATAAGCCTCGAGGTTGGACCACGTAGGCTGAAAGCTTATCTCAAGCTGCACGTCCGTGACGTTGACGTAAGTACCGCTTTCCGTGAGAAGGAAAGCCGTCATATACCGAAAACCTCCTCGCATCACATCATCTGGCATCGTGTACGTCCCTGGGCCGGCAGTGCTGATGTTGGCGTATAACGCCCCATCACGACCAGCGAACTTCCCGTTCGATGCATCAGACCATTCCCCTACCCATGTCGACGCTTCGGAAAACGCGAGGCCGATAGCACCGGTCCCGTTACTGGTGTACGAGATAGAAGCGATGCCACCGACTTCAATACCGAAATCGAAAATGACATTTGTCCCGTTGCCGCGGAGGACGACGAGACGTGGGTAGCTTGCCGGATGTCGGTCTCGGATGGTAAAAACTGATCTTGGACGGACTATTCGCGATGATGGAGCGTAGATGTTAGAGTTCCAGGGTCCTGGTCTATCAGTTGTGTAAAAGGGAGTGCGGTTTTGATAGAATAGGTACCTTGAAAAGCGGCTTCACTAGGTCCGCTGCATTCCGTGTCCCGCCAACAGGTTGCAGCAAGAGCATTCAAAGGTAGTGTTGCCAACGCCACAACGGCCCCTAAAAGTGTAAACCAACGCATGATTGTATAGACCAAAGTCTTTCTCAAGCTGCAGCGAGTTGTGCGTTCCTATTACATATTCTGGGAAGATTCTCGACACCATTCCGTGTACTATAAAGCGCTCGGCATGCGTTACGCCGAGCCGCCCAGATGGTTTTCCGGTCCGGGAATAGATGAGGCATACGATCTCCTAGATCTTCGCTGGAATGCGGGGAAACAAGCTACGAGCTAGACGCAGCAAGCTTCGTTAACCTGGGCGCATTCCGTTGGTAAGAAAATTGAGACGGACAAGCAGTGCAAAGTGGCATGAGAAGGTGTAGTTGAGCACTGGTGATCTTGCGACAGTATCGCGCGATGAAGTGATGGAAGCTGGGATGAGAGTGTTTTTTCGAAACGACTTCAACTCATTCTCTGTGTAGTTAAAGTGTTTTAGGTGCACACACGCATATGATTACCCTTCGCGCTTGGTCGTAATTAAACTTCGTCGTTCCTTCCGTCGCCAGAGGATGATTGAGGATGTGTTGACGAGGAGGCTGGCATATGTACGCCTTCTGCATCCAACCTGCACAGTCAAGACAAGTGAACAGTCAGGGCATTGTATCGCAGAAGCATAGCTCGATTGCGATGCAGAAGCTGAACGGATGTCGCACATATAGGTGATGAGACAACGCGTTGGTCGCTCATGCGCGAGAGTTACGCGACTGGTCGCGCCGACCTAGAAGCTCTTGAGGGAGGCTCTTTCCCTCCGTCGCAGCCCGCTAAACCCTTTGCTATCACCATCCCAACCCAAATTCTGTCCCACTCTCACTACGTCGCTTCCTACACCAGCTCGTCTGGAGCCCAGGCTTTGACCGGATCCGCAATAATGCGGTGTCCAGCCACTGTCAGCGTGTCGGTGATTGCCCCGCTTACGTCATAACTGCTCATGTTGTTGATCTCCCACGACGCGACTCCAATGCTACCCCTCATGCGACTACTTCAGAATCATTTTTCTTCCCTTCTCGGTAAGTCAGTCCAGGGCCTACTTGCCGGACTTCCATAGACCCAAAAGTAAAGAGCCGGACACGTCAACGCGTCAACTCCCGAATGATAAACCATGGGCGCATACAACGTCATCCCTGATATCATGTACCTTTCTGCCGCTAATGCAACAATCCTTTGACAAATACCCGCATCGGGATGCAGCACACAGCTGCCGATACGCTGGCATTTTCCAAACCGCATAACGGAGGGACCGCGCTAAATGGATGGAGGGGGGGGGGGGGGGGGGGGGGGGGGTGGGTGGGGAGTCCAGCTGAGCAACGAGCGCTGGATCTATGGCGGGCTTCATATAAAGACGTATCGGCTTCTCGAATACCTTGTTGTCCATCCTCCATCACTACTTTGACATCTAAACTCGATACGGATATCTAGAGAGACCAATCAGATCATCATGACGGATTTTAAGGGACATTGCCATTGCAAGCAGACGGAGTGGACTGCCACCCTGCAGCAGGATCAGCAGGCACACATCCTGTGGTGAGTATTATCAATCCGTTCCTCCAGCAACAATCCACTGCAAGCCCGAGCTAACATATGATAAGTCACTGCAACACTTGCAAGGAACTCTCCGGCTCCACCTACACGCTCAATCAGATCATCCCCAAGAAAGCACTCAAAATCACCAAGGGCGATGATCTAGGCAAATACACATACAAGGGTGACTCTGGAAAGAGCGTTCATTGCGTATGTCATGTCATGGTTATCCATCAACATCAGTACAAGAGCATTTACTAAGACTTTGTCAGTTCTACTGCAAGAACTGCACCTCACACGTGTACCACGAGCAAGAGGCGCTCGGCCCCGACAGCATTGTCCTAAGAACAGGACTCTTGGACGAAGGCATCAAGAACTTCAAGCCTGGTGCGGAGATCTTTGGCAAGGACCGCTTGTCGTGGGAGAAAGAGGTTGCGCAGACATTTGAGGTTATGCCGCCTTCGTAGACAGACGTATTCGGTAGCATGAACGGACAAATACTTCATCATAATCATCAAGAAGGCTATCAGATTCATCGCCACAAATTGAACAAGGAGTCTTTCGCCGTGAGACATATCATTCTAGATTGGACGCGTATATAGCATTATATCTTATCCCAACTTAGTCAGAAAGCGGCGGGAAACTCCTCAAGAAGTGGCTCGGGCACTCATAACCGCCCGGGTTATGGTCCAAGTACAATTGGTGGTACTGTTCAGCATCCCACCATTTTCCTGCGGGTAGGATCTCCGTTGCGACACTTCCCTTCCACCACTGCTTGTTCACCTTGTCGGTAACGTCTCGCGCAATCTTCTCCTGCTCGGCATCGTGGTAAAAGATGGCGGATCGGTATTGGCTGCCAACATCTGGACCTTGGCGGTTGGAGGTAGTGGGATCGTGCATCTTGTAGAAGAATTCGAGGAGGGAACGGTAGGTTACTTTCTCGGGGTCGTAAACAACCTGTAGGGCTTCGGCATCTGGTTTACTAGTCAGCTAATGGCTAGATATCACGTCATGCCTCGTGGCGCAATACGAGAGAGATACGTACGACCAGTGCGTCCGCTGCATACAGCCCTGTACCCCGGGTTCTCTGTGTCACCACCGATATATCCGACCCTCGCATCGTACAAGCCCTTTCCCTTGTATTCTTTCCGGTACATGTGCTCGACACCCCAGAAGCATCCGGCAGCGACAGTGGCGGTTTGCGCACCCGAGGGTACGTTCATGGGTTGCGCGGGCGCATTCGACATACTGCTGAAGGGGCGAAAGAATTTGGTCAGAAAGGACATGGAAAGGCAAGACGTAATAACCAGAAGGAAGAGCGTGAGGAGCTTCAGATTGTTGGTAGTGATGTGTGTGATAAGAAGGAGGGGTTTACTTTGCTGGTCAGTTGTTATGTATTGTAAGTTTGCCGCTTCGATTGGGAAAAGGGAAATGGACCGCGGCGATGATGCCATCATTCGGCGTGACAAATCGAAGGGTCCACGGCCACGCTTCAGCCACATGGGTGGCGGGGTCGTTGCTTCGCGAAGGTAGGAACGCCCGACTCTTACATCTCATCGACCACACGTTCCTTACGCTGCAAACTCTCGCAACAGCAGTGCACGCGTTTCTCGACGCGTCGATGCTCTGTTGTGTCCGTTGAGATTCGCGTGCCGCCTATTCTGCCCGCCCCGCTACGTGTCTTTACCCGGATACAAGTCGCGGCCGATGTCTCTGCAGCCTCTCGGCATCAACACAGGCTCGAATCCTCCAGTACTGCTCTTTGGATGATGTTGCTTCTTCGCTACTTGGTCTCTGACTTCTACCGTTGCCTATCTGCACGACGCGTTCTTAGACATTTCAGCTATGTCTCAACGGAGCGGCCCTCTGCTTTCGGGAGAATACTGCGCAGTAAGCTGGAGTGAAACAGGATGTACAAGCGGCAGGACCGGGACGTGGATTCTATGACACCCACGTTAGTGTCATGAAGCAGGCCCCTTCGTTCCCCCTCTTGTAGTATCGGGCGCCCTCTCAGCTCAGAGTTGCACATACACCTTTACGAATGTCGTGTATCAAGCATACACAGTCAGCTTGCTGTTTTCGCGCTCAACTGACAGTCCCATAGTTCTACCCTCCAAGTCAGGTCCGGCTGACAGCCTTGGTCAAATCACCCCGACACGATGCGCGTAATCAATTCTCAATCTATTTCGCCTGAAAGCCTTGCACCGGTTGCATCCCGCGTTGCTGAATCGGCAGTAGTTGAGTCTAGGCTCATACGATGCATCCTCGTCGTGGCGTGGTTCCGAGTCACCACGTGCGTCGAACAGCTGTCTGATGCATGCAGTTGACTAACTCTTCTAAGAGTATTTTTAGACGCATCTCTAGACCTCACATCTGCAAGGGCAGCAAATCGCGTTCGCTAAAATTGATCATGTCAGGGCCTCGAGCACCGATGGAACGACAAGCTTTAATATAAGGTTAATCTACGCGCCAAGAACTCCTCACTTCTCCAGATCTTTTGAATTGGACGTCCACGATACCCTCGCAAGACTATGCCGCTCGTTCCAGGCAGGGAAACTATTTTCAGTCTTCGCTTCCGCACATGTTCCGTTGCTGCATTACATACAGGATCTATAGATGAAAGACAATATCCGGATGAGCTTGTTTGCTTCTCGGTCAGCTTCGTGGACTGCCTGTACCCAGCATCCAGGCCTGGCGTTTCTATTCTGAGTTCTGCACCCCAGGCAAATACGCTCGACTCATCTCGCTTTCATATCTACATCTACTGGGCTGGCCAAAATCCATGCAAGGAAACGGCTCAAGCCCACAGCGACTCGCTTGTGCGAAAAGACTTTGGTACTCTAGCTGTCATCTGATATGAAACAGCCATGGTATACCTCGTTGACCGCGAGTCTGGGTTTCGTATTCGCTATCAAGAGAATCTATATGCCCACGCGACGGATGTGCGTTTACTTTCAGCAGCTGTACCGTCGGCACTCGGTTTCCGGGTAGGTTGCATACGGCACCACCAAGTTGTGCAAGAATTCCTGATACTCGCGTGTCAGCAAACTATACCAAAAGACATTGGCAGTGGTGATGCCAAGAGCTTCACGCATACTGCACCACCTGGTGGCGCAGACGTACGATTTTCAAAGAGCCGCCACGATTCAGGGTTCAATATCCTCGCGCCCGGAAAGCTCAAATGAAGATGCTCCACTGTTGTGATTCGGGTTAGCATTGCAGCTGGAAGCGAAATGCACGGCGGAACGAGACTATCACATACCCCAGATACCGACACTTAGCCTGGAGGCTGGCTCAGGATGTATCGACGCGGAACAATACTTCAGCTAAGCGGGAAACACGAACTCAGCTGAGCAACTTCTGTGATTCTGGACCTATGAGCATGAGCGGCCCGCCGGTCCAATCGTACTCGATAGTGCCATTGGCACTTGGCAGCTGTTATCGTGGTCGGATTGTAGATATCACCCAAGATGGTGTTGCCGCGGTAGTGGTAAAAACAATCAAAGGTAGAGGGCTGGCGCCGAGGGACTGGTATATAACCTGGTCCATATTCCCTTCCATGATCCTCATCCAGCTTCTACTCTCGGTTTCATCTACCACATCATCAGCTCTACATCTAGCCTTCTCCGAAGACCATCTTTCCAAACTATCAACATGAAGCGGCTCCTTGCTCTCCTCCCTCTCGCGGCAGCAGCCCCTGCGTTCCCCAATGTCGAGCTTGGTGACGCCCCACCACCCGGCCAGGTACGAGAAGTTCAGATGGGGATTTCCGAGACGATCAACTCACGCAACACAGGTCAAGATTCGCGGTGTCAGCTATGGAGGAACTGGTTGCCCGCAAGGCACCATGAGCTCCCAGATCAACAGTGACAGGACTGTTATGACGCTCATCTTCGACGCGTACATCGCCTCGATCGGCCCCGGTATCGCCGTTACTGAGCAGCGCAAGAACTGCCAGTTGAACGTCGACATTGAGTACCCAGGAGGCTTCCAGTACTCCATCCTGTCCGCCGACTACCGTGGCTACTCCGCCATCCAGAAGGGCGTCTCTGGCACTCTCAAGTCTACCTACTACTTCTCCGGAGACACTGCTCAGGTGAAATCTACCCTAGCCCTAACGCTGCGGACCAGATATGCTGACACTTGAAATAGACTTCGACTGAGTACAAGTTTGACGGGCCAACCAACGGCGACTACCTCAAGCACGACGAGGCGGACAGCACCTCGGTCGTGTGGGCGCCATGCGGCACCAACGGCATGCTCAACATCAATTCGCAGGTCCGCCTGACCAGCAGCAACGCCAGCGCCACTGGCCTCCTCACCACTGACTCTACCGATCTCAAATTCACCCAAGTCGTGTACGTGCAGTGGCAGAAGTGCACACCGCCCAAGCAGTAGAAACTGATTGCGGTTGATGTAGGCCGAGACATTGGATCAGTTGGATTAGTGTGAACGGGCCATGGGTAGTGAGGGTTGAGGACTTGAAGTGGAGGCGGTGTTAGTCGGGGTATGGAATTTACGAAGATATGCCGGACGCATGTTTGATGTTTGCATGATAGTTGAATCCTTTTATGAGATGCGCATCTCTCATTTGAATCTCCACCTGCTGTGATGATCCACTTGCCCCTTTACGCAACTCACGACAAGAGAAAGGAGCGGATAGAGCTTGCCAAACAATGAGGATAATGGTGGTATTATTCTGGGATCGCACAGTCGGCAAAGCTCGCATTCATGGTAGCAAGACAGTCGGGTGCGCCCGTTGGCAGGACAGAGGTGATGTGGCGTGTGGTGTCGCAGCCACGTCGGAAATTGTGGGGATAAGAGGGCATTCTTGGCGGCAGGGTCGTGGTTGCCGCATTTAGATCCCTGTCTGTTTACCAGCGGCCGTGCGTCCCATAACAGAAGTTCCGGCTGGAACATCGTCATTGAGCACTCCAGCCCGCAACACCAAACCCTCGCTCGCGGCTGTTCCCCACGCTTTCAAAGGAGGCTGCGCAGTGCGATTGACCTACTTTTTTTCATTTCTTGGGCGCAGTCATGGCCGCCGCGGGCGCGTCTTCCATCTCCGTCACCGTACGAGTCCGCCCTTTTACCATCCGAGAGGCAGCCCAGGTCACGAGGAACGATGACCAAACGCTGTTCCTCGGAGACGGTTCGCTGGCGGGCTTGCCAGCGCCGAAGCTCCACAAGGGCATCCGGCCTGTCATCAAGGTCATGGACGAGAAGTGCCTGTATGGAACGTCACGTATCATTTCAAGTCGTGAGAGCTGACCTGTACCAGAATCTTCGACCCTCCAGAAGACAACGCCGTTCAGCGGTTTGGGCGATCAACAATAGGACCCCAGGGCAAACGATCAAAGGACCAGACATTCGCATTCGACCGCGTCTTTGACGACACTACCTCCCAGGGCGATGTATACGAAGCCACGACGAAGCCCCTGCTGGACAGTGTGCTGGATGGATACAATGCGACTGTTTTTGCCTATGGCGCCACAGGTTGTGGAAAGACGCATACTATCACGTATGTTGACGTACACCGCTAGTTACTCGCAGGAGGACTAACATTCCAACAGTGGAACATCGCAGCAGCCAGGCATTATCTTTCTGACCATGCAAGAACTGTTTGAGAAGATTCAGGACATCCAAGATGAAAAGGTCACGGAGATCACCCTCTCTTACCTGGAAATCTACAACGAAACCATTCGTGACTTGCTGGTGGAGGGTGGCAGTAAACAGCCCCTGATGCTCCGCGAGGATGCTAACCAGGCTGTATCTGTCGCTGGTCTCTCTAGCCACCGACCACAGAGCGTAAGTAGGAGGGACATACTGCACGACAAGCGTCTAACAACCGCAGGTCCAAGAAGTCATGGACATCATTGTCCGCGGCAACGAATACCGAACCATGTCACCTACCGAAGCGAACGCTACCTCTTCCCGATCCCACGCCGTACTCCAAATCAACGTCTCCTCCAAAGACCGCAATGCCTCGGTCAACGAACCCCACACGATGGCTACCCTCAGCATCATCGACTTGGCAGGTAGTGAGCGCGCGAGTGCTACGAAGAACCGTGGAGAGCGTCTGACGGAGGGTGCCAACATCAACAAATCCCTGCTCGCGCTGGGAAGCTGTATCAACGCCCTGTGTGATCCCCGAAAGCGGAACCACATCCCATACCGCAACTCGAAACTCACGCGATTGCTCAAGTTCTCTCTCGGTGGAAACTGTAAAACTGTCATGATAGTCTGTGTTAGTCCGTCAAGCGCGCATTTCGATGAGACGCAGAACACCCTTCGATACGCCAACCGCGCGAAGAACATCCAGACCAAGGTCACCAAGAACGTATACAATGTCAACCGCCACGTAAAGGACTACCTTGTTAAGATCGATGAGCAGAGACACTTGATTGAGGAGTTGATGAAGAAGCAGAAGGATTTCGAAGGAAGCGCTTTCGTCAAGTTCCAGAAGCAGAGCGAAAAGAAGGATAGTATCCTGCGAGATGCGGTCGTACGCTTGCGCCAGGCTTATGCGGACTCTGAGCCTGAGCGCCGAGAACGGCTGAATATGTCAAAAACCTTGAAGTTGGCTGAGAAGCGCATCTCGATGATTTCGGCATGGATCGCAGCATTCGACAACGTAAAAGATGTGCGCGAAAACGAGGAGATGCCCACCCAAGTCACAGCAATGAGAGACACCGCAGTCGGAATTTCGGCAGAACTCGAACAAACGCGACAACATTGCCATCGGCGATTGGAGCGTACCGTCTGGACGAGCAAAATGGATACGGCGCTGCATGTTGGACTCAAGGGTCTGGCGGAGGTGGACGGCAATGCTGACGGCCATGATGCTGCCAACCTGACAAGAGAGTACGAGCTGCTCAAAGCGAACGCAGATCGCGAACAACTCAATGCTCTGCTAGACATGGAAAAAGGCGGTGATGCTGCCATTGTTCAGGTGTTGGTACAGGCGCACATCGAGACTGTTACAATCTTGAGCCAAATCACCCAAATGGATGAAGCACAGGCTGTCGAAGCTGCGAGGAAGCTGCTTACGAAGATTATGAATTCTTGTACAAACGCGACTTCACAGGTTATTCGGCCAGACGGTGGCCTACCAGTCACTGAGTTCTTCGAGCCAAGCCACAGAGGCACACCAAAAAGGAGGAAGCCAGTGAATATCATGGAGCCGTCTCCCATGCGACCAATCGCTTTGCCAACACTAGCGGACGCGCCGCATCTCACCTCATCCCCCATGAAATCATCACCACGCCGAAAGTTGATGGCAGGTGCCAAGAAGGGTGTCCAGTTCTCGCCAATGAAGAAGAAAAAGTCTCCATCAAAGACCAAACGCGGAGTGCGGTGGAGAGATGACACTGAAAATGGTACCCTTGCGGAATTTCAGAAAACACCCGAACACCTAGCAGGAACGCCAACACATTCTTCAACCCCAGTGCCAGCACCAACTTACTCGACAGGCATCCCCATACCAACATACGACGGAAGCGGTGGCTCTTCGCCTATACCCACACCACCAAAGGCCTCTGTGGATCTGAAGGGCTCATCGCGCTTCGCAGTCGGCGCGCTGTCAAAGCGTGCGGATGGATCTCCTACATCTCGTAGCAACAACGCATATGCCTCGGACTCTGACAATGCATCGCCTCTCCGCGAGATCTACAACAACCCTCGCACTTCATCCTTAAGCAATGTGGAGAACGCCTCGTCGGGCCCTGCACCAGAAGGAGATAGTGGCCACTCCAGTTCAGAAGGAGAGAAATGGACGCCATCAGACGCGCGACAAATCGGGCACGCAATCAAGCGTCGTTCTTCCACAAACGGAGGATCTGTACCTGTGAACCGAGCGCATCGTCGTCGTAGTCCGACAGCAGCGACTATTGGTAGCCCGCCCAATGAGAACTCCCTTCTCTCCGCGGGTGCAGCACGTCGCATGGTCAAGTCCGTCCACGAGGCTGACTGGAAGAACAGCGTACTCAGCCCACGGGTTACGCCCATAATGAAAAGCGCTGTAAGGCGCACTACCCTGGCGAACGTCGGTGACGATCGACCACGGGAAGCACCACCCAGCTTGAATGCACGAGCGCCTGTACGGATTACTAGTGGTTCTTCGTCCAGAGGTAGCCTCATGCCTAATTCTAAGAGTATCTGGCGTTGATGTACCTCTTGCTAATAGGGGCACTATGGTGTTGGAGACGCCACCACTGGGGCTTTTAACGACTTTTCCGCTTTTCGTTGCTCACTAGTTACATTCTGTTCGTTTTGATCTGGCGGCCCTCTGGCGCCAGGTTATTCTCTTGTGCATCTGTCTCATTCTCAAAACCGTGGAAATCCTCATCTAGAAGCATTTACGAAGGCTTGGGTCGGTGTTTGGGTAATCTCCCTGCCTATGGCAGTTGCCGGGGCGTATTGAATTGCGATTGCATTGGGATGTACTTGTATGCGTGTCTCGAGTATTGCGTAGTTTTCCTGTTTCTAGCATCATTTCAACGTTTCACGATCGTCTTTTGTGCTCGACTGTGTCAGATGAATGATGACATCCACCATCTCCCGGAGTCCATTGCACCGCTACTAGATTACCATCCTTACAACTTCTCCTTCTCGTCTCCAATCTTGAACACATACTTGACTCCACTCGCCTTGCCATCCCTCAAATTCTTCATACCAGTCTCTACTCCCTGCAGACCGCCAGGAATAACTTCGTGGGGATGCGGCTTGAACCAGCCTTCCGCCAATCCCCTCGCCATGTACCGGAACATGATGAACGCGTAATCCGCATCCTCCTTGTGCGCCGAGCCTACCATCGTCTGACTCTGCTGCACAGTCTCGGGAATACCTTCATACGTCTTACCTGGTAGAACCAGCGTGATCTTCCCCGTGGGCTCTAACACCTGCACAATATTCGTGTAGGAATTGTGCTCGGAGACGGCATCATACGCATAATGCAATTTTTGCCCCTTGAGCGCGTCCTTGATGCCCTTGACGACCGCGTCATCGCCCTTTCGGTAATCAACAATCGTGTCACCCTTTGAGCGGTCGATAAGTCCCTCGACGAACTTCTCTCCTCTACCAGCAACAGCGATGATGGGGTGGATGTTTGCGCGCTGCGCCAACTTAATAGCATAAGCACCCACCGCACTCGCACCACCATACACAACAAGCGGCGTAGGTTCCTGCGCCGGTGTCCATGGGTCAGGCAAACCCATACGTTGGTGCAATCCGATGGCTGCTGTCATGGCAGCGAGCGGTAGTGTAGCTGCTTGCTCGAAGGACACGGAAGATGGGATGTGGAAGGTGGTGTGGGCCCAGCCTACTGCGTACTCGGCGAAAGAACCACCTGGTGTCATCATCTCGTGGAAAGAAGCGACGCGGTCTCCAGGCGCGAACTCGTAGACATTGGCACCAACGCTGTGGACGTAGCCGGCGATGTCGTCGCCGGTGTTGAAGTTGGGTTTCATGTCGTAGGCGGGAATCTTCCTGCAAGATGTTTTAGTCGGTGATCGTTTTAGAGAAGACATATTGAAGCGGAAGAGACGTCACGTGGACATCGCATTATGCATGTAGCATAAACATACCAGTCTTTGGGGTTACTGCCCGAATAGACGACTTTGATGACGACCTGGTTGGCCTGTGGCTCGGGGACGGCGACATCCTTGATGGTGACCGAAAGGTCTTTTGCTACTTGGGCTTCCTTCATTTTGATAGCTCTTTCTTGTCTTCTTCCTCTTCAAAATGCAAAAGTATAGCGTAAATATGAAAATGGTATAATGTGTCGTCAAGTAATGTATGCCAAGTCAAGTAGGTGAATATACCCCCCCAAAACGAGGCGGGGCTCTCAAGCATCTTTATATCCAAACAACATGATCCTGAACCTTCCACCGTCCGTCGTCCGACATCAGAAACGCGAATATGTGGACCAGGCATTAATAATGACGAATGTGGGGTTTAGTGTGCTGGGTGGAGTAGATCTAGCCCTGGAGGTTGATGGCGACGTCGATGATGCGACTTTTCGGTATTCGCGTTTGGTTGCATAGCCGAGATTGGCCGGATGGGATAATCACAAGTTGGGGTTCCTCCGATATCGTTAATCACGCGCCGGGAATTCCGATGTGCTTTTATTTCATGCTAGCACCTCATACAAGGGAAAAACCGAACACCCTGGAGCCTACATCAAGATGAAAAGATGCAAAGTAGGCGGCCCAACGTCAACGTAGGCTCTAGGGTGTTCAGTTTTCCCTTGTATGAGGTGCTAGCGACGTTCCGCTACGTTTGGAGATTCCAAAATGAAGACTGAATAGGTGTGATTTGTTGTATGCACGTAATACACTGTACTGCAAACTTCGTAGCTGGATATCGAGGAAGGCACATATAGAATACCAAGATAGCTCAATGCCCTGGAATTCACGAGGAACCTGGGAACTAGCGAGACTTCCTGTGATGTAGCCAATACATCTATAGCTTCCCTTGTATCTTGTTCCCCAGCACCTCCTCCCTTCTCCTAACATCCACATCCCGAGGCCCTTCTTTCTTAAACTTCGTCGTGACAACCCACTCCTTGAGTCCCGCTCTCCCTTGTCCCTGGCTTTCAACCTCTTTCCCCGGCCGATCCAATACCAAGACAGCTGTGTTCTTATCCACACCACCGACCCCGTCCTGCCCAGTCTGCCCATACTCGCCTTTGCCCAGAACAAGTGGAGATATACACGCTTCAGCAAAAGACACCTCGGGCTTCCCATCATACATGCGCGGCTTACGCAGGAAGTCAAGACATTTCTCGCGTTCGAGTTGTAGCTCCGATAGACTAGGTGTGGGCGAAGAGGGCGATGTGACACTCGAAGCTAAGTACGGCGCCAACAGCAAAGTGAGCAAGAACTGTGGCGGGAAGAGGATGATCCTGTTCTGCCGCGCCAGGTCAATCCATTTGTTGGGTGGAAGGAAGCGGGCGGCAGTGTGCTCGATACCGCCATCGTGTGTAGGCTTGGGTATGACGATCTCGTCCTCTTCTTCCAGTCCCGCAGACGGCGGCGTCCCTTTTGGTGCGGCGTGTTTCGTTGGCGATACGGAGCCAAGGGGGAGAAAGTAGATGTACATTTGCGTGGTGAAGCGTTTAGGCACGTTTGGGGGTGTTACCCAGCGGGTAAACGGAATCAGAGCTTCGGTATCGGGAAGTGCACCCCATTTCTGTAACAGGTCTCCAAACTTGACTTTTCCACTGTGTACATCTCTTCGGCCTTGTTCTCGTTCTTCATCGCTTATCTCGGTGAATAGCTTACCCGTCTTGTTGCTCTTGGCGAGTAAGATGCCGCATTCTTCAAAGGTCTCCCGTATGGCTGCCATGCGATATGCGGGCCCATCTTGATGCCTTCCTGGGTGGTCTACGTCGGGTATCCCGCCGTCGTGGGTTTTGGAGAGGGCGCCGCCGGGGAAGACATGAGCGGACGCGAAACTAGAGGCTTTCGATACGCGGTGGAGGAGCAAGACCTGGTTCGTGGGGGAGATGAGCAGAACGCTAGACGTGTCAGCGATCCATCGTGATGGACATCGTGATGATCGCATACCTCGAGCTGGGCCGTGGAACCTGTGGTGTCTTCGACGCCTGCTTCGACGGTTTATGGTCTGCGGGCGTAGACATGTTGCGCTTTTGGAAGCCGGCCTTGGACTGTGATGTAAATTTAAAATAGGAAGCAGTTCGTAGTGACGTCGAGGATCCCTCAGCGAGCTTCGCCTGCAGTGTCGAGAATGCTGAGCTTGCGGCGACGGGGCGTGCAGAGTGGAAAGAGCGTAACGCAGTTGATCTACCTTCAGCCAGGAGAAGAGCAGTGAAACTCAGCTTTGGCATATCCGGCCACAAAAGGAGCCGACAATGGCGGTCGGCGCGTCATGATGGCTTGCATGTGGTTGGTGTTGACGCGCGGGGAGGTGCCGAGGTTAGAAAGTAGCTTCAGCAGTGACAGGGTGCCCGAGAGTCGACCCACCGTCAGAACTCCGGCAGCGCTTCGCATCACTCTACAGTAGATATTTTCTTAGGTTTGATCGTAAATGAACATAGTTCGTGGTATCATTGCTTTTGGCCTATCCATTGCTCCATAATGAGAACATAAATCGTCTTCGTATCGCATGTCTAATGAGGGAACCTAGCAACCGAGCCAACCACCCACTAACGCCCTCCCAATGCATTCCGTATATCATCTTCAATCGTCTATGAGTAGAGCTTCTTGTCGAAGCTGTGCAGACCGTGCACGTTACCCTCAGCCTGTGCGCTAGCAGTGCGCAACTCGAACCTGACGGTGCCGTTGGCAACACCCTCGTGAAGCTCGGTAAGGCTCTTGATGCCGATATCTTGCAGCGAGTGCTGGACACCAGCCATGAGGTAGGGCACGAACTTGGTGATGGAGCCACGGTCCTGAACGGATCCAGATACACCTTGCGCAACCAGAACGCGATCACCCTCAGAAAAGTAGCGAGCAGTACCAGCGTTGCTGGCCTTGGAGTCGGCGGCGCCAGCACCAGCCTTCTTGTCCTCCATGGCGGCGATACTGCCCATACCACGGTAGGCCTTGACGAGCTGACCGTCGCGGCTGACAAAGTACTCGCCGGGAGACTCAGTGGTACCGGCAAGAAGACCTCCCATCATGACAGCCGAGGCGCCCATGGCAAGACCCTTAACAATGTGTCCTACGTTCTGAATACCACCATCCGCAATGCATGGCACGCCAAAGCGCGATGCGAATGAAGTGACGTTGTACACCGAGGTGGCTTGTGGTCTTCCGACAGCCATGACCTCCTGTGTAATGCAAGCACTTCCGCTACCCATACCGATACGGAGACCATCAACACCAGCGGCGATGAGCCCAGCAGCCTGCTCACGAGTGACGACGTTTCCACCAATCACGTCGAGCTGAGAGTACTTCTCCTTGATGTACTTGATCATCTCAATCTGGTACATGCTGTTTCCCTGACTGCTGTCGAGGATGACGATGTCGAGACCGGCATCGACGAGCTTCTGCAGACGGATCTTGTCCTCTGGTCGGGTGCCGATGGCAGCCGCGGCGATCAGCTGCTTGGAGTGCGGTAGCTTGGACGCAAGCGGGAAGTTGAGGTTCTTCATCAAGTCAGAGCGAGACAGGAGCGCAATCAGGTTGAAGCTCTCGTCCACGATGGGAAGCTTGCCCTTCTTGGATTTGTTTAGGATGTCGTTGGCCTCCTTGAGCTCAACGCCGTGGCGGGCGGTTACGAGGTCCGTGGACATGACTGCGGTGACCGGGTCGTCCAGCTTGTCGTGGAACTGGATGTCTCGGGGGGTAATAATACCGACGAGCTTGGAGCGGAGGGTGCCGTTCTCTATAGTCAACTGTCAGCGATTGCATTTCAACAATGTTGACAAAGTGTAGCGTTGGTGAAGGATTTCAGATACATTTTCTCCACAGTACGACGGAATCGTTGCGGATGAACGAAAGTTAAATTGAAAAGGTAATCATCATAAAGCAAAAACCGGGATAAGAGTGAAGAGTCTGACTTACCAGTGACTGGGAAACCACCGAAGCCCCACCTCTCCTTCAGTGCCTTGGCCTCTCCGACTGTGGTGCTGGGAGAGATGACGACAGGGTCGAGGATGAAACCGTTCTCGAAGCGCTTCACCTTGCGGACCATCTCGGCCTGGTCGTCCTGAGAGCAGTTGTGGTGGATCACACCGAGACCTCCAAGGAGGGCGATGTGGATCGCCATGTTGTGCTCGGTGACAGTGTCCATGGGCGAGGAGACAAAGGGCGTCTTGAGCGAAATGCGCTTCGTGATTGGGGTGTCGAGGGCGACCTCGGCGGCAGGGAAGCCAATGTAGCCGGGAAGCATGAGGAAGTCATTGTATGTGAGACCACCGTTCTTCTTGGAGTCGATGAGCGTCTTGATGTCGATGCCATCGTGCTCGGGGTACTCGTTCTTGAGGATCTCAAGAGCCTTGGTGTAGTCCAAGGCGTCGGCGGCCGTGTTGGTCATGGCGTCACCGTTGGAGATGGGCATGATGGGTAGAAAAAGAAACTTCTCAGGGACTTGAGAAGGGTAAGAGGGGTATCACGGAAGGAAACAGGCCGTCGTTCTCAGCAAAAGACTCTGGCCGGGGAAAGTTGAGGGCTTTCCCAAGAAGAAAAAAGTTGGAAGAAACTGGCGGCGCGGAAAGAATTTCTGTGGGCTCGCTCGCCAAGCCTCGTGCTTCAGGTGACCCCGCCTTTTAGCGTGACGAAGACGCGTCCGAAGGGGAAGCCGATGTACAGGCAGTACTGCACTCGACACATGCGTGAAATACGCATATACGGCTCATGTTGGACATACCAACCATGATGGTAGTGGCCAGGCTTTCGCAAGTGTACAACGTTTCCATTAGCAATCGGATCTAGCGCATCTCATTCTTACCGTGTTAGCACACTCACGTGGTGGGCGCGACGTTTGGACTTGCGCCGGTACCGACTGGGAGCTCCCTTATGCTGACAGGTCGACGAGTCGAGAATTGGACGTGTCCAAGGGATGCGCTAAGCTAAGGTTCGGGTTCAGGACGCGATAGCTCACCGTGCGACGTGTAGTAGGGCTATCGCCGTTGATGGCGCCGGCGTCCTTGTCGCCCTGCAATTCAGGCATCATGGCCGCGACGCGTACATGGGCTTCTGGGATGGTCGATGGATGAGGACATGATGGTGAAGTGAAGAGGTCGGCTCGTCCAGACATGGCGATTCAGCAGCAACAAACACGGTAGATGCAACAATGATGCAGCACTAGGATGTTGTTTTGAGGGATTCCCGGTCCGTGTGACGGGAGTCGGGATGGATGATTTTCACGGCTGGAGATGGGTTTCTTGGGGTGGTTGGCGCGACAACAGGCCGGCAAGCCCACGCAGCCTGAGTAAACATCCGCAAAAGCTTGGACGACACACGTCCGCTTCCAGTTTCAACGCCGCTGCCTTTCATCTACTATACCCAATTTCCCTTTCCCGATTCCCATTCCTCTCTTCGCCCGTGCAGAGTAAAAGTGCGCGCTTGGTCGCAGGGCTTTAGACTATCGCTTCATCTCGTTCGCGATTTTTGTTTTGGGCGGCAGGCGCATCCATATCTCTTGTAATTATCGCGGGCCTCCATGACGGTCTCTTGAGCCCCGACCCCAACGCCAACGCCATCACCATCTTCCTTTGTCCTGTACGACGCATGCGGTGTAGGACCGGGTCGCAGTAACGCCCTCGACTGTCGCGCTCGCCATGAGTTACCTGACTGCCCCACGCTCGAGACCAGGGCACTCGGCAGCATCGCCCTCCCCGCTCCGCCAGACATCGACCGCATCCAATGGCTCCTCCAACCACTCGAACCAGTACCCGCCGAGCCGGTCAAGCACACAGTCGAGCAATGCCTCCAGCGGCTTCGGCTCGCTATCGCACCGTCGCGGGCTGAGTGAGGCGACTGCCCTCTCGCGCCCGCGAACAGAGGACTACTTCGGCTCGGGCGAGACAGACCCTTCAGACACGTTTATGAGCATGCGAAAAGCCCTACGACCACTTCAGCAGGCACCTTCGAACCCGCCCTCGCCCGAGAAGCAGAGCCCGTCGTCACCTGACAAGTACATGCGACCGACAACGCCCGTCTATCCGCCATCGCCCGAAAAGCTCCTACGCCCAGTAACATTCTCGAATCCGCCATCGCCAGAGAAGCTCCTGCGCCCCGCGAGTGCTAGCCCGACCCGAAGCTCCAACCACCTGCGATCACATAGTGTCGAAAACCTCTACGCCCCATACGATGGCTCCACCTCACCGACAGCCAAACCGCGCCCGCTATCGCTAGCAGTATCGCGAAACGACTCCGTACGCGCGCCCACCCGCGATCACTCGTCCCGACCGCTGTCGACTCACTTGGAACAACCGGAACTTAAGAGCTTCCAGAAGTCATCCACGGGACATCTACGAACGCTATCCAAGTTCGCCGAGGCTGGAAGCGATGAGGACTTCGCCATCAAGTCCCCGGAGCAGCAGGTGGTGGGTCTCAACGGACGGAGAAGGTTGCAGCGGACAGAAACACAACAAAAGACGGCCTCCACTTGGTCAAGTCGGAACTGGATGGACCAACAGCGCCAGTTCTTGCAGGCCTACGAATACCTCTGTCATATTGGAGAAGCCAAGGAGTGGATGGAAGACATCATCGAGACGGACCTCCCGCCTGTTGTTGAACTAGAGGAGGCACTGCGAAACGGCATCACACTAGCTGAGATCGTTCAGGCCATCAAAGGACAACCGCTACGTATATTCCGCGATCCGAAGCTACAATACCGGCATTCCAACAACTACGCGCACTTCTTCAAGTTCCTGTCCGAAGTCGAACTCCCCGATCTCTTCCGATTCGAACTGGTCGATCTCTACGAGAAGAAGAACGTGCCCAAGGTCATCTACTGCATCCACGCACTCTCATGGCTTCTGTTCCGAAAAGGCATTGTCGACTTCCGAATTGGCAATCTAGTCGGTAAACTCCAGTTCGAGGACCACGAGCTCGAGGCTACACAAAAGGGTCTTGACAAGTCTGGTGTTAGTATGCCCAACTTCTCTGGCATGCAAGCCAATTTCCAAGTCGAGCCGGAACCGGAGCCGGAGCCAGAACCCGTGGAATC